GCAATCCGTCTATTGCCCACTCCCCCGCTACACCCGGATGAGCGACAGGACCGCCCGAAGCTTTGTCCCGCACACGATGTCACGAAGATCCGCTCAAAGGAGAACGGGTTCGTCCGGGGAAGAATAACAAAGGCCCGAATCGCGCAGCGGGACATGGCAAGACATGCGCGTCGATACGGATGGCCGCCCCAAGCGGAGCGGGTCCGTAGCGAGGGAAACGAATGAATGGCGAGAAAGCGCCAAAGTAAGCGAGGGAGAGCGTCGCCGCCCAGCCACCCTTCGCCCGAGAGCGAAGGAGAAGTCCGCTACAGCCCTTACGTCCTGTCAGGTGCGCATGGCGACGCTGACATGCACAGGACTTGGGGGCCGCGCGAGGCCCATACGAGGCGACCATGGCCAAGGCCACCTCGGGCAATGAGAAACGACAATCGCTACGAAAGAGCGGCTCAACGGCAATCCCACAGCACTGCTGGTACAAAGTCCGCTTGTTGCCCACTCCCCGCTACACCCCGGATGGACGACAGGGCGGTTGAGACCCGTGCCGCACGATGTCACGAAGACCCGCTCGAAGTAGAGCGAGTTCGTCCGGGAACTGGAAGGAAATAGAAAGTGAAGATGGGGGAAAGTGAGGCGGCGGCAGTGTTTGGTTATATCCAGCGTCGCTGGCTGTTTCAGTAAACGAAGTCGTGTTTCAGGCTGAGACATCGTCGCGTCACGTGAGTCTGTGTATTCATGTTTCAAAGTCATGTTCGTATGCGAGAAAGACGAGAAGCAACACCATAGGACAGTGATCGCGAATCCCATGCGTAGCTACGTTGCCGAAGAAAGCCTGTGCTGTCCGGCGCTCAACTCGCGTGACCGTGTCGAGGCCGCGTCACCAGAAAATTCGGGAGAAATATTTCAAAACCCTGAAGTTTTGTCTGTAGAGCATGGCGTGCATGGCTGATGGATGCAGGTATGGGTTTCACATAGTACGCGGCTATGCATATGTGGAATCATGGAATTGAGGTCGTCGTGGAGGGACGGGACAAGGAGCGTTACGCGCACGGCGGCACGACGCGTGCTGACGCGCGGTTTAGGCCATCGTGTGAACCACAAATTTTATTACTTATTTCATTTATCGATCCTCGCACAAGCCAGCGGCGTATACAATGGTACTACGGTATCTATGATAGTCCTTGGTTGATGTCCTCTTCGCACTGCCTTATAATCCGCTCCACACTCCACCCGAGTCCGACAGGCTCATTCGCCCAGGTAGTACTAGCTCCATTCGCGACACACCAATCCCACAGCTCCTCAAGGTGCGTCGCAGCACCGAAAAGCCGCCGCCGCCTTGCGATAGTCAACAACACCTACATTGCTCCTCTCCGTGGGCGGCTTCCAAGCGCGAGCGTATGCAAAATCGATAAAGACGAAGCCGCCGGATAGTCGGTCTGGTTGTGGGAGGATGATGTGGGATCCGTGTAGGTTGCAGTGTCTGATCCCGAGAGCGTGCATCTCTGCGATCTGGGTGGAGAGACCGGTGAACTGCGATCCATATTCGTTAACTCTGCGGTGAACAGTGCGACATCGAACTGCGGCTGGTACTCACCAGATCTATGTGGTCTTGGCGAAGCGCTTTGAACTCAAGAGTACCTATCGTATGAAGCGGGTCGGCGCATCGAGCGTTCCGCCATTCAGAAAGTAACTGGCCCGGTACATACTCCAGTAGATTGACTTCCGCTGGCTCGCCATGCGGAAGCGCTGTCTGAAGAACACATGTCAGACGAGCCACAGCGTGCGTATGTGGAAATAAGTACCTGAAACCGACCTAAGAAGTACGGAACCCATCGGCCCTGCACAGAAGACAAAGCCTTGTACGCCGCCTCTTCAACCCTGGCATGCTGGGTAGGCGTGATGTACTCGTAGATGCCTGGTATATGACTGGTTCTGGGTATGGCGAAAGACGGGCAATATATCTTCGCGACCAGTAACTCGTCGTCCCGGGTTGAGTCGGTGCGCACGGTCCAGACTTGGGAAGGACAAGTGTCCCCAGGTGTATGCAAGCCGTGGCCGCTACTAAGGCGGGATACGAGACGGAGAGTGTGGGGGCCGATTGCTGTCACGCTCGCCGGGAGCTGGCGACGAGGAAGACCATCTTCATGTGCCGTGTCCGGGATTTTGAACTCGAAGGAGCGCAAGAGCTCGTAGCCTTCGGCCAGACTGGAGTATCCGTTCGAACGAGCACGAGCATCGCGTAGCTCTCTGACGTGGTCCTTGAATGCGGTCGGATGGTCCTCATCGAGGCCCGCTAGCCACGAGGGCAAGTCTAAGCGGATAGCTTGCAGGGGTGGGTCCATGCGGGTGAGGGATGGAGGTGGCGAATGAAGAAGTTGAGTTGTTGCGCCCTACGCCTTGCACGACTTATTACGAGAACGCAGCTAGCATAAGGCCTTCAGTCAGAATAGTATCTCGTCTTGATAGCTCGGGTCGCTCCTAGAAATAGTGCTTGCGCCAGCCTTATGTAGAATGGTAGGATTGGGTAGGATAGAGGGACCGCATCGGTGAGACCATGACGCGCGCGGACAAGTTGCGCTTCGAAGCCGGCGCGCCGCGAACGCAGACCTTGACAGGAACTCCCACCTCTTACAATAACACCACTGTCTTATCATCTAACAGTACTCTATCAGCGCATCATGTCCCTAAACGCCCGTCAAATCCCGCGCCTCTCCCGCTCACTGGCGCGCCTCTCCTCAACAACCGCCTCATCCTCATCCTCGCGCCTCGCATCAACAGTCTACACCTATCCACCCCCCATCCCGGACGCCTCAACATCATCCACACCCCAGAACCTCACCGAGAAGCAACGAGAAGCGCTGGATGCGGCGCTGAGAGTTGACCAGGCGGGCGAGATCGCTGCGAACTGGATTTATGCGGGGCAGGCGGCTGTGCTGGGGAGGGATAAGCGGTTGGGAGGGTTGATTGAGGTGAGCGGGCAGTTTGAGCTGCTTGGTTGCTATAGTAGGAGTGGGTTGTATGTGGGGGAGGACATGGCATGGCGTTGGGAGAGTGTGTGGCGCGAGCCGTTCGACCGCGTCTCTCTGACTTCCCGAATAATCCCTCGACGTGAACTATGGAAGCTCAGACTGACTGCTTTCGTAGGAAATGTGGGATCAAGAGCGCAAACACCTATCCGTTATGGACAAGCTACAAGTCCAACACCAAATACGCCCAACATTACTCTCGTACGTCTCCTCCCGTTCACCGTTCACCTCACGCCTAAGACAGGACACTAACGTCCGACTGTGAATACAGGCCCGTAGCCAAAGTAGCCGGCTTCGCGCTAGGCGCCACAACCGCGCTTATGGGCAAAGAAGCGGCCATGGCATGCACAGAAGCAGTCGAGACTGTCATCGGGGAGCATTACGACGAGTGAGTCTACACCCTTAAGGGCCTTTCTCGTATACGCTTCCTCACACTTGCGTGACAGTCAGTTGAGGGAGTTCGAGCCCTTTACGGACGCACACCCGTCGCTGCCGTTGCTATGCGACATCATAAAGGAGTTCAGGGACGACGAGCTCGAGCATCTTGATATAGCCGTCGCGAACGATAGCCAGAAGGCTCCAGCGCACGCGTTGTTGAGTAGTGTTGTGGGTGCGGGGTGTAAGGTCGCTATCGAGCTGTGCAAGCGTATATAGCCGCATTGAGGTTGAATAGACCGAGGAAGATCACGCAAAGTGTGAAGATGCAACGGGAGACTTGGATTCTGTGTAGCGTAGAAGCGATATAATAAACATTCTACTCTTCTGTCGGCTCGGCTACAACGGGCGGGTTCCTTAACAACGAGTCGTTCTTCCGACGCGAGACCATGTTGAACTTGTTCTATACGCACGAATATACGGCGTCAGAATTGTTCGAAGGATGTAAGCATGGGGAGACGTACGTCTGAGCTGGCCGCGAGCCATAAGAGGCCGGCGGGGATGATGACGCCCATCATGAGGATTGGACGGGTGTTGCGCTTGGTGAGCTTGAAGTGCGCCCATGCGCCTTCACGCTGTAGGTTTGGGGTTTAGTAGGTGTGGAAGTAAAGAGCGGGAGAAGCCGGGCGCACCATTGCGTTCCAGCGCTCGAGGGCGGGGTCATCCTATTTCTCTATTCAGCATCTTATGTTTCACGCACACAGCGCAATAGCATACATGTACGGCTAGACAGTATGTCAGTATAATCAACAGAGCATAGGAACAGTGGACGCACAGTGGCCCATGGTGGTTGATGTCAAGCCGGAATGATTGATCGCACGCGGCCCTGCTCCGAAGCTCGCGTCCCGCGTCTTGCTTCTCTTCTCTCACCTTCATCTATCGACTCAATGGCGTACAACCAAGGACACAACCGCGAATGGGATCGCGGCAAAGAATGGCAGCAACAAGGCGGATATAACGACTGGAACGGCGGAGGCGGTGGTGGTGGTGGTGGAGATTGGCACGGTGGCGGTGGGAACGAAGGCTGGCACGGAGGCGGTGGAGGGAGAAGAGAGCGAGATTGGGAGGAGGATTATAATGGAGACGGAAAGCGGAGGAAATTTAACGACGGCGTGCGTGTGCTATTTTATTCGGTATATGATGGGGGACTTCACTGTGTTACAGGGCTACGAGCAAGGACAAGGACAAGGCGGATGGGGAGGGCACGGGAAAGGCAAGCAGCGCATGGCGCCCTCCGACCCGTCCAACCACGTTATCTTCCTCGGCCTCGACCCAGACTTTACAGAAGCAGACGTACTACACCCATCCTATGATCCATCAATACATTACTAATACACCAAATACAGCTGCACGCCTACCTAACCCAACACGGCGCCACCCTCGACTCGGTCACAATAATCCGCGAACGCAGCACAGGCATATAACCCCCTCCCTAGACCCCCTCACACCCAATACTCATCTCCGAGTGGTTACTCTATACAGGGACATCCAAAGGCTTCGGGTTCGCCGAATTCAACACGCTCGAGACCGCGCGCGCCTTCGTCGACCCGAACTTCCCGTTCGTCCACCTTCCACCACCCCAGTCGCACGGCGCGTCCGCCACCAAACTCTTTTGGCAGACGCTGGAGCAGAACCCGCAGGCGCCGACGGGCGGACGGCGCGTGAAGATTGATTTTAGTCAGAGCGCTAATCCGGGCGAACGGGGTGGTGGAGGGAACGCGAAGAAAGGCCCGGGGAACGACGGGACGAGGGATATCGGCAACGCTGCTGCGCCCGTGTTGCTGTTCAGAGGCTTGGACGTGCTCAGTGGGCCACAGGCGATCTTGCAGGCTATGAAGACCAGTTCCGGTCTGCATCGGGAGGGCGCGAAGGGCATGAAGAGGATCGTGCTCGTAAAGGATCGCGTCAGTATGCAAAGCTGGGGCTTTGCCTTCGTCGAGTTTGTCGATACGCAGGTGAGGGAGACGTTTGATGTCGGTCGTTGGTGATAGGCGCTGATGGGTGATGGCAACTGTAGAGCGCGAGTGCGGTGTTGGCTGCGACGATGAGCCCGCAGATCCACCCGAATGGCTTCCGTATCTCCGATAAACCCGTGGCGGCGAGCTTTGCGTTGCCTTACAGCTTCCAGCCGATCGAAGATGCAGCTTTGCGAGACGAGGTATGTGTCCCACCTTTTCCGTCTCACTGAATCTCGCTTATCGCTTCCCACGTCAGGCTTGCGTTCTTGGAACACCCGCGCTCGGTGCCGTAGACACCAGCAGCGGCGTTTATGTTCGCTACTGGGACGAAGGCGCCACGGCATCTGTACTCGAGTTCGAAGTAACAGAGCCGACGAGTGCTGAACAAGCGAAGGAGAACAAGGCCAAGGAGAAGAAGAAGAAAGCTAAAGGTAGTTCTGCCTCGTCTTCACTCGCCAGTGAGCGTCGGCTGATGTCGCCTGTTATCACAGCGCTTGAAGCGGATCTTACTCCTCTAGCCCCCTCAGCTCTCCCCGTCTCCTCCAAACCCGTAACGCTCGCCTTCAACCTCAAGGCCAAAGCCAAACCCGCCGGCTTCTCCCTTGCCGCATCCTCTTCTTCCGCGCCGAAAGCTCCAGCGCTGAGCATGGGCGAAGACGAAGACGACGAAGGAGAGCATGAAGAGGAGGAGAAAGTCGATCCGAAGGTTGCGGCGGCGAAGAAGGTCGCGCCCATGATCGCTAGCAAGAAGGTCGCGGGCAACATCAACAAGTGGAATACGGCGCAGGCGGAGAATCATGTTGTGCCCGCTGCTCCTGCGCCCGTGGTCAAGGTGCGCCTGGCCTTCCTCCCTCACAATATTTGATGCTTGAGCTCATACCGCGTCGTAGACCGCACCTGCTGCTGCGCCGAAGCCCGCTACGGCTGTACCGGTTGTGGCGCCGACGAAAGCGGGAGAGGAAGACGCAGATCTGGAGTTCGCGGATCGGACACGGATGGCGTGTTTACTCTGTTCGCGCCAGTTCAAGTCTCTCGATCTCGTCAAGCGTCACGCGAAAGAGAGTGATCTTCACAAGGTACGCCTCTCCCATCTATCATCGTGGCGCGCGCGGCTGACTTTCGTCGCATCGTGTGTATCAGAAAAACCTCGCCGATGCAGCGTTGTGCGAGGCCGCGCGCAAGAAAGTCGCGGCCGCGAACGGAGGAACGAATAAGAGCGAAGAGAAGAAAGAAGAAGAGCGGAAGTACCGCGACCGCGCCTCCGAGCGCCGCGTGATCTACGGCCAACCGGATGTCCCCCTCCCCGAACCCTCTTCCTCGCGCCAAAGCGGCGGCCCCAAATCCGCCCCGACACAAGCCTCGCCCACTCCGCCCCCCACGATCAACCCCGGCGAGGACTCGAGCAACATCGGCAACAAACTGTTGAAAGCTATGGGGTGGAAGGAAGGCACTGGGTTAGGCGTCGAAGGGAATGAAGGGCGGACGGCGCCGGTGCAGGCGGCTGTTTATGCGTCTGGGGCGGGGCTTGGGGCTGCGAAGGGACGGTTGGTGGAGGATGAGGTAAAGAGGAAGGAGGGGTATGCTGGGTATGTTGAGAGGGTTCGGGACGCGGTATGTGTTTTCTTTCAGTTGCAATGGAGGTGGATGGCTGATGTGGATATGTACAGGCGAGGGACCGGTTGATGGATGGTAGCAAATGAGACTAGTGGTCGGACTTGTGGGATACTTGATCGGACATTGTATGCTTGTTGTACGCTCAGTATTATCATCATACATATCATAGGGTACAGCACTACTCTAGGAGCCCTCCTCCGAGAGGAATACCGAACATGAGCCGGGGCGCTGGAAAACTAATGATTGTCTTGGCTGCGCAGTGCACTATTGAGCATCTGTAGGCCATCCTGGGCTGCCTTGCGTTGTTGACGAAGCATGTTGCATTCCTTCACCATTGCATCTCGCTGTTCTTCCAAGGCGTTGGCTTCGAACAAAAACGCGTCGTATTCGCGAATCGATGCGCTGTGTCGGAGACCGAGTTCTGAATGCCTCTCCTTCAAGTCCTTGAGCTCGACTAGAGCATCATTTCGTTCCACAATGACCACGTTGCGTTCCTCGCAGATATTCTTGTATTGGGCCTCCAATATGTCGTGCCGAGTCATCAGCGCATTCCTCTCCGCGCGCAGATCTTCCCGCTTCAGCTGTAGAGCTTCTCCTTCTGCAGCTAGACTATCGCGTTCCAAAATCAGACGCTTCTCAGAGCGTAACAGGTCGTTGCGCTCTCTCCTCAACGCATCCCGGTCCTCCTTCATCGCATCGCGCTCCCGCTCCGCCCCGCGTTTCGCCTCAACGAGCACCTCAAGCCCATCTTGAAGGTTTTCTGCCCACTCTTGCAGAGTATCGAATTCGGCCCGCAGTCGAGGGTACTCGATGCTTCGCGCTATCAGTGCGGTCCGTTCCGTCTCAAGTGCTCCGCATTTCACCCGTAGGTGTGCGCACTCCTCTTGAAGCGAAGTCAGGATACTTTCCAGGCGTCCTGCTCCAGCCAGAATGGCAGCTATGTCTGAAGAGAATAGTTGTGGTGCCCCGGGATCATGTGCTGGGGTAGCTTGCGGCGCGGTCAACGTAGGTGAGAGCTGGTTTGTAGGCGAGGATGGCGACATGGACTCGCGGTCTCAAGTTCGCTAGTGATGTTCCAGTATGCGGTCAATCAGAGTTACCCAGAGCAGCGAACTATTGAATATGAGGACGCTAAGCGATTGAGCGACTGATCGCAGAGAAGAAAGCGAACTAGTATCGGGAACGATAGAACGAACCGTGACTAAACGCGTGATGTCACGCGTCAAGAGCGACGGTACTCTACTGGTCTGTGAGATCGGGAGTGCGCCTGCGCCAAAGAAATCGGGATACAGTAAATAGAGAGTACCGGCACCCCTTCATGCCGTCTAATCACTTCGACGTTCTCCTCGACGATGATGCCCGCGCGCCCTTTGACACGTGTAGCTCGAGGACGGTCGCCGACGTCGTCGGCGATAAACACGAGGGTCGCTACGTGCGGAAGGACGAGGGCCGCTTTACGCCTTCGACCATTATTGTCGACGCTGTCCGCTCTCTACTTGGAGATATAGCTAGCACTGTATATATTTCACCTATGCCTGAGCGGCATGCCCCACGAAACTCAAGTACAACATATAATCCCAGATGAATGACCCGAAAGAAACAAGAAATGATTGCGTCGGTGTCGGTACCTTCTTCAAGGGCCGGCGACACAGTACTAGAACGCGTTGAGCATTGGAATTATATCGAACGAGAGAAGTATTAGACATACCTGTACACTGAGCTGGAGGTTCGTGCCTAAGGTGGGAGTTCAGCTTGGTGTCAGTGAGAGCGTTGTGCAGGGTGGGAACTTACAAGCCGAGTTGATCTCCGGATTCCACTTCGTGAACTGCGCAAGCGTGATACCGAACTTCGTGTCGATGACGCTGCAGTTATCGCCCGAAGCGACCGTGTAATATTTCGTGCAGCCTTGGCCCGGGGTAATTGTTCCCGATCCTGTCGGTGCCGCGGCAGCAGACGTGGACGTCGGGGTTGTAGCAGTCGTTGTTAGTGTGGTCGACGCTAGGCAACATTGAGAATGGCAGATGAGACGAAATGTACAGGTAACGCACGTCCTGCAACGCAGTACTGTAGCCCCGCCTGGATGTTGGAACCTTCCAAGTCATAGTTCAGCGAGACCCGACGGACGAGGAGACAGACGCGTACATTGGCTATTGACCTCCGGATTCCAGGACAGGAACTGTGCAAGCGTGATACCCTTTGCAGACTCGATCACCGTACAAGTATCTCCAGACCTAGAAAGACCTCCGTCAATCAAGCGAGGTGAACGGAAACGCGAGATGGTCGTACTGGACTGTATAGTAGTCCGTGCAACCGCCGGACGGCAGTAAGCTGCCCGAACCAGCAGCCGCTGAGAGCACTGTCAGCGGCGGATGTAGCAAGGAATCGGATGAGCGTACGGCCAGACATGCAATACCCATACCCGGGTTGGATATTATCACCTGCAGTTAGTCAGCATGCTGTCCGATCGATTGTCTGCGAAGAAACCTCACAATTGGCGTCAATCTCTGTATTCCATTGGCGGATTTGGTCAAGTGTAATGCCGTAGTTGGTCTCCATGACCGCACAAGTATCGCCTGATCTGTTAGACGGAGGTGTCATGAGTAACGCGAATGGCCACGAGATTGATCGGACATACTTGACAGTGTAGTACGCAGAGCATCCTGCTCTACGTAGGGTGTTAGTACCAGCCAATGAGAGCGACAGGTGAAGATGGACCCACAGAGTCCCCGGTAGTGTCGGGCTGCTCGTCGGTGGAGGACCGGCTACACAGTAGGCGAGACCGAGTTGAATGTTCGTGCCTGATACCTCCTGGTCAGCGTGCATTGGTCATAGAACGGAACACTTAGAGCGTACACTGCGCATTCCTGGACATGATTGGTCAGAGAGAGCACGGCCCGAACGAGGCGACGTCGGGCTTACACTTCAGGGTTCCATGCGATGAAGTCGGACAGGGTGATGGAGTAAGTAGTCTCTATAGCCGCGCAACCGTCGCCTGACCTGCGAACCATAAAGTTCCCGGCTGGACGAAGGTATACGAGACTGGGATTGAACGCACTGTATGGTGTAGTACTCTGGGGAAGCAATGAGCTTAGCAGCAGTACGCGTGCATAAAGTGATACGCACTCGTGCAACCCGTTGTAATTGTCCCGGTAGCGACATTCGTGGGAACAGGCACAGATGTCGAAGTCGACGTAGCAGTTGTACTTGTGGAAGTTTCGGGTGGAACGCTGCCGGTAGTGGGCGTATACTGAACGTAGGGTCCAAAGATGCAATACGCCAGTCCGACCTGAAGGGAATGCGTGTGACGAGCGACCCGGCGTCCACATCAAGTCGCGACTGACCTCAATATTGCCACAATTCGCATCGATCTGGAAATGCGATGAGCTTCGAACTCAGACCAATGCGTCCCAGAAGGCTTACTTCCGGGTTCCATGTGCGGAACTGAACGTCAGAGATGCCATACACAGTCTCGATCCCCAAGCAGGAGTCGCCTGAAAACGACTCAGCTGTAGACTGGACAGCATGTGAAACGGTTTACCAGTCTGGACGGTGTAATCTGCGAAGGGTTATCAGTGGCGATTCGCGGTCGTATAGGCATGAATAAGTTACTTACATTGAAGGCATCCGTCCTGAACTGTACCTGCGGCGACGGTCGGCGAGGGAGTGACAGTGGACGCATAAGTCGTCGTTCCCGTGGCAGTGATGGGGACGACGGTCATGTTGGGTGTGGCCAGGACATAGCCGATACCCTGAGGAAAGTCGCCACCTACGTGAGCAGGGTCAACTCAACAACACGAAGTCACTCCATATGGTTCGTGAGCATACCGATCACGGGAACGAGGGACGCTCCAGTCGTTGTCGGCCCAGGGAATGAAGATGTTGTCGTAGTGTCTAGGTATCGCCGTTAAAAGGGGCACCATGAACCAGCGGAGAGAATTGCTCACTGCCGAAGACTGCGATACAGTACTCGAAGCCAGCAAGCAAATTGCTACACTAAATCCCGGTCAATGTCCTGAGACTTGCGCCTGTGAACTTCGGACCTACGTCTTCGTTGACGAGAGGGTTGAGCTAGTCGGCCATCGTCAGTGACTTCACCTGGATAGGATAGGCGCATCGTACCGCGTAGAACGTGTCGTTTGTGATCTGATAGATCGAGAGAATCTAGCCTAGGGACTGAAACGGTCCACCGCGGAATCACCGCGGAAGGTTACCCGCGTTGAGGCGCGGCTCGTCTCACCGCGGTTGAAAGGAACCGCGGTGGACGAAAAACCGCGTTTGCACCGTCACCGCGAATCGCGGTCACATGACCGTCGCGCCTGCGCGACGCACTTGCGTCTTCAGTCGCGGATCCCGCAATGGCATACCGTGCAAGGCGTTCATACATAGGGTGTGCATACGTGCAACTGTTAGAGAGCCTGGCTCACTCGCTATCGTGTCTATATACCAACAATACATGTAGAAATCTGAGGGAATGGCAGATGTACAGCAGTCAATGAGAACAAATAGTACACATCGTGAGCCTATTCTGCGAAAGTGGGTAGTCTACCGTTCATTTTCTTCTGTACGATGTCTATCACTGACATAATACTGCCCTTGCCGAGCAAAGGGGTACCATACCAGCTGCCGACACCCATGCGAGCCCGGAAAGTTTGGGAAGATGTGTTATGTTGCATGAAGTCCACGGCACGGCGACCACCAGAGAACGCGCGCTCGGCATCAACGGACGTCGCTATTTGTATCTTAGCATGCATTCTGCAAGGTTTCGAAGGCGATGCACACCTGGCATGGAGCAGAAATCAGATCCCATCTGGCCGAGGCCAGGAAAGGGATCATGAACGAGATCTCCATCGGAACCCTTCTCCGGGTGCCACAGTTTGTCCCAATACTTCAGAATACCGCCACAGGACTTGATCTCAGACGATTTGATGACGGGATCGGCCAGATAAGAGAGAATGCTGTCTTTGGGGACCAACTCGGTGACATCCTCGGTCCGGTAATCCTCGAGTTGACCCCGTTTGAGCGGTGACGAGAAGACGTTAGCCTTGAAGGGATCATCATCGTCACTATCAACTTCCTATATAGAGTGTCAGGGGTAAGTACGTATCTTGTCAGCGCTTGTGAGTACGCACCATGTGCGAAGTGGAAGGATGTATGGCTGGCCGGGTCACGAATGGCGCAGATCCTTTCGGATTGAAAGCCTTCACTGCATATGCCGCGTCCCATCGTTCGCAGACCCTGTCCCTCAGATCGTCGATGTCCTCCTCACTATAGTGGAGCACCTCGCGGAACCAATCAAGCTTACAGTCCGGTCGCATGACTGTAGACCTGAGCCATCATATTCTCGGGATTGGACAAGGAAGGACCTACCAATCGAGATAAGGTACGCTTCTTTGTTGTCCATCAGAGCGAGATACTTCTTGCACATGTTCGACGCCGCATGACAGGCCACGCGGAGTATCGCACTGAGCGTATTCTTGTTCACAACCTTGTTCAAGTTTGTCTGAAGAGCATAGAGCATAGGCAAAGCCTCGCAGACGAGTGGTGTATCGGACTTCGAGAATAAGAGGGTTAGATCTTCGAACAGCTTGTGACGACCAATCAGTGACACTATGAGGAGATCTTTGTGACTTGATTCGTACCGTTAGGACTTGAACGACCTGCTTCGTCAGATTGATCTGTTGTGTGGTCATGCGATAAGAGTCGAGGCTCAGATCGGAAGTCGAAGTAAGGGCCTGGATGGCGTCCAATAGATCTAGATATGCTCGAAGGACTGCGAGATCGCTGTTCCACCTTGTAACAACCCGGCGATCAAGGCGGCGCTTATCCTTGTCTATCTTGCTGCAGAGTGCATCGAGAAAGCCATCAAAACGCTCCCGAACTGTCGCAGAGTCGTGGATCTTCTTGGCGAGCCCGGCAGCCTATTCAGTGAATCAGAACACACTGAGTAAATGGTACAGCTAAGCTGAGATCACCTTCGGCAGTAAGGATTCTGCAAGCGCCTGGATCTCGTCAGTAATGATGATTCCACGCTTTTGCATCTCCTCGATTGCAATATCGCGCTCTGTCTTGACAGCACTCGCATCATGCGCCACCTGCCCACTCGAAGAGTCGCCATTTGCATCTTGAGACTCATCGTCCATTGCATCTGCAAGCTCTTGGTCTTCTTCAGTGGGCACATCAGGTAGCTCAAGCGCTTGACCGTCGAGATCTTGCTCATGGTCCTCTTCTCCCAAGGACTGGTCGAGAGGCTCGGGATCAGCCTGGCGCCGACCTTTCTTCGACTTTGACGCAGCTGTAGCTTTCTTCTTGCGCACTACAGGCTTCGTGAAGAATGAAAGAAACATCTGTGTGAGTGCGATCAGTATGCATCAACAAAGACAAGTCCATATCGGTCCGAACCTTCGCAACGAGGTTGACAATATGAGCAAGACATCGTGTGCGCCACTCGTCTCCGAGGAAGCGAGGGATCAGTTTCGAGAGCTCTTTTGCGGTGGTCTGACAGTTCGAGGCATTGTCCATGCAAAGACCCATGATCTAAACGGAGGTACAGTCAGTAATCATCTGCGAGTATGCGTAGTAGTCGCACATGTTTGTCGAGCCCAAACCCCTTTATACAGTCATAGAACGCTTTCGCCAGGTACTTGCCATTGTGCTTCTTCTTGAGTCTGTATATATGCGTCAAGTCTGACGACAGGCAGCTGCTCTGAGTGACGCTTACCGGACGAAATCGAGTACAGCACGATACATGAGCCCAGACTCGTACCAAATGACGACCACACCGAGGTAGGACCAAGCTAATGGGGCAGTCCAGCCATCGATTGCAAAATGAACCGGAAGATTGCGGGTCTATGCGCGAATGTACGAGTGAATACAAGTGTCGCATGCATTGAGATGTTGCACTTGCCTCAAAGTAGCTACGGATACGAGTAGCCAGATGACTATGAATGGCTTTCAAGTCTGTCGAAACTGTTGCCGGAGTTGGAAGGATGGTTCCGGGCCGCAACATCGCCACAAGAGCACGGAGAAAGAAGTCTGCCACAATATTGAATGGCCGATTACTATTTGCACACCAAAGCGCAAGGAGAGCGCGGCCACCAGCCTCAGTATAGCGAGGAATGATCTCGCCATCAACCTCGGAGGGATCACCTCGTGGCGTGGAGTTGAGCTCATCGTCTATGATACCACGCCGATCGTTGCAAACCTTGGCCGATGTGAGCAGTTGCGACGAGCCTGTACTACTGGCCGCATCGCGAGCGCGACGGATGTCGTGATGTTTGGGGTCCTTGTGTTTGCACTTGAACACGAACGTGATTGACCGTGTTGGAGTATCGCGAATGAGCTCGATATCGTAGTGCTTGTATGCTGGAGAGGACCAGTGCTTCTTCGCCTCAGCTATTTGCGCATCAGAGTATATAGAGCAATGAGTATAGCGAAGATGTATACCGATCACATCTTCATCTGACTCATCGAATACATCGCTATCAGATCGCTTGCGCTTCTTTCGCGGTCGCCCTGGAGAGACCGCGATAGCAGCAGAAGTAGCCGATGTAGGTGCATTTCGCGACGCGGTTGACGATCGTGTCGTACGAGCCTTCTTGGAAGCACGGGCGGGAGCAGGTGTATGCGGGGTCGGCGCGATATCGCGAGGTAGCCCTGCTGTCCCTCGTGAGCGATTCTGAGCACCAAGCACTAAGCCAAATAGATAGAGAATGAGCAAGAAAAGAAGGATCTGACGCATCGGAAAGGGGATAGCTGACTGCTGAAGGTGATACAGTCGCAAAGATACTTATAGCAGGGCACTGACACATGTACGACGCACGATCTACCCGTGATCTGACCAGATTGCCGCCTACACCTCGCCTGCACCTCACTTGAACCTCTCGTCTCACACCTGCTAAGCTGCAGTTTGAGAAGCGCTCTCGCTCAGACTAGCAAAAGGAGAACCCAGAACAGTAATTACGGTACCAGAATGTCATCGCCGGTCGTGCTCGTGATCATCGCGCATGTTGAACATGAGTCGTCGCAACGAGGAGGCAGCCTCGAGGAGATCGCACTGTGGGCCAGTGATAGAACCATGTATACTGTTATAGTAAGGTGGATACAGGATATACGGTGCGTGGTACATGTTTGGAAGGACTACGATCGCAGGGAACGCCGCAGTGGGGGTTGGAGGAGGGACGACTCGTTGCGGCGCCGCGCGCGGGAGCCCCGAGGATATCTCGGCCATTGCCGACCGCCTCCGGACCGGGCTCCCCGTCTTAACGCGGTTCACCCGCGGTCTACGCGCAACCGCGGTTCCTTCCCACCGCGGTTACGTCGACCGCGGTTCCCGGCTCAGACGGAACGGTGCGGTCAAAAACCGCGGGGAACCCCAACCGTTTTAGTCCCTAATCTAGCCAGAAGAGGTTAGATGCCTGATACGGGAAGTATGGTTGATCGAGTACCTGAGGGCACGTGTCTACGTGCTATCAGAGAGAGGCTGAGAGTAGATCGAAGTAGACGTTACCTCCTGTGACGGCTTCATACCATCCCCCACAAATCGACCTGTCGGATCCAGGCGCCACGGCGCCAGTCGGGATGCTGAGCAAGGTGAGCAACATATAAAAATCATCCACTCCGAGTTCATAGACTACTCACGCCAAAGCGGTCGGTGTACCTGATGCACGAGTGTCAGCCGAAGCATGATAGTACAAGTACGAACTCACCCGAGACTTGTGCAACAGTTGTCGCAGGAACGTAGGCCCCTCCCGGCGCGCTGACACAAATCGTCTTACCGACTTGCATACCAATGTTGGAACATGTGGAGTCCAGCTGCCTGCGCATAAAGTGAGCATGAACAACCGACGCAGGAGGATTGTGCCTCACGGGTTCCAGGCCAGCAGCTGCGTCCAAGTGATATTGTGGGTTGTGTACAAACCAATGCACGTGTCGCCCGTCTGCACGGTATAGAGCGTGCATGAGCCGGAAGAACAAATCTGACCGCCCGCTGCGGGGAGCTTGGTGCAGTTGACGTCGAGTCCGTTAATCGAGACTAGTTGGTCGTAGGAAAGGCTGTTCGTTGAGGCGATCGAAGCGCAGGTATCTCCTGACTACGGGCAGGAGTTAACACATGTTAGATTGAAGATAGACGGCGCAGAACCGTACATACCTTGACCGTCAACTGCCCGTACGCGCAGTTTGCGGCAGACGCTGGGGTAAGAGTTGGAGTCCTAATTTTCGCATGAGCATTGGCCTCCGCGTTTGCCATTGGGCAAGACACATACGCGGTAACATTGTAAGAAGTCGCGTTGGAGGATGCAGCGACATTGGGGTCAGGAACCAAGCTGCTGGGCACCGTGTTGTCGTAAGAAACGGCGCACTCGGTCTGGATGCTTGCCCAATCGTCAACGCTGCGAGACACGGTGAGCTTGAATGGTTCAACGCGCTCCGGCAGCGTACACACAAGTTTGCATCCCATCCAAATGGACTTGACATCTGTATGTGAAGCGCATCGAGGGAGCAGGTAGCGCACACGACGGATGAAGGCTCAGCACCAGCCGGTTCCGTTGTCGAGGGATTCGCCTAGCCAGGTCAGCAAAGCTAGACGATTAGACTAGGAAGCGATGTACGTACTTGTTCGATATTGACGCAGTATGCGGCGCCGTCAGTGATACAGGTCTAGGAAGCAGCGGTGAGAGATGAGTCCTGTGATCTTGGTGAATGCGATCACGCACCAGGTTCCAAGTGTACGCGAGAAAGCGGAAGCTGAACATGAGATCAGAGTAGGCGTGCGGGCAGAATGGTATAAACGTACGGGAGGGAAGCAACATAACTCGTGTCGCCAACAATGTAGGGCCAACCTGCGCACGCCTTGTCTACAGAACTGACTGCCGCAGTAAGCGAGTCGAAGCAAGTTGCAGTGCATAGTTCGTCAAGGTCGGCGGATGTGAGGTTCGAGACAGGATTATTAGAGCTAGGGACGGCGAAGGAGAGGATCTGCGGGCAGTCGATAGACGCCGCTAATGCGTCTGCGCATGAAGAAGAGCTGGGGAGTGGATATATATCGGATGCATTAGAAAAGACGCTGAATGTCTGTTGGCTTTGAGCGAGTGTCGGGCGAATGACTGAGAGAAGAACGAGTGTGATGGACGCGCTATGTGTCGCCGGTCGTCCCATGGCGGGAAAGTGAAGCATCATGCTACGCGAATGGTGTCGATTCTTCAGAGTTAGTTCTTTTGAGCAGGCGTCAAACGTAGACGGTGCGCGTTCCGATAAATCAACGTCCAGGCCCCGCCGAGTGCTGTTAGAGGCGAACTGTGGGCTATTTTAACGCCGTATGTGCCATCAAAGTCCCTAGCACATGCCCTTCTTTCAGGGTGGAACTGAATAGAGAAATAAAGTGCGAATGGTGCATCATGATGAGCGTACAGAGCAAGCTCAAAGCGGGCGCATCTTCGGGCTTCTTTGCGCGCGTTATACGCACGCGCGTCCCACGCTCGGCGCATCGCCGTAACGGTCTTTGCCTGCTACCCCCATCGACCTGATGAACTTTAGCACTAGCCCTGTCGGAAAGACGGAACGACCACTTGATTGCAGCCTTCAACCCCTCAACGCTCCAGCGTATTGGTCCGCTCGGGATTAACCCATTGGAATCACAACATTCGTCCAGGAGACCGACGCTCAATCACCATTCGAGCGCTCAGTAGCATGCGGTACAATGCAGTAGAGGACGAAACCCTTCTCAGTGCCAAGTCAGAGTTATTTGTAGAGCGCTCCCAGTCTCCGAGATGTGTGGATCTGCAGGAGTAATAAAGCTCTTTTGAAGAGCTCGCGTGCCTTCAAGTCCTTCATGGTTTCTGGTAGGCTCAGTACCCGGCGGGGTATTCTTGCCCTCGCCTTACTCGCTCTCTCCATACTCTCCTTTATCTCAGAATCAAATGCCGTCAAATCCGTATATCTCAGTCCTCGCGCACAACAACGTCGCCGGGAACGTCGCCAGGAAATCGCTTTGGCAGGACAACGCCGAAGCACACCAGCTCATCGTGCGGCTCCCGTCGTGACCCAAGTCCCACCCCGACCGCCGCCTGCTTCCCGTCAAGCTCCAAGCCATCCTCCTGTTCGTGCGCCGGCTCCCATGCCACCTCGATCCAAGATCACCATCCCACACACACTCCGGGGGAGGTCCTCGTCCAGCCATGGTCGCGGTCATAGCGACTTAGCAAATCGTCTTCGCGCTCGTCAAGTCAACAACGAGTCTTGCAACAACATCACAATTACGCCACCTGGTTGGGACGGCAGTTGTTCAGCGGATGATCCGTGCCCAAATGGGGCTTGCTGGTACGATAGATTACATCGTACGCCGAAGTTTGACTGACTCGACGACGTTCACAGTGGCGTCTCTGGCTTCTGCGGGTATGGTACGCATGCTTTGTTTGCCTGCTGACCCGTATACTCAACTACGCTCATTCAGGCGATACATATTGCGGCGACGGCTGCATAAGTAACTGCGATGCGGTCGCCGAATGCGGACCCAACGCTGCACCTGGCAATGAGGAATGTCCTCTGAATGTATGCTGCAGCAAGTTTGGCTTCGTAAGTTGCACCATTCAGCTCATCTTGACCGCCTGTTTCATATACTAACCTCTACATAGTGCGGTTCAACGGAGGACTTCTGTGGCGCCAACTGCGTGGGTGACCATTGCGGAACGCCATCCATCCCCTCCGGTGTGAACTCTGACGTCACGACGCGTGTCGTCGGCTACTACGAGGTGTGTCTAACTCGTGAGGTGCCAATGTCTGTCATGCTGACCACCGGTAGGGGTGGGCCTCTGCGCGGGCATGCGACGCTTGGTTCCCCCTGAACATCCCTTCCAACGGATATACGCATCTCAACTATGCATTCGCTCTCATCGACCCTGTAAGCACCACTCAGGTCACAATACCTCTTGCTGATAGTCCTACTCAGGGAACCTACGCTGTCGTCCCGATGTCATCTAGCGATGTCGCACAGTACACCCAGTTCACCAACTTGAAGCAGTCGAACCCGAATCTCAAGACCTATATATCCGTCGGTGGCTGGTCATTCAACGATCCACCCACACAGACAGTTTTCAGCGATCTTGCTGCCTCCAAGGCAAACAGCCAAGCGTTTGCGAACTCGCTTGTCAAGTATGTGCGCCTTTTGATGGTGACTTCCCGCTTCTTATCATCGCTTTGTTAGGTTCATGGTCACATATGGCTTTGATGGTGCCGATATGTACGTCTTGTAATGCGGTCTACCGTACTTTGTACTGATACGCACACGAGTGATTGGGAATATCCGGGTACGCTGCTTATCGGCCGCTTAAGATCTCGTTGACTAACCTCATCCTCAGTCGCCTGCGAGCGTGGTGGAGTGCCAGCGGACAGAGACAACATGGTCAACATGTTCAAGATCATACGTTCTACGGTTGGTGTCCTTTTCCTCTTCGTAGTGGTGTATCTAGATACTCAAATGGCTCCAGTTCGACGCCTCTGGGCACACTTTCGGCCTGACATTCACGGCACCTACGTCTTACTGGTATCTGCAGCACTTCGATCTTCTCGGCTTGTTATCCCACGCCGACTGGGTGAACCTCATGGCATACGATCTGCATGGCGTTTGGGACGCGAAGGACATCTTCATCGGCAACATCGTTCAAGCCCACACTAACTTGACCGAGATCAAAGACGCTGTAACCCTCTTCCAGCGCGTGGGCGTGCCGCTCGACCGCATCGTCCTCGGACTCGGTTACTACGGCCGCTCTTTCCAACTCTCGGATCCGACTTGCAGCAAGCCCGGTTGCTCGTTTGCGGGCCCAGCGCCCGGTGGACGTGTGTCCCGATCACTCTAACAGTTTTTGCGTCACTGAGCTCTATACTACAGCATGCACGGCATCCGACGGTACTCTTAGCTTCGCGGAGATTCAGACCATCCTCTCCACCAACCCCAGCGAAGGCAGCGTCACCACGACCACCCCGGTCTATGACAAAGACGCGCAAGTCAAATATGTGGTCTACGATACTGTGCGTATACCGTCTGCACGCCTAACGCCGACCTTGCTGAAGTTCCTTCGAACAGAATAACTGGGTCAGCTATGACGACGCGGAGACGTTGAAAGCGAAGGTGTCATGGGCCAAAGGCGCTGGGTTCGGTAAGCATGCATGACCTTAGATCGGTCTATCGCAGGCATTGAATGCGTTCTGTAGGTGGTCTTATGGTCTGGTCTGTAGACCAGGACGACTTCAAGTGAGTTTGCACTGCGGCTATGGATCGTCGTACATCTCTCTCATGAAGCTTCAATCCAACAGCTCCACGGTATGTACTGCCTAGCTACCCTAGGAAGTATGCTCATTGCGTACATAGGCGCTCTCTGCCATCCTCGGGCAAGATGCAACGCGTGAGTGGCCTTTCCGTATATGTTCGCCGGTTTGTTCTCACGGGACTGCGCAGAGGTTATACCGAAGGCCACGGACATTAACTCAAAGGACGGCAAGACCTGTATGCAGCCTGGATGCGGTCAGACATGCCCATCCGGTTACATTCAGATGTCGGGTATGTACATGTCTCGTTCAGTATGCAGCCTGCACTAAGCCTGTTACAGACACCACGGACGGGAAACTGGCCGACCCTAAGACGGGTTGCAAGGATAACGGCAATCCAGTGTGTTGTCCGGTTGAGTGCGTCGCCCTCTTATGGCCCGAGCGCGCTCGTATCCTCACAATGCCTTAGCCAGATCCCCCAGAACTGCCTGTGGAGAGGCACAGGTGCGATATGTCTTCTGTGGCTCTGGTGGCGGCGCTCACAATCGTCCTAGCTCCCGATTGTAACGGTGTTTGTCACGGTGCGGTCTAGTAAGTTCTGCCTCCGTAGACCATGGCTAACTTCTCCTCCAGTCGGCGAGATAACGCTTGCGACTGACTCGTGTATGTATCTTGTATTCTTCGTTCGTTCTGTACTGACGATGCGATAGGGGGTACCGGCAAGCGATGCTCCTCGGGGCACAAGGTCTTCTGCTGCGAATCCGGCTTGACGGACGAGCAAATCAAGGACGCCACTGATTGCGCATGGTATGGCCATCAGTCGAAGAAGTGCGTCACTCTTTGGTTGCATGCCTCCTCGCGTTCACTCAAACTGCATCAATTTGAATAGCTGCAACGACAATGTACGTCGCAGGCAGTCATGGCTCTACCCGCCGTCTCATCCCTCCCTATAGGTCTGTCCCGCGGGAACGTTCACCAAGGAACGAGATTGTACGTCCAGTCTACCGCTGCATGCACGCCCCATTGAGAGCTCTCATAGATTACGGCGACACGAACATCTTCCACGCGTGTATCATGCAGGAGAAGCAGTACTGTTGGTACGAATGTGTTCACAAGCTATTGATGCACGCCCGTATGCTCATATCACCTCTAGTAAACCCCCCAATGGCGCGAGCACGACCAACCCATTCGATGTTGTACGTAGTAGCCTGTTACCTAATTCGCGAGTATATGGGCGCTAATAGCACGATAGGATGACCTGTTCCCGAACCCGCCTGATGATGGTGATCTGACGTGGGACCTTCAAGACGATCCCATCGACGAGCACGCACCCGGCGGCGGGACTGGCTCATCTGACAACTCCTTCGGGTTCATCGCGATGGACGGTCCCTCTAGCCTACTATCATCAGTCGACGCATCAACAGATTGGGTGGTCTTAGGCTGCACAGGCTCGACGAACGGCATTCAATCCACGACGGCGTTCTGCAGCAAAGCCCAGTCCAGTTCATGCGACGCCGTGTTCGAGAAGGGCGCGGCTAATACGTGCGTACTGTTCAGATGTTACTCTGCTGGAATTTTGACCGGATGATGACGCGAAAAAGGATCGTCAAGCTTCCGTCCGGCTGCGGCGGGCCGTATGCGCGCCTGCACAGCCTCGAGGTCAACGACACGGCCAGTGTTCCGGACTCTCATGTCTCTCGGTTGCCGACCGCCAATTCCGTATACACCCTGCAATTCGACTTCGACTTCAGTCGCCTGTGAGTCTACCCCTCCCGCCTTCATCTCCGGCTACTGAACACTCGTAGTGCGGAGACCCGGGACGCATCCGATGGCGCTGTGCTTCTGCGCATCGATGCAACCACCCTACCCGGATACTGGGAAGAGATTGACACGGATGGTGCGCTTCGTTCACGCACATTGATCGCCAGCCCAACATGTGCACAGATCCTGATTCGCCCGTCAAGCGCCGTGCGCTCGAAGAGAGGTGGTTCGGCGCATTCGGTGACTGGCTCTCGCGCCTGAACAAGGTCACGAAATCCACCAGCGCCGATCTCCTCATGCAGAAGTCGTTTAGCTCCGTCTTGTACTCTGCCAGTCAAAACTGCGCCAGCGATGATGGGACAACGACCTTTTCCGCCTCGCTCGATATCACGTGTTTTGGTAGTGCCACCGCTCATGTCGAATACGGTATGACAGACTTCTACGCCATTATGAGCGCGTTCAACCGACTGACGTCCCAAATAGGTTTTTATCTTGAAGGGCAAATCTTCCCGCCTCAAATTAATCAAGCCTACGTCTATGCATCCAATGACGGTTCCGCAACGCTTGGATTTGAGATCACGGGCAAGGCCGGGATCAAGTATGACACCAGTAAAGTCAAGCTCATCCCTTCCATCAACTGGCCTGGCGTAAGTCATGAAACTCTTCCAGCAGTCTACCGTGCTGATGTATAGCCTAGCTCTCGTATCCGGGCATCGGTGAGTCTTGTAATGTGCTTGTTCTGCATGGTCGCTGATGCACGCTCTCAGTCACCATCGGACCAGAGCTGAATCTCTACGGCCAGCTCACGGGAAGTCTAACCTTGTCGGGAACGTTCGGTACTCAGGCTACGTACACTATCCCGTCGACGTATGTGGTTACTCGTTTACTGCTACGCATGAGTTTCTCATCAATCATCTAGATATGTCAACATGGGTATCACCGACGGCTCGCAATCTGGAAACCGCGATATTGCCACAGAGACGTTCCAGATCCCTCAGAGTTAGTGACCCCTCTCGTGTGTTTTTCCCTGCTAATCTATATCACGCTCAGCTTGGAATATTAATCCTACCGCCGATGTCAATCTTGATGGTTCCCTTCAGTAAGCAGTCTCCGTGATCATGAGTGTACCGCAGCCGACGCCCAGCAAGGGTGGATGTAATCCCGGAGGCAGCGCTCGTCTTCCATCTTCTGCCGGGAACGCCTGTGTCGGTCGGTGCAAGCGGTATTCATTGCTCCCTCTCTCTGCTCAACATCGGCTCACCCATATCTTATAGCTTATATTGACCTCGACGGCTCCATGATCTTGTCCTTCAGCGCGGATCTCACTGGAGTCAATGCGCATGTCGGTACATCAGCGGACATCAATACTGGCGTCACTGCGGGAAACTCCCTCTTCAACTTCGGACCATACAATCTCTACCACGCTACCTGGGATATCTACGAGTACGGTGGATATCCTTTTGTGTCTTCCTTATCTGACAACATCGACCCCCAGTTATCACCTTGACTTCGGCACCTCCGATCCGACACGCCGCCGTTCCTTGGACGTACACCTGATGCTGCCAAACTTGACTACTCCGATGCCCTTTACGCCCAAGTTCTCTCCGTTGATGCACACGTACGAGAAGCGAGGGATATTTGATGGGCTTTTGACCTGCCCGGAACCAAGCGACCAGTCCACTGGAGAGGCGTCCTGTGACGCTGATCTCGCAGACGATGACCCTGCGGATGCGGACGATGATGATACTAGCGACGAAGTATTCCGCAAGCGGGAGTTTGTCACATTTGACGACTTGTACATGCCGGACACGCTTCTCGATCCAGACTACGATGCGACAGAACATCACCGTAAGCCACCTTTCCCACCTCAAGATAACGAGACATGCTGAAAGCGCGTCACAGTGGAGAAGCGCGTCAAAGTCATAGGCTGCTCCGCGCCCGTGCTGAGTGCTCCGAGTAATTCAATGCTCGCCTCTTGCATCTGTGAACCTCAGATTGACCTCCTGCGTCACAGACTATCGTAATACTAGGATCGACAATAGCTGGTATTTCGCCGACCCGTCGAAGTGAGTGCATCGCCATCGCAGTGATGGTCATTGTACTGATGGTGTCCGTCACGCCCAGTCCCAATAGCATCCTCATCACGAGTGAGTTAGAGAATGGTCGCTTTGGGTTTTGTAATTCCTGACATTGCATGGAAGATGCCGGTGCGAACGCACCCGGCGCGAAATACGCCAGGGAGCACGTGTACGAGATCCAACTGCTTACACAGTTCATGAGCGTAAGCCTTATCCCGTCGTTCCCCGATATGATACTGAGACGCAAATCAGGATCGCATCAAACCCGCACAACAGCAGTTCGACGGTGGCGATTTCTGTCAGTGGGTGCAGAAATACGTGTTCAAGAAGGTGAACTTCGGCAACGGCAACGCATACCAGCTGTCATCTCTCCTGGCGGAGACGGAGCCGAGCGGGAATGACCCCATGCCTGCATTGCTCACCGACGCCAATAGTGCGAAGTGAGCCCTCCGTCTCTCAGGCCCTTCCTAGGTCATCTGCTCACACCCTACCCTTCCAGACAAGCCTTCATCTCAGGGAAGCGTTCGTTCCGGAACCAAGGCACTTTGAACAAGATGGACCCCGGCAATGCGCTATACCTCCTCCGCTCTGCTGCACTTTCGCTGAAGTACATGAACGAACAAGACATCCGCACCAAATTCATCCGCGTTGCGCAGAACGTATGTCGCTTTCATCGGCCTTTTCTTAGCGTTGAATCTCAGTCGTCCTGCGGACACAGGTCGAGAACCTCTGGATACAGTTCTTTGCGGACTATAACGCCTTGTCTGGTGGTCAGGCCTCGGCTTACAACGTGCAGACGGACTACCGGTATGTCCCGTGACCCAGTGTTGCCCGTACGATATGCTGATGAGTATCGTGCAGAGACTGGCTGAACAATGTTAGTCTACTCATGTTCTCGTCCATACTATCTCCGCTTACCAAGACTGCAGGATATCCTTGACGGGTACGGGGACAGAGCTAACGAGTTCATGAACAACGCCGCAACGGCGGTGCAAACTGGAATCAATAATGCGGGGGGCACTCTTTCCACACATGCGCCCAAGGCTGTGCGTACTCTACATGTGCCCCATGCCGTGCAGCAACTGACGGAACCCCGAACCTACAGTGCTCGGCAACAGCAGTCACCTTCGACTCGACTGACCTACAGGTACTCATGACGATCTTCCCAGCTGGGATCACTTGGACCTACTACAGGTTTTCCCCATCACTTGGAAGGGCACAAGAGATGGCGATATCTACGCAGCTGCTGAACCGATTGCCATGATTTAACATGCTGAAGGTAACCTTATAGACTGCTGGAGGGCTCACAATCGATATCTTGTACCGATACGGGCTGGCTGTTCAGATACGCAGTAGGGGTGTGTGGGTCAAGAACCACCACTTGGAAGGGCTGCCATTTGCGAAGAACCAGCCGCTCAAACTTGTGCCCACGCTACAGATAGCATCCATAGTACTTCAAGACACACTACGAGAAGCCTCGGACCTCAGCTTCTCGTAGTTCGGGAGCTGGCCGTTGTTGACGACGACGTCGACGACGTGGTCACGTGATCGCATTTCCGCAGGGAGGACAGGTCTGCGTCATAGATGTAGCGAGACCCGCTAGAGCTGGGGCCGCTATAATTTACATGAGGGTTCTCGACGGCACTCAGGTTATCTATAACCAAGCTGAAGCCTTGAGAGTCGGTATCGGCCCCTGTGCGGGCCGATTCCCTTGTGTTTGGGCCATTCCCACGACTAAACTGCGGATACAGTACGTTTTAACGCGTTACATGGTCTGTGGCAGCACCAAGCGTACCATATGGCATATACACGCCATACGCAACAGGTACGATGAGGTTTGATCTGGTATTGGGCAAGCATCGCCATCCTTCCAAGTGGTGGGTGTCTTCCAAGTGATGGGGAAAACCTGTAGCGTCGTTCTCGCTTTTCTGACCTTCATTTATTTCCTTTCTTCATCTCATTTTCTCCGGGTTTAAGCGGGCTGTAGTCTACTATACAATTATTTGGGTCTCTTTTCTGGGTAGTACTATGTAACTCGCCCCTACATGTTTACAAAGAGGAACGATCAGGGAGCGTTCGCGCGACTAGACGCGGTCCGGGAAGCTTGACACTTGCGTCCACTGCCGCAGTAGTATCAAGTGTCACACATCCGCACGCGCAGACTACAGTCATTGCTTCCCATCGCTACAATGAGAGAAGAGGAGAGTTTCCTGCAAGGCCGTTATGCGCACGCGCATGTTGTCGGAACTCATGGACCTCGGCGCTCGTCCTTACTTCGCTCGGGTACTGTACCCCATCACCATCTGCGTCTGATACGACGACTGGCCATCTAACGGGCCTTGCACGGTCCGGACAGTTCTAGCAAGCGCACAGGCGCGCGGTTCTATACAACAGTGCTCTTCCCCAACAACCGTCATGACCTCGAGTGAGAACGCTAGCATTCCGGCGGGAGAGCAGTCTGCGGCCGCTGGATCTTCGTCTACAAACGACTCAGTCCTGGCGGCGCAACGAAAGGAGAAGGGGGCCCGCTTTGCTCAGTCGCGCGACGCTGGAATCGCGGAGATTCACAGCCAGTGGTGGTCTTATCCTCCCGTCACAGCAGCTGACAACGAGATCATCGAGCTGTCCTTCGTTGATGCCACTGGCAACTCCGAGCGTTGGGAGATGGAGCTCGTCCCGTGCTCTCTCAGCGAGCCATTCACGCATGCTGCCCAGCGTTTCCGTGTCGCCGCCAACAAAAGATACAGGCATCCGTTCTTGCCGTCCCGCCACTTTGACCTTTTGCTGGAGAGCGACCAGCGGTCTGACTTCGACTCTCTGTCTTCGCGCACTATAGCCGATGTCCTCGGCGATACACGCGAGGTTCGGTACGTGCGCAACGACAACGGGCAAGCCCAACGCGAAGAGCAGGAGAAGTCGCCCTCGAAGCTCTTCCCACCTTGGGAGCGGGCGCACCTCCTGCCATCATGGTGCGAAACACCCGACTTGTGGTTCGAGCCTACGCCTCCGCCGGGGTTCTCTGCCAGTAAGGCTCAAGGGAAGCAGTACTACGCCAAGATACCGACTCTGCACATCCCATTCGCTTGTATACGCTCCGCCGCGTTTCAACCGCAGCACGTAGCTCGGTCGCTCTACTTGCCCGTGCAGGACAATCCGATCACTGGCCAGACGAGCGCGTTCCTATTCGATCGTGAGAAGGACCTCGTACCATTTGCCAACCGTATTCCTACCTCCACCATCACTGTTGAGGCCGCTCGCTCCCTCCTTGGACGCTTCGTGCAGTCATCGACCGAGCCCCTACGCGACGACGCACCGCCAACCGCTAAGAAGCAGAAGAAGACGATGGGCAACAAGTACCAGGCTCAGACTGTCGCTATTGCTTGGGGCCTCACTGTTGATCAAGACGGAAAGCCGGACTGGTTGCACTGTGCGACACTGCGAGGCAACTGGCAGTTCGACGTCGTGCTTGACCTAACGGGACGGCTCAATCGACCATTTGGCTATCCAGGAGTCAAGCACGCAAATTGCGCTTGGCTTGGGGCTGTCGTGCTAGACGCTGATCGGCGAGCACTCGAAGAGAACGAGAGAGCTGAGCAGAAGGAGCGGCCTCCGCAAGATGCAGACCAGTTCTCGGAATGGTCGCAGAAGACGCGAAGGTGGATCAGGAACTTGAATGCGGAGAACGCCGACAAACTTATCGAGGTGAGTCAGGCGTCACTGACTTGGCTGCATACGAGCGGCCCTTGCTAAGACTGCGATAGGTGGGCCAGAACGGGACCTTCCTCGCCGGCGATATCGAGCTGGCCAAGGGCGATAGCGATGAGTTCGAGTTGACCATCTCAGGCGCAAAACCCGGCACCTGGCGCATGCTAGTCTCTGAACCATTGCTTGCGCAACTCGCCTGGGTTCGCGATGGCACTGTCGACTACGACGCATTGCTACAGGAACACGGCGAGACCCCGCGACCAGTGAATGTCAATGACAGCCTAGAGGAGCTCGGGACGTTTACTGTGGACTCCGGCCATGCCAGTCTCTTTTCCCAGAGCGCATTTGACAGCTTAACGTCTGGCAATGACCGAGAGGCGAAGATCGAGACGCTCATCGATGCGGCTATGGATGGTCGGGGAGATGAAGTGTATGTGCCAGGCGGTCTTGTCGGTGAGCCCTTGTTTAGTTCTTCATGAGGGAGTGACGCTGACTTGTGCCCGCCTCCAGTGAACGGGGACGACGGGACATACGTCCTCGAAGGCACGAGAGATGACGGAGGGCAGATCGTCTTTATCAAGTTACGCCCCTCGGAGGCGGAATGAGTGTCTTCACACCGCACTTGTAGATATATATTGACGGAAGTTCCTGTTCAACTCTTGATGAATCATCGGATTCATCGCGTGTGCCACGCGTATGCCGTGCATTGCACAATTCGAGGGTAGAGGTATATCTGAGTTGTTTCGGAAAAGTATGTAGCTGGACAAATTGGGCTGTATCGTGCACTGCTGTACATTCACGACGTCTACATAATGCACAACTATCGAGAACGTCAGCACCATCCGAGCTGAGGAATCTGAAGGACGTACCAAGCGTCAACATCGGCGTCCATCCCGTGAGCAGATGATGCCCCCGACCCTGACCCGTAGTTGCATTGTACTGCTCTCAAATGTACCCCGTCCGCTCATACTCCTGCGTCGAGAGTTAGCACAATGGCGAGCACCATACTAGACGAGAACGCACCTTATACACATTCTTCATAATATCCTCGCTGAACTCATCGTAGATAGCCTCAGCTTCCACCGGGTAAAGAGCCTCCTCCGCAGCGTATGTGGTATGGAGCGCGCGCAGAACGAGATAGTCATCTGCACCCGGATCGAACCGTTGAACAAGGGATCCGACGTCGACGTGGCCAAGCTCCGCAGGCCGTAGGAAGATCGGCGGTGTTCGGAAACGCGTATGAACTTGAGGATCGCGCCGACGTGGGGTGAGTCCGCGGGGAGGACCTCGAGCACGAGCGGGACGGTGTTGAGGTATCCGCGGTGGCACTCGGAGTAGTCCCCGTCTGTCCCCCATCACTCTGTCCCCTGCTTCACCATCTCGTACACAAGAGATGAGCCCTTCGCAGGGCTACTGAGCTCGAACTCCTGCAGCCGGCATGGTGGATGTATCGGTGCAGGTTCTGTCCACTCTCCGCATCATCGTCGATCTTCTCCACGTGCACGCGGGTTGGCTCTTGCGCAATCGACCTGGCCCCGAATTGCAGAAGGTGGGCCACTCGCAGTACTCCATACTACATTAGACCTCCGCTGTCTTCACCGCATCCTTTTTATCTGCGAGAGAGACTACTACTACAATGGCGCGCCTTCATCAATCTCGTCCAGAAGGACCGATCAAGCGGGAGCTGGCTCTTGTTCTCCGCCGAACACGACTCGAGTTTTGCTTTGGCATGAACAAGCACACGCTCAATGAGGATATCTGAGGTGATCATTCAGTCCATATCGTGAGGAGACCTAGGCGAGGGATGGCTTACGCTCATCGCTAGGAGCCAAAATCAGCAGACACTCGCATCAGTCGAGGTCAGGGTTAGCTCAGGCTGCAGCGCCGCTCAAGCCTCACATTTCTCTCGCACATGAATGAAGTGCGCTATCGCATCGCATCACCACTTGCTGGCTAATACTGATAACATGCGGTCCCACTCCATGCTGAACAAAATCGGGTACAGAACGCAAACCGAGATACACGTCGTAGATAAAAGAAACGAGAGACCCACTGAGTTCTTCAAGGGCCGGCGACGCAGTACTAGAACATATTGAGCGCTGTTCTCGCATCGAGTGGATCATGGCATGAGGCATACCTGTACACCAAGTTGAAGGTCTGTGCCTAAAGAGAAGGTTCAGTTGGATATCACCGGGAGCACTGAGGAACTGAAGCTCACAGGCCGAGTTGATCTCCGGGTTCCACTTCGTGAACTGTGCGAGCGTGATACTGAACTTGCTCTCAATGACGCTACAGTTGTCCCCTGAAGCAACCGTGTAGTACTTCTTGCAGCCCTGGCCCGGGGTAATAGTGCCCGATCCTGTCGGTGCTGCTGCAGCAGACGTGGACGTGGTCGCGGTCGTTGTCGGGATAGTCGACGCTAGGATACGTTAGGAAAGGGGTATGAGATGGATAAACGGGATCCGCACGTCCTGCAACACAGTACAGCAAGCCCGACTGGATGTTGGAACCTGTATCCATGGTTCAGTGATACGTGGTGGTAGACAAGAGCGACGGTACGCACATTGGCTGTTGACCTCTGGGTTCCAAGCCAGGAATTGTGCGAGTGTGATGCCACTCGCAGACTCGATCACCGTGCAATTATCGCCGGATCTCAAAGTACATCCGTCAACGAAGGGAAGCGAGCGGGAACGCGAGATGAACGCACTGGACTGTATAGTAGTCCGTGCAACCATCGGACGGCAGTAAGCTCCCCGAGCCAACAGTCGCTATGGACATCGTCAGAGATGGACAGAACGAGAAGCGAGATGAGCGTACGGCCAGACATGCAATACGCGTATCCGGGTCGTATGTTATCGCCTGTATCTGGTCAGCATACTGTAGGATTCATCGCGCGCGAGAAGAACTCACAGTTTGCGTCGACCTCTGTATTCCATTGACGGATCTGGTCGAGTGTAACGCTGTAGTTGCTCTCCATCGCTGCGCAAGTATCTCCCGATCTGTTGAACAAAGCTGTCGTGAGTCAAGCGAAAGGTCGCGAGATCGGGTAGGCGTACTCCACAGTATAGTACGCAGAGCAGCCCGCGCTAGGTAGGGTATCAATGCCGTGTACGAGCGAGAGGCAGTTGTGTACGCACAGAGTTCCTGGAAGCGTCGGGCTACTCGATGGCGGAGGACCAGCGATACAGTATGCAAGGCCAAGTTGGATGTTCGTGCCTGATGCCTATCGGTCAGCGCGCATTGGTCATAGAGCGGGCCGATCGGGCGTACATTGCGCATTCCTGACAAGACTAGATCAGAGAGGGTACGACCTACACAGGACGAACGCCGGAACGTACACTTCAGGGTTCCATGCGATGAAGTCGGACAAGGTGATGGAGTAAGTAGTCTCTATACCCGCGCAGCCGTCGCCCGACCTGTAAACCGGTAAGTTACCAGCTGAATCTATATGATATCGGGGAAACGTACTGTATGGTGTAGTATGCTACGCGACCAGTGAGGTTTGCAATCCTCCATGTAGATTATTTGATACGCACTCGTGCAGCCTGTCGTGATTGTTCCGGTAGCGATATTCGTGGGAAGAGGCACTGATGTCGAGGTCGACGTGGCAGTTGTGCTTGTTGATGTCTCCGGTGGAACGTTGCCGGTAGTAGGCGTATACTGCACGTAGGGCCCAAAGATGCAGTATGCCAGTCCGACCTGAGGACATTGAGTATGGCGGGCGACGCTCGCAGGATGATGACCGACCTCGATATTGCTACAGTCTGCATTGATCTAGAATTGCATGAGCCTCGTATCCCACCAGTGTACGGATGGCGTACCTCAGGGTTCCATGTGCGGAACTGGACGTCAGATATGCCAGACACGGTCTCGATCCCCAAGCAAGAGTCGCCTGTGGACGAGTCAGCTATAATCTTCACACAAGATGCGACGTGTTCTACCAGGCTGCACCGTGTAATCTGGGGAGTATTAGTATTGTTCGCATACGTACAGAGCGGTTACTGACACTGAAGGCACCCATCTTGTACCGTACCTGATGCGACGGTCGGCGTGGGAGTGACAGTGGACGCGTACGTTGTCGTTCCCGTGGCTGTGATGGGAACGACGGTCATGTTGGGTGTGGCCATGACGTAGCCGATTCCTTGCGGAAAGTCGCCGCCTGTGGGAAAATGTCAACCAGCTACCCTGGACCAAGACGCTGTGTTCCGTCGGCGAGCGTACCGAATATGGGAACGAGGGATGCGCCAGTAGTCGTCGGTCCAGGGAAGGAAGATGTCGTTGTAAGGTCTACGGATCGGTCAGCGGGTGTCGTAGGCCAGCGACGAAAGGATCACTTACTGCCGAAGACCGCAATGCAATACTCAAAGCCTGCGAGCAGATTGCTGCACTAAATCATAGTCAGCATCCAGACACTCACATTGCGGCTGGTCACTGACATCTTCGTTGACGAGAGGATTGAGCTGTTTCAAAGTAAGTACGATCAGAACTTCACCGACACAAGACAGTGACTTCGTACCGCATAGAACGTGTCATTCGTGATTTGATAGATCGAGAGTATCTGACCAGATGAGCTTAGAGGCCTCTTAAGGCGGGTACAGTTGAGTGAATACCTGAGGGCATGTGTCTACATGTGTCATATCGTCAGAGGGGCTCAAAGTACAGCGAATGATGCACTAACCTCCTGCGACAGCTTCATACCAGCCTCCACAGATCGCCCTGTCAGATCCAGGCGCCACGGCGCCAGTCGGAATGCTGAGTAGGGTGAGCAACATGATAAGATTAGCCATATGCCACTCACGCCAAAGCGGTCGGGGTACCTTAGGCGCGAGTGTCAACCGATGCAGGGATTAGAGCGAAAGTAAGAACCTACCCGAGACTTGGGCAACAGTAGTCGAAGAAACGTAGGCGCCGCCCGGCGCACTGACACAGATTGTCTTACCGACTTGCATACCGATGTTGGAGCACGTCGAATCCAGCTGACTACGTATGCGAACGGTGAGCATGGGCAGTCAACGTAGGAGGACAAGGTCTCACGGGTTCCAGGCAAGCAGTTGTGTCCAAGTTATATTGTGATTCGTATATAAACCAATACAGGTGTCGCCCGTCTGTATGGTGTAGAGCGTGCATGAGCCGGAACTGCAGATTTGACCGCCCGCTGCGGGGAGTTTGGTGCAGTTGACGTCGAGTCCGTTGATCGAGACTAGTTGGTCGTAGGAAAGACTGTTCGCTGAGGCGATCGAAGCGCAGGTATCCCCCGACTGCAAGCGGTAATAATGATATATCAGATCGCAGACAGAAAGCCGATGCAAAGATATGCATACCTTGACTGTCAGCTGTCCGTACGCGCAGTTCGCGGCAGAGGCTGGGGTAAGCGTCGGTGTTCTGATCTTACTGTGAACATTGACTGTTGAATTCAATGAATGAGGTACACACGCGGTGACGTTATAGGAAGTCGCGTTATAGGATGCAGCGGCGTTGGGGTCAAGAACCAAGCTGGATGGTACTGTATCGTCGTAAGAAACGGCGCATTCGGTCTGGATGTCCGCCCAATCATCGACACTTCAAGAGATGGTGAGCTCTACTATTTCAGGGCGATGGCGGGACAGCCTCACAAGTTTGCGTCCCAACCGAACGGACTTGACATTTGTATGCGAAGCGCGTCGAGGGAGCAGCTGGCGCACACGACAGACGAAGGCTCGGCCCCAGTAGATTCCGTCGTAGATGGATTCGCCTAGCTAGGTCAGCAAAGCTGAAGGCGATCAGACTAGGGAGCGATGTGCGCACTTGTTCGATATTGACGCAGTACGCGGCACCGCTAGTGATACAGGTCTGATGTAGTAGTGAGAGATGAGTCCTCGGACATTATCTGTGAACGCGATCACGCACCAGGTTCCAAGTGTACGCGAGGAAGCGGAAGCTGAGAAAGATATCAGAATAGCCGGATGAGCCGAGTAGAGCGCGAACGTACGGGAGCGAGGCGATGTAACTGGTGTCGCCAACAATGTAGGGCCAGCCTGAACAAGCTTTGTCTACGGAATCCACCGCCGCGGTAAGCGAGTCGAAGCAAGTTGAAGTGCACAGTTCGTCAAGGTCCGCAGATGTCAGATTCGAGACAGGGTTACTGGAGCTGGGGACAGCGAAGGAGAGGATTTGCGGGCAGTCAATGGAAACCGCCAATGCGTTCGCGCAAGAAGAAGAGCTGGGGAGGGGATATATGTCGGATGCATTGGAAAAGACACTGAATGTTGGCTGGCTTTGAGCGAGTGCCGGGCAGACAACTGAGAGGAGAAGTACGCTGGACACGATATGAATCGTCAGTCGACTCATGACGAGAAGATGGGCCATCATACCACACAAGTAGACGCTGATTCAAGGTCAGTCCTTTTGAGCAGGCGTCGATAAAGACGGAGAGAATTCCGATGAGTGGAGATCAAGGCCCCGCGGACTGCTGTCGAAGGCGAAACGCGGACTACTTTCACGCCGTAAAGCTCCCAGAAGTGCTAGCACAAGGCATGCCTTCAGAGTTGCATCGAATGGGGAAAAGAGTTGGAGGTTGTACATATATCATGATGAGCGTACAGAGCTAAGGACCTCCTTCTGGATCGCAAACGGAATTGACGCGGAGAGGCTCGGGCCGTTTGACGCCTTGCACGCACGCGCATCCCACGCTCGTCGCATCGTCGGGACGGTCTTTGCCTTCTCACTCCATGGCCTCAGCGAGTTGTCGCACTATCCCTGTCGGAAAGACGGAACAAAAATATCACCTGAATGTAGCCTACGGCTACTCGCGCTCAGATAGTATCGGTTCGCTCGGAACTGGCCTGTCCGGATCGCAACAACTGTACGAGGTCCACGACAAGTCCACGACCCTCAATCGCCATTCTCGAGTTCAGCAGCATGCGGCGCTATGCAGCAGTAGACGAAACGCTCTAGTGCCAAGACAGGGTTCTTTTGCGAAGCACCGCCAGAGTTCGAGAGGTGTGGTCCTGCAGAAGCGATAAAACCCTCCTGGACTTGTAGCGAGTTGGCGTGCCTTCAGCCCGTCATGATTTTTGTAAGGTCGAGTACGAGGCGGGGCATCTTCGCCTTCGCCCTGCTCGCTCTCTTCACCCTCTCTTTGATCTCAGAATCAACCGCCGTCAAATCGGTTTATCTCAGCCCTCGCGCACAAGAACGTCGCCGGGAGCGTCGCCGGGAACTTGCCCTCGCAGAACACCGCCGAAGCACATCAGTTCATCGCGCGGCTCCCGTAGTCACTCAGGTTCCACCTCGACCGCCTCCCGCTTCTCGTCAGGCCCCAAGTCATCCTCCTGTTCGAGCATTGGGCCCCGTCTCTCCTCACTCCAAGATCACCATTCCACGCACACTCCGGGATAGGTCCTCTTTCGACAATGGTCACGGTCATGACGATGCCACGAGCCGAATTCGCGCTCGTCAAGTTAACAACGAGTCATGCAACAATATCACCATCACTCCGCCCGGATGGGATGGCAGTTGCTCAGCAGACGATCCGTGTCCGAATGGAGCTTGCTGGTATGATAGAAAATGCCGTATGCCTGACCTGGACTGACTTGATTCTCTCTGCAGTGGCGCGTCTGGGTTCTGCGGTTATGGTAAGTCATGGATCTTCTGCATGCTCATCAGCCCGTTACGTTAACCACGCTCGTTCAGGCGATACTTTTTGCGGCGACGGCTGTATTAATAACTGCAATGCAGTCGCTGAATGTGGTCCAAACGCTGCACCGGGCAATGAGGAATGTCCTCTTAATGTATGCTGCAGCGAATTCGGCTTCGTAAGTAGCACTATCGAGCTCGACTCGCCTGCTTACCCCACATACTGACGCGTCTTGACGTAGTGCGGGTCAACCGATGAATTCTGTGGCGCCGGCTGCGTGGGTGACCATTGTGGCACACCAGCTATCCCCTCTGGTGTGAACTCGGATGTCACGACGCGTGTCGTTGGCTACTATGAGGTGCGCTAGAACTCGCAGTACGAGTGTCTGCTTTGTTTCACAACGATATGAAGGGATGGGCTTCTTCGCGGGCGTGCGACGCTTGGTTTCCTCCCAATATTCCCTCCAACGGCTATACCCATCTCAACTATGCTTTCGCGCTCATCGACCCGGTAAGTACTCCCCATATTGTAATGCATCCGGCACCAACAGTATCACACAGGGCACGTATGCTATCGTTCCGATGGCGGCCAGTGACGTTGCACAGTACACGCAGTTCACCAACTTGAAACAGTCAAACCCAAACCTCAAGACATACATCTCCATCGGTGGCTGGTCGTTCAACGATCCTCCCACACAAACGGTCTTCAGCGATATTGCTGCTTCCGAGGCAAACAGCCAAGCGCTGGCAAACTCGCTCGTCAAGTATGTGCGCCCGTGATCGGCTGTATTACGCTTCTCATCAGCCACTTCGTCAGGTTCATGGTCACGTATGGCTTCGATGGCGCCGATATGTACGTCTTGTGATGTAGGCTATCACTGTTCGTCTTACTGATGCTCATACTAGCGATTGGGAATATCCAGGTACACCACTTTTCAGTTGGTATAGGTGTAAGTCGCTGAGATCGTTCCCAGTCGCTTGCGAGCGAGGTGGAGTACCGGCGGACAGAGATAACATGGTCAACATGTTTCAGATTATACGTACCACGGTGAGTGCCTTCTTCAGCTAGTGGTCTATCCAGATGCTCAGGCGGCCCCAGTTCGACGCGTCCGGGCATACGTTCGGCCTAACCTTCACGGCGCCTACGTCTTACTGGTATCTCCAGCACTTCGATCTCCTCGGCTTGTTATCCCATGCCGACTGGGTGAACCTTATGGCATACGATCTGCACGGTGTCTGGGATGCGAAGGACATCTTTATCGGCAACGTCGTTCAAGCTCACACGAACTTAACCGAGATCAAGGATGCCGTCACGCTATTTCAGCGCGTGGGCGTGCCGCTCGACCGTATCGTCCTCGGTCTTGGATTCTATGGACGCTCTTTCCAACTCTCGGATCCAAGTTGCAGCAAACCTGGGTGTTCCTTTTCGGGACCAGCCCCTGGCGGACGTGAGCTACAGTTGCTGTTGCGACTTTGACATCACTGAGATTCGTACTACAGCATGCACGGCATCCGACGGTACCCTTAGCTTCGCAGAGATCCAAACCATCCTCGCCACCAATCCCAGCGAAGGTAGCGTCAGCACGACCACCCCGGTCTATGACGTAGACGCGCAAGTCAAATACGTGGTCTACAACACTGTGCGTAGATCACCCTTACATCCCATGTTCGTCTTGCTAAGGACCTCCGGATAGGATAATTGGGTTAGCTATGACGATGCGGAGACATTGAAAGCGAAAGTGTCCTGGGCCAAGGGCGCTGGGTTTGGTAAGCATATGTTACCTCAGTCCTGCGTACGGCATGACATTGATCGGGTCCTGTAGGCGGTCTCATGGTCTGGTCTGTAGACCAAGACGACTTTAAGTGAGTTTGTATTGACATCACAGATGGCTGTACGTTCCTCTAACAAAGATCTTCGCCGATCAGCTCGACCGTACGTGCCGTTTAGCCACCGTATGAGCCAGGCTCATCAGGTTTATAGGCACTCTCCGCCATCCTCGGACAAGACGCAACATGTAAGTGACCTCTGCGTGTGGTCACCTCCGTCTTCATCTCACTGTACTGCACAGTGGTTATCCCGCAGGCCACGGACGTCAACTCGAAGGACGGCAAGACTTGCATGCAGCCCGGATGCGGTCAGACATGCCCATCTGGTTATATACAGATGTCAGGTATGTACATATGTAGTTCAGCACGCCGCCAGTGCTGAGCCAATCGTAGATACGACGGACGGCAAACTAGCCGACCCTAAGACAGGCTGCAAGGATACCGGCAATCCGGTGTGTTGTCCGGTCGAGTATGCCCTCTTCTACCTTGTGCGCACTCGTGTTCTCATATCATAATAGCCAGATACCTCAAAACTGCCGGTGGAGAGGGACAGGTGCGAGCTTTGTCATCAATTGATTCGCCATGCTGATCATTGTCTAAGCTCCGGACTGTAATGGTGTTTGCCAAGGTGCGGCCAAGCCTTTGCCCACTGATTCAAGTCTGACTTCTCAATTTCCAGTCGGCGAGATAACTCTTGCAACCGACTCTTGTATGTGTCGCCTAATTGCTATCCGCTCCGCGCTGATGAATCGATAGGGGGGACCGGCAAGCGATGCTCCTCGGGCCATAAGGCCTTCTGCTGCGAATCCGGCTTGACGGACGAGCAGATAAACGAGGCTACTGATTGCGCCTGGTATGGCCATCAGTCGAGGAAGTACGTCACTCTATACTTTTCGTGCTTACTCGCGGATACTCATGCTCTTTCGCATAACAGCTGTAACGACAACGTACGTTGACGTTCGCCATGATCCTTCCCACCGTCTCATTCCTCCTCACAGACTTGTCCCGCTGGCACATTCACGAAGGCAAGAGATTGTGCGTCTATCCCAGCGATGGGTGCGCACCGCATTGATGACCGTCACAGATTACGGCGATACAAACCTCTTTCACGCCTGTCTCATGCAAGAGAAGTCATATTGCTGGTAGGTACCCACGCATACCTTGTCGACGCGCATCAGTATACTCACAGCATGCCCAGTAAACCCCCCAACGGCGCGAGCACGACCAATCCATTCGATGTTGTACGTAGTAGCCTGTTACCTAATTTGTGAGTATTTCGGCGCTAACAACACGACAGGATGACCTCTTCCCGAACCCGCCTGATGATGGTGATCTGACGTGGGACCTTCAAGACGACCCCATCGACGAAAACGCTCCTGGCGGCGGGACTGGTGCTTCTGACAACTCCTTTGGTTTCATCGCAATGGACGGCCCGTCAAGTTTACTGTCGTCAGTTGACGCATCAACAGACTGGGTGGTCTTGGGCTGTACAGGCTCGACGAACGGCGTCCAATCCACAACGGCGTTCTGCAGCAAAGCTGAGTCGAGTTCATGCGACGCCGTGTTCGAGAAGGGCGCAGCCAACACGTATGTACTATCCAGATGTTGCCTTGCTCAGGCTCTGACCGATGATGACGCGAAAAGGATCATCAAGCTTCCGTCCGGCTGCGGCGGCCCGTATGCGCGCCTGCACAGCCTCGAAGTCAACGACTCGGCTAGTCTTCCTGACTCTCATGTTTCTCGACTGCCGACCGCTAATTCCGTATATACCCTGCAATTCGACTTTGACTTCAGCCGCCTGTGAGTCTCCTTCTCACATGACCCTCTGCGAGTACTGATCGGCCTGAAGCGCTGAGACCCGAGACGTATCCGATGGCGCCGTGCTCCTGCGCATTGACGCGACCACCCTTCCCGGGTACTGGGAGGAGATCGACACAGATGGTGCGCTTGGTGAACGCGCATCGACTGTCAGCAACACTGATGATGCTCGACATGCGCACAGATCCTAATTCACCTGTCAAGCGCCGTGCGCTCGAAGAGAGATGGTTCGGTGCATTCGGCGACTGGCTCTCGCGTTTGAATAAGGTCAAGCAGTCCACCAGCGCCGACCTCCTCATGCAAAAGTCTTTCAGCTCCGTCTTGTATTCAGCGAGCCAGAACTGCGCTAGCGATGACGGGACCACGACTTTCTCTGCCTCGCTCGATATCACATGTTTTGGTAGCGCCACCGCTCACGTCGAATACGGTATGATTGACTTCCGTGCCATCCTGATTTGTGCATTCAACTGACCAACGGCGCGATAGGTTTTTATCTTGAGGGGCAGATCTTCCCACCCCAGATCAACCAAGCATATGTCTATGCGTCGAACGACGGTTCAGCAACACTTGGATTCGAGATCACGGGCAAGGCTGGGATCATGTATGACACAAGTAGAGTCAAGCTCATCCCTTCGATCGACTGGCCCGGTGTAAGTCTTGCAACCCTCATAGCAATCTGCTGTACTGATTTGCAGCTTAGCTCTCGTATCCTGGTATCGGTCAGTTCCATCATGCTACTGTTCTCGATTGGCACTGACATACGCTCTCAGTCACCATCGGACCTGAGTTGAATCTCTATGGCCAGCTTACTGGTAGTCTGACCTTGTCGGGGACATTTGGGACTCAGGCTACGTACACCATCCCGTCAACGTATGTAGCTCTCTGAGGCGACGTACCAAGCGCGAATTATTGACTCGCGCATGTTATTCACCGTCTAGATATGTGAATCTCGGCATCACCGACGGCTCTCAAGCTGGTAACCGAGACATCGCCTCTCAATCGTTTCAGGTTCCTCAGAGTTAGTGACTCCCTTATGTGTCTTTCCTTTCTGCTGACATATATATCACGCGCAGCATGGAATATCAAACCTACTGCCGACGTCAACCTTGATGGTTCCCTGAAGTAAGCAGTCTCATCAGAATCATCAGTACATCGCAATTGACGCCTAGTCAGGGTTGATGTTATACCGGAAGCAGCGCTCGTCTTCAATCTTCTTCCAGGGACACCTGTGGCGGTTGGCGCAAGCGGTAATTAACACTCCATTTATCTGCGCAACTGCAGCTCACCCATATCTGCCAGCTTACGTTGACCTCGATGGCTCTATGATCTTGTCCTTCAGTGCAGACTCTACCGGTGTAAACGCGCACGTCGGTACGACAGCAGATATCAATACTGGTGTCACGGCTGGCAACTCCCTCTTCAACTTCGGTCCATACAATCTCTACCACGCGGCTTGGGATCTCTATGAGTACGGTGCATGTTCTATCGGCGCCTTTCTGAGCTGACGCGTCGGGTCTCAGTTACCACCTTGCCCTCTCCTCCGATCCGACACGCCGTCGTTCCTTGGACGAACACCTACTGCCGAACTTGACCACACCAGTGCCATCTACGTCGAGATTCTCTGCACTGACGCACACTTACGAGAAGCGCGGGATCTTTGACGGGTTGTTGACCTGCCCAGAACCAGTTGATCAGCCCACTGGAGAGGCATCCTGCGACGCTGATCTGGCAGACGACGACCCTGCGGACGCGGACCCTGATGATACGACAGACGAGGTGTTCCGCAAGCGGGAGTCTGTCACATTCGACGACCTGTATATGCCGGACGCGCTTCTCGATCCAGCTCACGATGCAGCGGAACATCACTGTCAGCCGTTTTTCCCACATCCGCCAGGTAGATTGTGCTAAATCGGGTTACACAGTGCAGAAGCGCGTCAAAGTCATAGGTTGCTCTAAACCTACCTTGAGCGCTCCGAGTATGGCCTGTCTCGTACATTCACGAGCATGTATTCACCTCTCGCGTGATAGACTACCGAAACACCATCATCGACAATAGCTGGTATTTTGCAGACCCGACAAAGTGAGTACATCGCCACCGTTGTGATCTTCATTGTGCTGATGGCACCCGTCACGTCTAGCCCTGACAGCATCGATATCACAAGTAAGGGGAACGGCAAATCGCCCCGCAAGATTGCTGACATATAATGGCAGATGCCGGTGCGAACGCACCCGGTGTGAGATTCGCTAGGGAGCATGTGTACGAGATCCAGTTGCTCACGCAGTTCATGAGTGTTAGTCCTGTTGTCTTGCCTTTTTCGGATACGGCACTGAGACGGAGATCAGGATCGCATCCAACCTGCGCAACAACACTTCGACGGTAGCGATTTCTGTCAATGGGTGCAGACATACGTGTTCAGAAGAGTAAACTTCAACAACGGAAACAGGTACCAGATGTCAAGCCTTTTAGCAGCGACGATGCCGGCTGGGAACGACTTGATGCCCGTGTTGATGACCGACGCCAACAGTGCGAAGTAAGTCCCTTGTTCCCCAGTTGTTTCCCCTGGCTCACTCACTGACGCCTCGGCTTGTCAGACAAGCCTTCATCTCGGGGAAGCGTCAATTCCGCAACAAGCGCAAACTGAACACGATGGACCCCGGCAATGCGCTATACCTCCTCCGCTCTGCCGCACTCTCAGTGGAGTACATGAACGAGCAAGACATCGAGACCAAATTCACCCTCGTAGCGCAGGATGTACGTCGCATCCGTTCACCTTACCTGGGTCTTTGATCTCAGTTGCTCTCCGAACATAGGTCGAAAACCTGTGGATACAGTTCTTTGCGGACTATAATGCCATGACTGGCGGTCAGGCCAACGCTTACAACGTGCAGGCGGACTACCGGTATGTCAATTATCTCAGTGCTTTTCATGATAGAGGCTCATGAGTATCGTGCAGTGACTGGTTGAACAACGTCAGTCAACACACAGACAGACTCACCCTTACTATCATCATTGACCGAGACTGGCAGGATATCCTCGATGGGTACGGAGACAGGGCAAATGAGTTCATGAACAACGCGGCGTCGGCAATTCAGACGGGTATCAATAATGCCGGGGGTGTTCTCAACACGCACGCACCCAAGACCGTGCGTAACCCATCTTGACCATGTCGTACAGATACTGATCGCACACTAACCTCTACAGTGTTCGCCGACAGCGGTCACCTTCGACTCGGCTGACCTACAGGCACTCGTGGCGAATTTCCCAGCCGGAATCACTTGGCGCTACTAATGTCGTTCTTCTCGTTTTTCTTCTCGTTCCTCTTTCTATATTCTGTAGTCTGTCTTCCCTTCTACTCCTTCTGAACCCCTTCTTCTCAGCGTAGTCTAGTCTACTATACAGCCATCTGCAAGTAGTACCGTGTAAGTTGTGTCTTCATCATTCCAGATATATCATTTCTTTATGTTTCGACGAGAGGAACCAATCAGGGAGCGTTCTCGCGGTTGACAGTCCGCTTGACGACACCCGCCTCAACTACATATCCGAGCGTAAACAACCGCGGCATAGTCTGAAGGGCAAATCGTCTTTATCAAGACACGCCCCTGGGAGGCGGATTGAGTGTGCGCTTCACATTACACCTATAGTTATAGATATTGACTGCTTCAAATGGACTCTGAATCAATCATGGCTCCTGTCAGGTATGTCAGACAAATGCCGTGCTTTGCACATCGTAGCGATATATCTGGGGCTTGCAATACTCAAAACGTTGTGAATGTACATTAGCGCGCGGTAAAGTCGCGTCCATCCAGCACTCAGTACTTTTCCGAGATAACTATCGAAAACGTCAGTGCAGTTCGCGATGAAGGATATCAAGCACGTACTAAGCGTCACCATGGACGTCCACCCAGTGAACGGGTGGCTCCTCTGACCCTGCCCCGTCGTCGCGTCGTACTGCTCCCACACATATCCAGTCCTCTCATACTCCTACACCAAGGTTCAGCACGATGAAGAGCACCACATTGAACGAGTCATTACCTCATGCACGTTCTTGATGATATTTTCCCGTAATTCATCATAGACGGCCTTAGCCTCCGCTTGGTACGGACCCTCCTCAGCAGCATACGTGGTATGAAGCGCACGCAAAACGAGGTAGTTCATCTGCACCCAGATCGGACCCTTCCAGTAGTTTTCGCCCTTTCCGAAGAGCGGGTGCGATGCGGACAGACTGCGAAGGCCGTAGGGAGACCAGAGGTGCTCGGGGTCGCGTAAGAGCTTGAGGATCGCGCCGACGTGGGGTGAATCGGCAGGTAGGAGCTCAAGCATGAGCGGAAAGAGCGAGAGGTAGCCGCGGTTGCACTCGAAGTAGTCTTCGTCTGTCCGTATGGTCAGCCATCAATCTTCGGGATAGTCAAGCCGCGCGGCATACCGTTCTCGTCCAAACCAACATCGCAGTACATCTGCTCCTCCTCATTCCAATGCAAGTCCTCAAGGTTATCCTTGATACCTTGCTCCACATCCGTGAACAGCGCAAGATCATCCTCAGCGCCAATGAACTCCGCAATCTCACGCATCGTCCGGCTGAAGAAACCCATCCAGCAATGCAAGTCGAGGTGCAGCTCGCCCGCATTCGCAGGTGCGCGGGGGTAATCGTCCATACCGCTTGTGAGAACATGCTCGGCACTGCGCCCACGCCAGCGGTACGCCTCAGTGCGCGAACGGGGACGCCGGCCGTAGGCTTTCAGTTGACCGCGCTGCGTACGGCGGAACCAGTCGTAGTGCCTGCGGAGGGGCTCGTAGATAGACGTCAAGAAGTCCACGCCTGCTTCACGATCCGCGAGGTAGGCGCGGCCGGGTTGAGGAGTAGATGGAGCATTGAGCAGAACTTGGGCGCTGTTGTCAAGGCCGAGTTCGGCGTTGGAGACGCCTGATGATGACAAGCGTAGGCGCTTGATGTACGCGGTGACAGCCATCGTGAGTGTGGGCGGATTGGCGTAGCGCGGGACTTGCGTCTGGAAGTCGGCTGGGACCTTGCTGCGAGCCTCCTCTCCGAGAATCTGCTCTCGTGCGACCCACCCGTCGTCGTCGATGAGGTTGATCCAGTCCTTCAAGATCTCGAGGCTGGATGAACTCGTCAGTTCCGGTGCGTGCAGGACTGAATGGGGCTTACCTGAGGTCGTTGTCCCATTCGCCAATGTGAAGTAGGTGGAAGCCCTCGTCCCAGTAGAAGCCGCGCGGGAAGAAGCTGCGACTGGGTGTCGCGGTGAGCAGAGCACGGGGTGCTGTGAAGCCAGCGCCAGATTGCGCAGTATCTTCATCCTCGTCGTCCTCTTGATCCCACTCGTACGCAAAGCCTCGGTCGACGATGGATCGGCCGTAGAAGTAACCGATACCGCCGACGATGTTAGAGGTCAGGGCTTGCGAGAATGCTTGGAGGGAGTCGTGTTCGGGTCCAGACGGGACGGGGAACGTCTCTGAGAAGCGCTTGGTGAGCTTCGTGGTGAGATCGGGCATCACTTCGTCGAACATGGCGGCTAGTAGGTTGTGTGAGCTTTGATAGGGCGCGAAAGAGGCGTTGGACATACATGTAAGGTGGTGATTGCTGCTACTGCTCTCATAGAATACATCGAACTGGAACGGGCCGTCGAAGGACTTCTGGATTCCATACAGCGTTGCGCCGTCGTCCACCTCATTAGGGAACTGCAAGACAAAGGACGGATCGGGCGGGGCTTGACCCTTGTTCTCCTGGTATGGCTCAAGCTTTGCTTTCGCGTGAACAAGCATGCGCTCCATGAGAACATCTGAGATGCTCAGTCAGTCCATACTGTTAGGTGAAGTGACGGAGGGATCCCTACCCTTTGCCTTCCAGATGTCGCCAGATGGAACGCGTGCGCCAGAGATGTGAGTCTTGCCCAGGCGGTCTGCGAAGTCATGGCTGTATGGACCACTCGTCACAGCAGTGTTTTCCGGGCCTGACGAGACGGTAAGAGACGCAGTCACGACGCTTGGCAAGTGGATACTGACCGTCAACGATTCTGATGGTGAATTCGTCCAGGTCTGGGCTAAAGCCAGAGAACTTGATGTCGCCTTCAATACCCTGTCGTGTCATACATGAGGTCATGTTCAAAATTTATCAAGCGAGCCTAACTCACGCTGCTTGGCAGCTTTGTGTCAAGCTCAAGACCACCCATGCCCTCGATGCCGGCGTAGTAGATGAATGATGTGCGCATCGGTCGCGCTATGGCGTGTATAAGTATGACGCTCTATCGAAGAGAGCAAACATTGTGACACACTTTCTGTCAATGGTTCTCCCTTGATGCGTACTGCCCAGCTTCCACCGTGGCGCCCGCCTGGCACTTTCAATAGCTCCGTCGTGACCTTCACATTGTTCAAGCCATCCTTCAATACTTGTGTTCCGCCTTCTCTGGCGTCGTAGTTCGTCCAAGTGTACGATTCCAAATTATCGCCCTGCTCGCATGAGTGCCTGGCCTCTATATTATGACTGCATCAGCTTTAGTCCAATGAACCCATCCAATATAACTCACTGGTAAATGACGGGTAATCTTGCGTTCCAAACCATATGAGTCCGGTCATAAGGGATTGTGGTACACGTGGCCGCATCCCAAAGTATAAGTTGGACCGGTATGGACCCCATATTAATGAATCCGAGTTGTTCGCCGCAGCGTCCAGCGCGAAAGCCGCTGGAACGGCGCTCAGCGCCGCGAGAAGCCAGGTCGAGCGCATACGCTCTTGTTCACAGCCTTTTGTAGTGAGATGTCCGAAAGTCGTGCAGGGTCTTATTGATGCCACGCGCTCTCAGTTGGTGAGTGGACGAGCGGCGGTTGGTGGTGAGCAGCAACTCGTGGTCGGCGGCGCGGACGTGTTCGTCCCAGCGATCAAGAAGCCGCCACAAGATAAGATGTTATCTTATCTAAACCCGCGTAAGTCCGTTTCGCGCGCGTCAACTCCTCAACCTTTACTCGTACTCCCATCATCCTGTGTTCGGAAGTCTGTGCTTATCTCAGATAGGCCTAGTCAACACAATACGGTAGCCAGCATGGCTACTGGTATCACCATTCGAAAGCGCCCGCTGGAAGATGCGGTTATTACTCAGCGTAAATTCTTCAAGAAGACGGCCAAGGGGAAGGTCATCAAGGGTACGTACTCTTACGCGGTCTAGCTTCACAACACTGACGTACATTCAGTGATACGCGAAAGATATCTACGCGATGATATCGGTTGCGGTATTACTGGCTGCAGAGAATGCCCTAGTACGAGCTCGCCGGAGCCCTGTCTACCACTGTACGGCTCGAATGACCACCAGTCTTTCCCTCACGGACACTTTGTACTCCCTGATACGAATGTCTTCTTATCGCAAGTACGCTTGGTATGAATATCTTTGTCCGCAATACCTAAGGGCGGTCTGCAGATGGACCTTATGGAGTCGGACATGTTCACGACGCCGATCATCTTACTGCAGACAGTACTGGAGGAAGTTCGACATCGGTCATTGCCGCTTTACAACCGCCTCAAAGCTCTCGTCAAGATAGAGGAGAAGCGCACATGGGTGTTCTACAATGAGTTCCGCTCGTGAGTTGTGGCGCCGCGATGCATCATATTCATTTGCTTAATTCTGTTTAGAGAGACTGCCGTGGTGCGCGAGGAAGACGAGACGCCGAATGATCGCAATGACAGAGGTACGATATGCCTCTGTACAACGTACTCCTATTGGTCACTGACTGGGCCCCGCAGGTATTCGTACAGCAGCAGCTTGGTTCAACACACATCTCGCCATGACGCGCCCTCCAATCCGCGGCCAGACACAAAAACCCCTCCCAAGCGTCGTACTCCTTACCGACGACGTTGCAAACAGGCAAAAGGCAGAGAAGGAGGACATTCCCTGTTTCTCCGTCCGTCAGTATCTCAAGGGCCACAAGAACGTCGATCAGCTATCCGATCTTCTTGCCGTTCAGAAGGACGACACCATTGAAGTGAAGGGTCCCGCTGGCCGCCAAGCCGTATACCCGGAGTATCTGCCTACGGGTGCCGTTCTTGCTGGTGTGAAGGCCGGCAAACTTCATCAGGGTCACTTCAATGCCAACGAGTTCAACTACCTGGAGGTACGATAGACCTTGTGTTCGGGTGCCAACTGAGTCACTGAGCGCGCTATAGGGTAGTGTCAATGTGCCCAGTTTCCAGAAGCCAGTTCTGCTCGTTGGTCGCGAGAACATGAACCGAGCCGTGAATGGAGACATCGTCGCCGTCGAGGTATTCGACCCGAAGGACTGGAAGGCTCCGGCGGACGAAGTTGTCGATCAAGAGGGTATGCCTCTTACTGTGCTTGATGAAATCCGCCTTCTCATGAATCTTAGTCACACTCAAGAATGACGACGTCGAGGACTCGGAGGAGGAAGGCGACCCGCTGGAGCCCATCGCGGAGGAGTTGCGCATCTTGAAGGAAGAGGAAGATGCGCGAAGGGCGGCAGAACGTCAACCTACAGGGCGCATCGTCGGCGTCATCAAGCGCAACTGGCGAGCGTGAGTTGCATCTCTGGTGTATCTCTCAACCCGTGCAAACTAACCGTCTACCTAGCTATGTGTGCCACATCGACTCTACATCCCTCACATCTCAAAGTTCAACTTCGATGTCCCAACAAACCGTCTTCGCTGCGCCAGTCTCACGCCTCATCCCACGCATTCGTATGCGCACACGACAAGCACCTTCACTCTTAGGCCAGAAGATCCTCGTTACTATCGATCGCTGGGACGTCACGTCCCGCTATCCCGAGGGTCACTTCGTTCGCGCGCTGGGTCGCGCCGAGTCAAAAGAGGCCGAGCAGGAGAGCTTGCTTCTCGAGTTCGACGTACCATACCGGCCGTTCGGCAAGGCCATTCTCGACTGCCTACCAAAAGAGGGAGAGCAGTGGGTTGTACCTCCTAAGAGCGATACCAGCCCTGAGTGGCGCGATCGCGAGGACCTTCGAGATCTTGTGATATGCAGTATCGACCCGCCAAACTGTCAAGATATTGACGATGCCCTGCATGCACGACTACTACCGAACGGGAACATCGAGGCCGGCGTCCGTAAGTAGTGTCCTCAGCGCGTCATGTCTAGGTACTGAATTGAGTTTAGACATCGCCGACGTCTCCCACTTCGTACATCCGGATAACTCTATGGACAGCGAAGCAGCGGCGCGTGGCACAACTGTGTACCTGGTAGACAAGCGCATCGATATGTTGCCTTCTCTCCTCGGGACGAACCTGTGTTCCTTAAGACCGTTCGTAGAGCGGCTTGCCTTTTCCGTCATATGGGTGCGCTTCATTCAAACCCGTTTAACACCGAACTCGTCCATTCATTCTCATGATGATGATACAGGAACTTTCTCCCGAAACGGCAGAGATCGTCAACGTGCGCTTCACGAAGAGCGTCATTGCTTCGAAGCAGGCATTCACGTACGAGGAAGCGCAGTTGCGCAAGGACGATGCTTCTCTGAACGACCCGCTCACGGAAGGCATCCGTCTACTCAACTCTATCGCTATTAAGCTCAAGGCGGGCCGTATGCGCGCTGGTGCCCTCAACCTCGCATCCCCGGAAGTCAAGATTCACCTGCAAAGCGCCGAGAGCAGCGACCCTATCGATGTTGAAGCGAAGGAGCTCCACGAGACCAATAGTCTGGTCGAGGAGTTCATGTTGCTCGCGAATATCAGCGTCGCGCGGAAGATCCAGGAGAGCTATCCACAGACCGCTGTGCTCCGTAGGCACATGCCACCGCCGAAGGAGAACTTCGAGAAGTTGCAGGATATCCTCAGGCGACGGAAGGGTCTGTCGCTGGACGTATCGAGCTCAGGCGCACTCGCGGCGAGCTTAGACAAGTGTCTTGATCCGGGTGAACCCGCGTTCAACACGCTCGTGCGCATCATGGCCACGCGTTGTATGCTGTCCGCCGAGTACTTCTGCTCAGGCAGCGTCTCAGCCGACACGTTTGGTCACTACGGTCTTGCCTCGCCCATTTACACGCACTTTACCTCCCCGATCCGACGCTACGCCGACGTACTGGCACATCGGCAGCTTGCCGCGGCCATCGGGTATACGACGCTACATGCGACACTACATTCGAAGTCGCATGTAGAGCGCGTGCTCACCACGGTCAACCGTCGGCATCGTATGGCTCAGATGGCGGGCCGCGCGAGCGTAGAGTTCTACGTGGGTCTCGCTCTCAAGGCGCGTGGCGAGCGCAAGATCGTCGAAGAAGACGCGTTCGTCATCCGGGTCTTCCGCAACGGTCTCAACGTCTTCGTCTCTTCGTACGTCTATCCCCGCCTCTTCTTTACACGTGAACGTGCACACTGACGATGGGGAATCAGGTTGGGAATCGAGGGGCTCATCCGGTTTAAGAAGGACGTGGACTTCGATGCGGAGAACTATGTGATCGAGATGCTGGGTTCGCAGGTGGCCGTGTTCGATAAAGTGCGCGTGCGCATTGAAGTTGAGAAGGACAGAAACACGCAGCGCGGAAAGGTTAAGATGACGCTTGTTGGACCGGTCGATACTAGCTCGTTACAGTAAGACCATTGCCTACGACTCGGACTAGCACTCGCTTCTGTTCCTTGTATAACCCCATGCATGTGTCCAATGTACTTCTATCAGCACGTGAGGTGCTTGCAAATGCGACGCGCTACCATTTTCGACAACTCGGGTATCATTGGTAGCCCATCGGGGCAGGTGATTCCCGTGAGTGGTAAGTGTTTGATCAAAACCGAACGGTGTGCAAAAGAGGAATATCGCATTAAAATGGTATTCGATCTGTGGCTCGTGTTTAACTCTACGAAGTCTTGCTATCAAAGGCGTCTATGATCTATGGTCTATCTGAGGCGTCTAAGGTTGTTTGGTCTTCGCAGTGACGTTATCATTTGGATATACGAGACGAGGATACTGCGTGAGAAACTCGACAGTCGTGAAGGATGCGTGTGTCTGTGAGTACAGATGAGCGAACGTGAAGAAGGACGATACAAGTACAGTTTGGCCAGAATCTTGTTGGATGGTATGGGTCATTAGGGGATGTGTCCGTAGAGTGGAGGGATGACGAGAGGATTATACACTTTCATGAGGGGGACTTCCGAGCACACGATCCCGTTTTGGGCGGACGGATGCTTACGCCTTCTCGTCGGGGACGTGGTGGCTTGCGGAGTCGTGGTCGGAGACCGAGTCTGCCTTCTTGACGCGCGCAAGGGCATCGGCCGGAGGTGCCTTGGCGAACGGCGAAACACCAGACTCGAACAGAGCGGAGATGTCCTCGAGCGAGCGTCCCTTGGTCTCGTGGTAGGTGAAGAAGACCTGCACAAAGGAAGCAATGCAGAACACGCCGAAGATAATGTACGTCTTCCACTGGATGTTCCTGAAGGCGACGGGGACGAACTAGATGGGCGCAATCAGAGAGAAGTCCAGCGCACGGACGAGGAGGGAAACTCACGAAGGCGAGAGCGAAGTTCATGATCCAGTTGGTCGCGGTGGCGAGACCGGCGGCATTGGCACGAACGGGCAGAGGGCTGAACATGGACGTTAGCACGGCACGGGTGCGGGTGCGGATCATAAGTATAACTTACAAGATCTCGGAGATGTAAATCCAGCTGACCGGGCCCTGGAGATGCTGGTCAGCCAAGTGCTCGGGTTGAACAAGAATCACATGTAGACTTACCCAAGAAACGGCGAATGCGGCAACGAACAGGTAGCAGGCGGCGATGACGCCCTTAGAGGGCGGTCCGCGCACAACCCACCTGACGTCTTGGTTGCCGTCGAGGCTGTCGACGTAGTGGCCGTAGCCGGCGAGGAGACCCGCAACGGTGAACATGCAAGCAGCCATGAACGCGGAACCGAGCAGCAGAGTCATGCGGCGACCCCAGCGGTCGACAAAGAGGATGGCCGGAATCGTCATGGCGAAGTTGATGACATACTGGATCGAAGAGGAGATGAGGTTGGTGTTGCCGGTAAGGCCAGCCATCGTGACTAAGATGGGTCAGCGAGAGTCAGCGAAGTGAGAGAGGAGTCGACGAACAGATATCAACGATGTAGTACATCATAACGTTCACACCGACGAGCTGACTCCAGAGCTGAGCGGACATTCCGGCAATGGTACGAGTGATCAAGCGAGCGCGGAACATGTCCATGTAGGTGATATCGGCAGCCTCGCGCTCAAGACGGATGGCTTCGTGCATCTCCTTGATCTCGCTTTGCACCTGTGGCGAGTCGAGGGGGAGGTTGTAAATGCGCTGAACGATGTATTCGGCCTCTTCCCAGCGATCGTGGGAAGCGAGCCATCGATTCGACTCAGGGCAGAAGATCATGCCAATCGCCAACAAGAAGCCAGGGATGATTTGCAGACCCCATGCAAGTCGCCAGGACGTCTCGCTCTTGATGAAGGAGCAGCCGTATGAGATGTAGAACATGACGAGGATACCGATAGTCGTAGCGAGCTGCTGGCAGCCAACGAGGCGTCCACGGATTTCCTGTTGGCACTCGTCTCAGGGGCCGAATCGAAGCGAACTCATCGGAAAGTATGCTTACCTTGGGCGATTGTTCGGCGAGGTAGACGGGAACCTGGCTGGAGCACCAGCCGACGCAGACGCCCTTGATCAGACGGCCGACAACGAGCATGCCGACGCTCTGAGCAGCAGAGCACAGAGCGCAACCGACGACCCAAAAGACGGTGGCCATGATGATGGAAGGCTTGCGACCGAAGCGGTTACTAACGTAACCAGCGACGTTGGCACCGATGAACGCGCCACCGGGCATGGCTGTGAAATTGTGTTGAGTCTGAGTTCGAATGGTTAGACAAAGGTAAAGAGCTCACCAGCAGTGATACCGCCCTGCACGATATCGTCGGGGTGACCAAAGTAGTCCTTGTACGAGTCGACGCCAATGAAGGCGGAGATAGACGAGATATCAGTACCGAAGAGGAACCCTCCCATCGTAGAGATGGCTCCAATGATGTACGGGTTGTAGAAGGTGAGCATGGTGGCTGAAGGGCGCCCCCAGGCTGGTCGTTCAGATGAGTTGGTGGTGGTGAGGTTGGGTGAAATCGCCGAGACGATGAGGAAAAGCGATTCGCATCGACGGCACCTAAGTTTTATAGGGTATGACAAGAAGCCCGATTCTAGGAAGTTTGCGGGTGCCGGGGGCGGCCGACATATTGGCCGGGCGCGGTGCGCGCGCGCGGGGGATAAGCGAAGTGCCGTTACGTCCTGGGCCCCAGATTTTGTCCAGGACCTTCCCGCCCGTCCAAGCCCGTACCCCGACCCACACGAAAAACTCAGACTCAGTTAAGATTCTGCTCGGTGCCTTCGCGCAACGTTCGCGCAAGAACTCGGAGAAGAAAGGACAGACCGCTTCTTCACGAGGGTTCAGGGTAACTCAATAACCTTGCTTGTTTAGCATACTGGTCGGTGTACACAACGGAAACCCCATGCCAGGTCCCCAATACTCCGGGGATGAGGACCAGACTCGAGCTGGATCACCGGAATATACGTTCTTGTGGGCGGAAGCGCAACGGCGGGAGCCCTTAACGGATGGCAGGGAGGGCGGACAAGGGCGGACATCATCCGCGCAGGTAAAGGTCCGCCCTCTTTCGGCAGCGGGCGCAGCATCGCAAGGCGGAGCTCCCGCTTGAGCCATGCGCCGCCAGCCATGCAGTCACTGCAAGATTGCACCCCGAAGTTGATGTTATCTGTCCAGACGCGGACGAGAGGCCAATTTTGACGCGCTCTCGACTCTCGAATCAGTAACGGCCGCTATACGGTACACGGTACCATAGCCCGAGAAGCATTCTCCACAAACTCCCCCACTGTTCGACGTGAAGAAGAGAACTTGAGAATTGAGGAGCCCCGGCATCTGCCCCGGTGGATGAGAGTCTGGAGAGAGGTCCATGTGCACGACGACGGCTGTGGCGGCGGCCGAGACCATCGCGCGACCCGTTGCCCGATCTCCGAGGGCGGACGCCGGATCATCGATCGACTGCCCGTTCCGCCCCGAGACAAGGACCTCAATGTCGTGGTCTGCAGCCGGCGGCGCGGCTGTGGATTTTTTATACCATTATCTTGCGCATACGCTCAAGGACTTAGCGCTCGAAACACATCATGCCCAAACCAATATAGCTTCAACCATATCGGACGGTGTGAAGAGAGTCTGCACTGCCTTGCGGTATGTGAAGTATGAGCTAGAGCTTGAGGCTCTAAGGCTTGGGAACAGTCGCTCATGACGACCAGGAGTATGTAGGATCGACCGAGGCGTGTATATGTATATCGGTCTCAGTACGCGACCGCATCTTCCGCGGTAGGTCTACATATTGATTTCCGACGCATGCAATGCATTCGATGGCTGCACAAGGATCGCTGAAGTTTACCGCGGACGCCTGCGGGTGCGCGTATCTCTGCGTTGCAGTATCATTGGTAGGTTCAAACTCAGATATGAGCTGCTATTCGGTCATGGGAGAATGTAGCATCATGCTGCGGGCTGAAGGCGGCAAGGAAGATGTCGAAGCTGTGATGTTGTTCACCAGGTCCTTCATGAGCGCTCGGCTCCGTCCCGCTTTAGACATTATTCACAGCATCTCTGCCCGGTTGGACATGTAGACTCTCACTGAAGCACACTGTTATCTGGGATTGTCGACGCGCAGTATGGTCGAGCTCCAATCACCGTGACCCGTGGTCCGACATAAAGCCCAGCGCATACGTCTGTGAGTCGCAGACTGACCGCGATAACCATGGACAACGCGCGTATATCGTATCGCGTCTTGATTTCCACCTTGCTGCTCTCGGTGCGCTCCTGATATCATCATCCAGACCTTGACGGCATCTAACGGCGATGTACAGGTCGCCTGGGATGGCATCTCAACCTACCACAATATCCACAACTCACCACCGAGTCCGACGATCGTGCGCGCAAGCGAGTGGGATCTCTGTGGCCAATTGGAGATATGGGCTCTAGGGTGGCGTATGCTTCTCCATGCGAGCGCAGCGTTGCTCGTGAGGGCTATTGTGCTCGAGTACGTAGCATCATTGGTCCAATATGCTCGTCTGTCTGAAAGCCGTTTATGAGTGACTGATGACTAGAACGACAACAGGGATCACCTACCACTATGGACGTTACGTCGCATCGTGCTCATACCAGTTGGATGGTTCAGCTATGGTAGCGTCCTTGTATGGCAGGAGGGATCGCGATGCCAAGCATGCGCGCCGAAAACATGGGGCCGAGCCATGGGAAACTACGTGGTCGTTAGCGCCGGCCTCCTCCTGTATACTGTCATCGTCTGCGCATTGGTGAGTTCACTAACGCGTGCGAGAGGTATAGGCTAATAGATCTCGTCAGTATATGGCCCGTTGTTTCCAGCGAAGCGAGACGTCGACGAGGAGTACAGACCGCAAAGCCGGCACGGCGATCACCACGATCGCCGAAAAGTCCGCAAATACGGCCGAAGGCTTCGAAGATACACATTTGCATGTCAGAACGGGGCATGAACGCGAGGTATTTGATGAAGACATAGCGTAGACTGGAAGTAGCACTGTTGTACACAAAGCAATAACAAAACAATGACGGCAGATAGCAAAACTGTGGTTCCAGTCAGTTATCGGAAGTACGCATCCGCGAGTAGACGTACCGATGAATAGTACAGTGTGGGCTTACAACGCCTTGAGTGCACGCGACACATCTCTCCTATCGGCGTCCAATCCAGGAATGAGGCCTTCCTCTCCTTCGATCTTCTTCACCAGCCGCTCCGCAGTCCATCGCACGAATCCATCACGTCCATCTTCCCATAGGCGCTTGCCCGGCGTCGGACCTTCGCGTGAGAGAGAGACAGGAGGTAATGCCTCAGCTGCGGCACGAAGATCCGCGAGCGCATCTGGAAGTGCTTGTAACGTTTGTGCATTGGGTAGTCGAAGAGCGGTTATTCGAGCAAGTCTCCGTTCATGCAGGGAAGCTTGCAGAGAGGTAATACGGGCGGCACGCTTCGCCGCGCGTTTCAATTTCCTTTGCTTCAGAAGAGTGAGTTCCCCGAACAAGGTACATAGATGGTGGGACATACATTGTCTATCTGCACGCGCAACTCCTCCAGTTCCGCCAGTATCTCCGACTCCTCTTGAGGTCGCATATCCAAATTCAGCCCAGCTTGATGTGGCACGACAATCTTCGGCACCAGCTCGGCGTTGAAAGTGAAGATGTTGCGTAGACTCCAAGTCTCGAGGTAATCGAACGCAACGTCGGTATGGAACTCGATAAGTGTCTGAAACGCAACCATGCCTTGTTCGATCTCCTGCTCTTGCTCTTCCGGCGTCAAAGGTTCTTTCTTCTTTCCAGACGAGTTCGGTGTGTTGGCTGTGGTGTTGTAAGCGGCAGCCCAGCGCTCGAGCTGCTTCTCCATGGCTTCTACAGCCTGTCCAACGGCCGTATTTGCCACGTCGATCATATCATCAAGAAGTAGATGCGGAGAGAACCCAAGCAGCTCGTCCACCAGGATCTGAGGAGCCATTTCTGGTGCATCTGGTCGTGTCGTCATGGCCGCTCGTGGTGGGATGGGGTCAAGACGCGTCCTTGAATTTGCGTGTGTTCAACCGCGATCACCTGGGCGCGTCTTGTGGGTCCATGTGTACGAGTGAAACAAGCGCGTTTCGTTTTGGCTCGGTTTCTTTCACGCACAACCTGGGTTGACCGTACGACTTTATCTTGATGGCTCGTGCGCATCACTCATGCAATAGAGTGTATATAAATCACGGTAGAGACATCTGCTAAGTCTGATTACAAAACAAAGTAGCAAGAAAGTATCAAAGAGGTAGTGACACTTGTTAACGCCACTTCGGGTCGTTCGAATCGTAAACGTTTTTGTCCGAATTAAACCATCGCCTCATCCCCTGGTCTTCCTGTATCATGTTCAGCATCGACAACCCCTTATCACCGAGAGAGCTCCCGAAGTACGCCTGGAAAGCGGACACGAAGGCGTCGGCCTGGTAAAGGTAGATGGCGCGGATCGGCATGCCCATCTCGGCGCGATAACTGACGAGGTCGCTCAACCGGTCGAAGGTCGAGAACTTTGCTTCCCCAGGGAACGGGTAAGCTGATGGTAAAAAGGCTGGGGCCATTAAGGCATTGCTGTATGCGAGCGCTATCGTCTCGAGTTGGGGAAATAGCCCTCCTGATGAAGGGTCGTTCATTACCGATGAAAAGGCGAACCAGGTGGCATCCTCATAGATGCGGATGTGTTTAACCCCAGACATTGCCGAGAGCGCCTTTGAGAGCGCCTGAGAGTCCCAAGAACCGGCGAGACGTATGGTCTGGACATTAGGAAAGGGGAGAACGACGGTTTCGTGATCAGCCTCCTGGAAGACCCGTCCGGCTTCTGCCAAGAAGTTCAGCAAGCGACCGCCAACGTTGGTGCTCGCATCATCGTTGATTCCAAGGTAGTATTTATCCAGGTCGGCTACCGTCCAATACCGTGCTAGAACGCCTTTCGTCACGAAATCCTCGGCAGGTACGCGAACAAGTCCCGCATCCTCCTCGCGCTGAGAAGCTCCCAGGAAAATTTGCATACGAGGGTATGCGCTCATTTGAAAGACGGTGAGATCTTTGAAGGACTCCGCAGGCATATGGGTAAGGACTGAAGAAAGGAGGGCATTGAATGTGACGTGAGTGACGTTATGTTTAGTAAAGAACAGGTCTGTCGTGCGCAGAGAAGGCGCATCAAGAGTGTTCAAAAACGATCGGACACGGCTGTTGCTATCGCGCAAACCCAGCCACCGAACGTGTGGGAGGTGTAGCTTGCGATGCGACGTGCTTTCAATGATGGCTCTATCCATATACAGCTGCTCCAATGAGGACAAATCGGCAAGGCAGGTGTTCAATTTTGTCTTCTCCCCGTCGCTGAGCAAAAAAGCTCTGACGACAAGATGGGTGATGTTAGAGAAAGTTGCGATATTCCACGGGATGGACCGGGTACCGGAACAAGATAGCCTCTGGAGGCGAGGAAATCTGGACGAGGACCATTCTTCACTCGTCAGGCCCACGTGGGCTTCACGTAAGATGAGGACCTCAAGAGCAGCATATGTTTGTGAAGGATATTGAGGGGTCGAGGCGTCAGGTTGCAGCCCGACAGTGCGTGGTCCAAGATACGGTACCGAGAGTTCTAGTTGGCGAATACGAGATGCATGGTGGCGAAGAGTATTGGCGAACACGATGTGACGAGCTTCGATGTGACCTTTGATCTCGGTAGTCTTCGGCTTGGTCAGGAATACGAAGGGCAATGGGTCGCAACGCGCGATAAAAGCGTCCACCCAGCTGGGCCCAAGATTGATATCGATTTTGGTCCAAAGAGCGGTTTGTTCCAGTGCGAGAGTTCTCCAGCGCGCGCAAACATGCGCGACGACGAACCAACCTCGAAGGCGCCAGGAAGAGGAAAGCCCAGCGTTAACGCGAGCGCTCCTGCGTATAGCTCTTTCTGGCGCATTTCTTCGAGCCTCAACGAGGCGCGCAGGGTCTGTGGATGCTAGAAGGTAGAATATCTCGCAGAGTAGTTCCACCGGCAATGTCTTCGTCCAGTCCGGATCCTGCTCGAGTTATTGGCGAGCGTATCAAGATGTTACTCTGGCTGAACTTACCACTTGCACCTCTTCCTCAACTTCAGGTGCAGGTGCAGCGCGCCTGCGAGGCATGACAAGCGGTGGGGTGGGTGGGATATCTCGAAAGAAGGCGATGAAAGTCAGGAGCAAGGGAGTCTTCTCGCGCGATCGCGACGCGACGCGTCGCGCCCATCCATCCTGCCGGATCCGGCCCGGGCGATTGATGGTATCACTGGCCCGAGCGCGGGCTATAACCAAGCTATAAGTAACCGCTACATTCTTTGACAGTACGTCGCCCATCACTATCAGAAAAGGTAAGGTAAACGTGTAAGGTACCGCTTCAGCCTGTCGCGCCGCCAGTGGGCCATAGAATATGTTGCATGAATCTATATCATGGGAGTTGACAACTATGTATGGATACATGGTCTGTACATTGTCCACGTCCGAGTCTCCGATCCGATAATTCAACATCACGAAATGGCATCGCGAAGTCGCAGATACTCGCGTTAACGCCATTCGGGGTTGTTAGACACGTACTCCTGCTTCTCCACGTCAAACCATCTTCTTGGCCCTTGATCCTCTTCAATCAGCCCCAACACTGCCTCGTCCTCTTCACCCGCACGTCGCACATGTTTCCGGAAAGACGACATGAACTCATCGGCCTGGTGTAGATACACAGCGCGAATTGGCCGCCCAATCGCAGCGCGAGCTTTGACTAGGTCACGTAGTCGATCGTATATAGAAACTCCATTTGAGTTTCTAGACCCACAGTACTCAGAGAAGACAGACTTCGGCCTGAAGCCTGAGACGCTAGGGAAGGCAATAGCGAGCGTCTCTAGTCGAGGGAGCACAGCGAATGCCCTTGATGTCGAAGGCTCTGCGCCCAACGCAGTGTCTGCGCTCATGGCGGAGCAACATGCAGCGAAAGAATTGTGGTCGTACAATCGGATATGTTTGACATTCGACATTAGCGAGAACGCCTCTGTGAGTGCCTGGGGATCCCAGGTGCCGGCTAGGCATACGGTTTGAACGTTCGGGAAAGGAAGGTGCACTGGATCATGAGTGGGATCGAGGTCAGGTCCACCTCCCCAATCGGTATTAGCTGAGAGCTCAAGGACGCGGCTGTCATGAGAGTCGGATCGGTGATGAGGAGAGTCCAAGGCAAGGAACTCTGCATCCAACGCGTTTGGAGTCCATCTGCGCGTCAACGTGTTTTCAGAGAGGTACTCGTCGAGGTACAAGCGCACAGGTCGGGCGAACTCAATGTCACAAGACGCGCGCAACCGGACGTGGGCTCTCGGCCCAGGGAACGCCGCAGATCGAACGAGAGTGAGGGCCGTGAAGGCGTCCGCGGGCACATGGGCGAGAGTCGCGGATATGAGCGTGCCGAATGGTAGACGATCCATGTCGTGACGGCAATAAGAAGTCTCTGCATGTAGCAGAGACGGTGCCTCGAGCGCTTGCATGAAGGATAGTACGTTGCTCGCTCCATCACGCAGGCCGAGTCTTTGAAGGCGCGGTAGGCACAGCTTGTGGTCACTGACTGCGTTGTGGGGTACAACACCATCCAGATATAAGTATTCCAAGGCTGCAAGGCTGGGTAGATGGGCTTCCACGTTCGCCTTCTCCACACCGCTGCCCCCAAGGCTATTCTCTCTGACCACAAGATGGGTCAGGTGGGAGGGAGACAGTGATTTCCACGCCGCGAACATCACGGGCCCGTGCAGCGATAGCCTCCGCAACTGAGGGAGCCTAAGCGAGGACCATGACTGTGTCACGATGCCCACAGTATTCTCATGCCAGCACAGCGTCTCCAGGGCAGGATAGTCTCGAAAGAAGAGTCGAGGGAGTTGTATAGTATGGGCGTTTGTATTAGGAACCTGCTGTGGCTGGTGATAGATGGAATGAACGTCTAACTGGCGTACACGATGAGCGTGCTGAGAGAGAACCTCGTTGAACGTGCGAATGCGGGCAGCCGTCCAACTTTCGATGCTACTGATACGCCGGGACTCGGTCCTGAATACGAAGAGCAATGGATCACTGCGCGCTATAAAGGCAGATACCCAGCTCGGACCAAGATTGATATCGACCGATGTCCATAGAGACGATCGCCCAAGTGCGAGAGCCCGCCAACGCGCGTTGACGTGCGTAATAACGAACCAGCCTCTAAGGCGCGATGCATGCCTGTCGACGCGATTCTTTCTAGTTCTAGCACTTCCAATGACATATATTCGTTCCTCTATGAGGTGTGCAGCATCGCACGCAGCTAATATATCGAATATTTCGCATAACAGCTCCGCCGGCAATGCCTGGGTCAAATCCTAGGCAAGTCATGAGCGAGGTTCGAGATGTAGAGTTGGATCACGCACCACTGGCACAGGTCCCTGCTCGTGTACTTCACTAGCGGCAGCAGTGCGTCTGCGCGGCATCATATACGATGTATCCAGAAGGATTTCAGAGTACGGTGAATGTTGAGAGCAAGCCTGATGGCGCCGGCGGGGCGCTGCGGTGATTGTGTGATGGCATCATCCCCTCGCGCGCGAAGACGTGCCCCGAGGCCAGCCCGAGAGGCCTCAACTCATCATGCGCCCATCGGTCTCCTCATCTTATTCGCTATCGCCAGGCAGACTGAGATGGAACACCTACGCATAACTATGTAGAGTCTTTCACGGCTCATATCAAGTTGAAAACCGTTCTCCGGCGCCTTTGCATTTGATAACCACCCAGCGCCCAGCGCCCATACACAGGGCCGAGCTCACGGCTCATTTTTGGCTCAAGTTTCGGGCTGCTCTACGAGCCAGCTGCTCATCGCCTAGTAGTAGTATCTTCGAGAAGAACGTTCACTCGCCCACAGAGGTGGACAAAGGTCGGTAAGACAGCCACCAGTGCCCTCTCAGGATTGCCTGCGAAGCTTCATGCATATGTACATGACGCAAAGCATACAAAATTAGAAACATTCCTTCAAGCTGGAGTCGAACCAGCAACCTTGGAATAAACGTTATATCGATCGACTACATAGACGTTCCATGCTCTACCGCTGAGCTATTGAAGGATGACGGTTGATGTGATACCCTGTTGGGTATGGATGAGTGCGGGGACGATTAAGGGTTCTCAACAAGATGGGAGTTCTAATCGGTGTATACGAGGCGCCTCAAAGGCGAGGTGATGTGCTTGTGAGCTCGACGTCGAGTGCGGAGTCGAGTGTGAGGTGGCGCTGACAGACGTGTCCGCGTCGAGCATTCTGCCACCGCATTTCTCTCGATGGTTCTTACCACGCACGTCCGGCGCAACGTAAATATCATACTCTAGTCTGAGATCGAGCAAGAGAAGTAGAACGCGATACGCATCTCTGGGTGGCGGAATGTGCGATGGTCGTCAAGGACAGCGAGCGAAGAAAGGCGAAGAAGCCTCCGCGTCGTGCGGAGGCAGATCAAAGCCGACTGAACCGCTTTATTGTCTCAACAACAGCAGCACTCAATTCACACGGTCGTACTCGACGAATCTCGCGGCGTGCACGACGCACGAGACGACTACGCCAGCGCCGAACTGTGCGGCAGCAAGCGCGGGTTCGGGCGCAGAGGATGGTGGGAAGAGCCAAGCAGCACAAGTGAACAATCGAACCGAGTTACGACTTGTGCTTCGCTCCGCTAAAGCCGCCGTTTGATCTCTCTCCTCCTCTCCACCACCTCGACCCAACGACGAGCGGGCATGGACTCGCTCTTCGGGCGCAACCGCAAATCGCGCCCGCGCCAGTCCTCCGTCTCGACCGCCTCAGGCACAAATGGCGAACTCCGCGCCGTACCCTACGAGCGCGTCGCACCCGGCAGCCCGCCCTCCACAACCGGCGGCGCCGGCGGCAACAGCAACACCAGCAAACTCATCTCGGCGCCAATCACGAATCCAGGCCTGACCGACAGCGGCACTGATCTGAACGTGCGGACTATGGCGCACGCGCGGGAGAGGATATACGGCAGAGCGCGGGAACAGAGCCCGCACAAGAGCCTGTACAATGGGAGCGAGAACAGCGAGAGCATGGACACGCTTGCCGGCGGCGATCAGCGGGCCAGGCGGCTGAGGGCGAGCGAGCACGCGACGCTCGGCGGGCGCAGGACGCCGCCGCCGCCCGTGCCGTCGTCGCCCGCGGTGGGCAGCATGTCCAGCCCGCGCCCGATGTCGACCGCCACGGCCCGCTCGGCCCCGGATTCCCACCGCGCGTCGCGCTACGCCGTCTCGGTCATCTCGTCCGGCTCGGACGCGCTCCATCTCCACAATCTCGGCCGAGGGGCGGACAACGAGTTCCATCTCGAGCGGCCGGGGGACGACGAGGTCGAGCGATTGTTCGAGGAATTGTTGAGGACGCGAGATCTGGGCGTTATGCCCGCTCTGCCAATTGATCAGAAATGGCATCTCGTGCGCTCAGATGCGCAGTTGAGGTGGCAGGAAGAGCGCTCGAGGAGGAAACAGGCGTCGAGTGCTGCTACCACTGCCGAAGAGGGCTCTCCGGCGTGGTATATTCGCAAGTTCCTTGACAAGACTGTCACGCCACAACAGGCTAGCGCGTTACATATCTGCTTGAGAAGTAATGCGTTTGAGTGGTTCAGGCAGTTTGTCGAGCTTAGAGGGACGCCTGTGCTTGCCCAGACTCTGGCTCATATTAGCAAGAAGGGCGGTTCGCGTTACGACTCTGATAACGCGCTCGAGTATCAAGTCGTGCAGTGTATAAAGCAGATATTCAACTACTCAGTGAGAACTGATTATATCATATCCTTTGAAATATACTGATTACACGTCTAGTACGCAACAACAGAAGCCCTAGGCCACCCGCTCCTCGTAACTCAACTCGCCTCCTCCCTCAACTCCCCCCGCCTCGGCACCCGCCGCCTCCTCCTCGAACTCCTCACCGGCCTCTCCTACCACAACGAAGGCACATTCCTCCCGCTCGTCATAACAGCCCTCTCGGCCTTGACCACAGCAAACTCCACCACCCCCGTCGCAGTCCCGACAACCTCCCAAGACTCGCCCTTCACATACTGGTTCGCCTCGACCGAACATGCCCTCGCCGGGCGCGGAAAGATGGGCTCCATGGTCGGCGCCTCCGACGAAGTCCGGCGCGCAGACAGAGACGGCAGCCTGAACGACTACGCGCTGAACACGCTCATCCTCATCAATGCAATAATGGACAACAGCGACGACATCGACGTGCGCTTACACCTCGCGGCGCAGATGGACGCGGCGGGCCTCCCACGGCTCCGAGCGCTATGCGCCGCATTCGGCGTGCCGGCGCTCGACACGCAGCTCGCGTTCCTCGACGACGCGCTCTCGCGCGACGCCGCGGAGCTCCGCGCGCGCTATGACGCCGAAGCGCTCAAAGACCTCGCGTCCCCCGCGGACGTCTACGCGGCGCTCTCCGCGCGCACAGCCGGCACCGCGGCCGAAGAGCACCTCCTGTCCATGCTGCGCCACATGCTCCTCATCCGCGCCGAAGGACCAGCTTTGGCACACCACTTCGCGCTGCTCGATAATCTGGTCACGGATGTCGTTATGGACAGGAAGCTGGGCGGCGCGGAGGGGAGGTTGGGACAGAGCATCGAGCGGATTATAGCGCAGTTCGACGATGCTGAGGGCGTGAGGCAGGCGAATGAGGCTGCGGCGAAGGCGAAGGCTGAGGCGAAGAGGGCGATGATGGAACGGGATGCGTTGAGGGCGGAGTTGGCGCAGGGTCCAGAAGGGGGCTTGAGGGAGAGGTTAGACGCGACGGAGGAGAGGTTGGCGAGGGCTAGGGAGAACGTTGAAAGATTGCAGGTGCAGCTCGTCGAGCAGCGCGAGGGATACGAGGAACAGATCGCACAGCTCGAAGCGCAGATTATGGAGCTGTTCCGTATGTTACGCGAGGCGGCGCGCATTGGCGGCGCACAGGCGGGCGAGCTCGGCGTGTTGCTGGATAGTGTGGCGAAGGGGCTGAGTGGAGGGAGCGCCAGTATGGAGGACGGCGTTATTCGTGGTGGGAGCGGGATGGATCGCAAGGCGCTCGTTGAGACGCTCGAGAGACATCTGCAGCGCACGAAGACGATCGAGAAATTGGAGGGGAGGGAAGGTGGGAGTGGGGCGCCGGCTGTACCTAGGAAGAATGGGAGAAGGATGAGAGACGGAGAGAGCGGATGGGAGGAGGATAGTGATGAGGAGACCGCCACACCCGGTACCGGCCGTGGATCATCACTGTCAAGAGGACGCGGCAAGGGCAAGAAGGGTGGCATGAATGGCATGAACGGCGCCTATGGCGGCTCTGAAGGCTCTGGCGAAGGCGTGAGGCAAAGCCAGTTCATGGACGCGGACGATGCGGACGTGCAGGAGGCCATCGAGGCACAATTGGCACAGGGCGTGAAGATCGTGCGTACACCCCTCCTTTTTCGGATTATAAGCGCATATATGCTGATTGGCGCCTGCAGTACGCGCCACGCGACGATGTGGCGTCTCCACGCTCACTGCACAACCGCTCACCTCGCCCTGGCCAGCGTCGGTTGCCTGGTTTACCCGGGGCTCAACAACAACAACGGAGCGCATCAGGTACTCTTCTTGCGCCTGCACCACGTACAGCCGAGAACTTCGCCGGCGTTGGTGCAGGGTACAGTCGCGGACAGAACGGCGAGGACGACGAAGAGAGCGAATACGAGCAAAGCCTCGTTTCGAACTTCACCAGTCGGACCGAAGATACCACCGCGACAAGTATCGCTTCTACGGCGGCTTCGAACGAGAGTACACCGGGCAGCTTCGCGGAACAGCTCTCGAAACAGTTCGCTGCACGTGGTCTTGGGAAAGCGCCCGCGACGAAGGAAGGCGGTGCGGGCGAGAGGAGGAGTGGGAGTCCGCCGCTGCCGTCGTTGCCGGAGGAGGGTACGCCTGCCAACGCAGACGGCACGGGCGCTCCTCCTCCCCCGCCGCCTCCTCCGCCTCCACCACCACCACCACCACCACCACCGCCGCCGCCCCCGCCGCCTGGTGGTGCACGACTCCCCGGCGCATTCTCACCTCCTCCGCCGCCGCCGCCGCCACCGCCACCGCCAGGTGGAGCCAACTTCCTTTCAGCCTCCGCTTCAGCGCCCACACTCGGCGGCGGACCTCCACCCCCACCGCCTCCGCCCGCCTTCACACCTCCAGGCTCAACACGCGGCAGCATGCTCCTCGGCGCGAACCTCTCCTCGCTCATGGCCGCGCACGCGCGCAAAGACATGCCCTTCACGCCCGGCACAAAGATGAAACAGCTCCAATGGGACAAGCTCCCCGTCGCCGCCACGTCCCGCACCGTCTGGTCCGAAGACCCCGCGACGCAGAACGAGCGCGAGCGCGAGATGCTCGCGAAGCTGTCCGAGATGAGCATCTGGGCGGAGATGGAGGAGGACTTCAAGGCGAAGCAGCTTGTGCTGAATCTGCTGGCGCGGCAGAAGCGGGCGGAGCTGAAGAGCGTGCTGGATCCGACTACGAAGAAGAATCTGGAGATTCTGGTCAATAAGGTTAAGAGGCTCGCGCCGGAGGAGATCGCGCTGAAGATTAGGGATTTCGATGCGGAGGTTTGTACGCAGACGTTTTTGAGTGGGTTGAAGAATGTTGTGCCTACGCCCGAACAAGTGCGTCCTGACCTCTCCATGTCATTCAAAGGGTCTCGTATGCTGATGGGGTTGTGTCGCAGATCGGAAAGCTCAACATTTACCGCAACGCCGAACCCGAAGAACTCGCAGGCCTCCACCCCGCCGACCGCCTCATGGTCAAACTCATCCAAATCGACAGACTCGGCCAACGAATCGAGAACATGCTCTACAAGCTCAAATTCGACGAACAGTGGACGCTGCTCGACGACTCCGCGCGCAAACTGGCCGAAGCGGGCCGCTCGCTCCTCGACGCGAACCACTTCAAAGAGCTGCTGAACCTGATACTGCTCATCGGAAACTACATGAACGGCTCGGGCATCAAGGGCGGCGCGTTCGGGTTCAGGGTCAGCAGTATCAATAAGCTCGTGGACACGAAGAGCGTGAATAATACGACGCTGCTGCACTTTTTGGAGAGGACGGTCGCGAAGCATTTCCCGCATTTGGACGAGTTTTTGGAGGAGCTGGCTAAGCCTGCTGAGGCGTATCGCGGTGAGTTCTGTTGATGTTATGATGAAGAGTATGATGCTCACGGTACGCACAGTGAATCTCCAGGAGGTGCGCAAGAACTTAGGCGAGCTGCGCGAAGGCCTCCGAAAGATCCGCACCGAGCTCAACGACCACTTCACCGACGTCGAAGCCAACGACCGCTACAGCCAACAAATGTGGCAGTTCTCTTCAAAGGCCGCCACGCGCCTCGCCGACCTCGTCGATGACGTCAACTCCGCCGACGCGATCTACGCCGACGTGGTCAAGTACTTCGGCGAGGACGACAAGAACATGAGCTCGGCGGAGTTCTACGGCATCTTCAAGACGTTCGTTACGAGTTATCGGAGGTGTCAGGCGGATAACAGGACGGCGGCTGAGGAGAAGAATGCGGCGGAGAAGAGGAGGTTGGCGCAGGAGGAGGCTAAGGCGAGTAGAGCCAAGGCACAGGAGGCGAGGGAGGAGGATAATGCGGCGCTCGATACGTTGCTCGAGAAGTTGAGGAATGGAGACTCGGTTGGGAGGAGGCATCGGCGGGCGCGGCCGTCGGCTGCGAGCAAACGCGCCGCTGCTGCTGCCAGTGCGGATGCCTTGCATCCTGCGCTACCCACGGCAAGCGGCTCGGGCGAGGAGACGGCCGACCGGGCACGTGGTCTGCTCGAGCAGCTGAAGACGAGCGGGTTCATGAGCGCCGACGGCGCTGGCCTGCCCCCACCGAGCCCGAGTCCCGTACCGAGTACGGCGCGTAGGCGCAGGTTACGTGCTGGGAGTATGGCCGCAGAGTTGCAGGCCGAGCTCGAAGCAGCAGGTGAACTCGGTAGTCCGGGTCTTGAGGAGGAGGACGCGTTCAGCATTGGCGATTATGGTGGCAGCCCTGATCCCACGGGTGAGAGCGCGTTCCCGCCCACACCGCCATCACGCGCGGGGAGCTTCCACCATTCGCGGGCAGGAAGTTCGGCATCCTTAGTGGGCGCAGGGATCTCAAGACCTGGAAGCGCAGCACCGTCGGATCGACCGGGCAGCGCAGCGTCGCGCGTGCGCTCCGTTGTACATTCGCGCTCGGGGAGCCTTGTGCGCCCGCCATCGCGCTCAAGTAGTCTCGCACACGACTCTTCGCCACTTGCTCAGCCGACAGGATCACCCTTGGCACAACCTCCATCGCAACCCGGGAGCGCGAGCTCGCGCGCGAAGAGCTTACCTCCTGACGAAGCAGACGAAGTGAACGAAGAGGCGGATATGACGATGACGGAGGAGCTGCAGCTGGCTGCGCTTGCGAGCCGCGAGCTCGATACTGAGACCGGATGATGCTCTGCCCATTCTCCTGTTCGATCTGTACATAGGGTGGACCGTGACTTATTACCTACCTCTCGCTCTCTTTGACTTTTGCACCGTAACGCTCTCTCTGAACGATTTGACTGGCTGTTTTCTGTTGATTACTTACTACTCATTGACTCGTGCATACCTGGTCCACGCATGTTACATGTATACCAGCATCTTTCTCGACGTTCCTCTGTTGCTTTTTGGTTTTGGTTTACGCTAGACCACGCATGCATATGATAGTGGCTGTTTATGAACAGGAATGTTTCCGATACCGCCCTGTGCTGATATTCAGAGCTTTATCACCGATAGTGGACGACAATATGTAAGAAAGGAGTCGCGGAGAGTCAACATATTGAAGAGGCGAAAAGAGCTGCAGTTGCCGAAATGCACGCCGTCGTCCACGGACCCGCTCGCCACTTCTAGCCTCGGGCTAGCTTCGGGTTCCCGTGTCACCGTGTGGGAACTGAGAACGATGCCATCAAAGGCGTGTGCTGCGTGGCTCAGCTTGCGAGCAGGCTTGTTCTTGACTATCATCTTCGATCACTCGAAAAACATATCCTCGACATGTCTCTCGCCCGCCTTCAGTCCACTGGTGAGGAAAAGGAGGAGCTTGAAGCCCAAGTGGTGCGTCATGTCGACTTTCATATTTTCGGACACTTGCCCACTACGTGATCAGGATTGGGACTTAACCAAATCATTGCCGGCGGAGCTGCTACGCGACATATTCTACATCCTTGCCGAGAGCGATCCAGCACGCCTGATGGAAACTCAAAAGGCCGCTTCTGAAGCGCTTGTTTACGGCAGTCCCCTCCATAACGTCGGCCTGTCTTCCTCCGGGCGACTTCGAGGCTGGTTTGTTGTTGCGCACGTTTGCGCTCGCACAACTGTCTCTTTGGAACATCGTTGATATAAATCTTGGGCCCAGTTGGGTGGATGCCTTTATAGCACGCTGTGATCCTCTCCCCATCGCCTTTCGCACTGAGCCCAAGCTGCCCTGTAGTTTCAACAAATCTCATGCACAAGCTCGCAGCTTGATCTTTGACAGTACTCTGCAGCAGTACGCACATCGTATCCGCCGACTACACATTCACCCTCGGTTTTTCAAGTCAGCAAATATACCAAACCGCCCCAGATTCTGGACGATACTCCCTGAGCCCTTCTTCCAGACTTATGAAGGGCTTGAAGTCCTCATCTTATCTTGTGCATACATGGTGTTGGACGCTCAATCATGGTCGCCCTTCCACGCTCCTCGCCTTCGGCAATTATCTCTACACGGCGTCACAACATTCCCATGGGATTTGCCAGTCTTATCGCAGATCACCCATCTTGTGGTGATCACGGCGCCGATCATCAGCGAGGCCGAGAGGGCGAACCTGGCTGCCTTTCTGCCCGCATTGATCTCCTTGAAATCGCTATACCTGGACGGCGCTGTTCCCGCAGGGAAGCCTAACCGCAGGCTGATTCTATCGTGTGTTCAGCGACTGGGCCTCCGCGATACAGCGATCCACATTCAATCTTTTCTGCGTTCCCTTGACGCACCACGTTTGCGCACACTGGAAGCGTCCTTCACGAAGGGATCGGAAGGCAACGTTCATCTGCCATTTGATGCCCTCATGACATCGGTCCTTCCTCATACGATTCCTGAATCCTTTATGGATCTCACCATTGTCCGTCTTATAGACTACCCCTTTAAGACCCTCTTATTTCGCGCCTGCGAGCATGAAAACGACGCGAGACCGGTCAGAAGACATCCTCAATCCTCTCTGAAAGATACACCTCTCTCTCAGAGACAAAGCTTCAATGAAGCTGATGTGGATGCGCGCTATCTGTCCTTGGACGATAGCCCACACAGCAGTGCTCCCGCTACACTAGACTTCTCCGACGAGACTTCCGAACTACTCCTTCCTCAGAACCCGATATCGCTCCCATTCCCTAAGGTCGAGACCTTGCGCATATGCGGCACTTGGCACGCTCATGCATTGTTGGAGGCATGCTCAGGTCTGGAAGGGGTCAAACATCTCCGGATATACGACCCAAAAACCTTCTTTGCATGTTATGTCGCCATGCGCGAGCTACCATGTCCTTCAGGGCAACTTCTACCTCGGCTCGAAGCCATCGCGATTGCGTATACAGCATATAACCCGGCGCCACCTACGGAACAAGAGCCGAGGAAACTGGCTCTCTCTGTACAGAGTGGCTTTACCGGAGCACAGGAGCGATCGGTGTTTGATCAGCTCGCCGATCTCGTCGAGACCCGCGCCACAAACGGAGTGCCACTTCACGCTCTGTATCTACACGAGGCGGAAGCATTCATCGCCACCTTTCGAGTAAATGCAGCCTCGAAAGGCGAAGACCTTTCTTCGGTGATAAACCTGATCCAAGAGGATAGAGGGATGAGGAGATGGTACGATTCGGAGAAGAAGGCCTATGTATCGAACGATCCTAGATGGTGCCGATAGATAGTACTCAACTGATGCATACGATTTCAATGATTCTTATCGTTCAAGCCATGTCGTCTACATCGTACAGCCGTCACTAGAACATGGCGTTCAGTGGCCCGGGAACGTGGTGTAATACTGCCTATGTACCTCGTCGCGTTATGTTGACACTCGCTGCTCATTATCGAAGGCCGTGAACTTAGTAGTGAACTGTATGTCTGAGCTCAGATGTGAAACGCATTGTAGAGGGCTCAGCGCTCAGTGATGATTGAGCGGCGCGTGATCATCGCTGTCAGTAGACGCCTGTAGACGCGCGACGCGCGACGAGATGCTTGCTCTTCACTCCCATCATCTCCGACTCTCGCAAGATCTCATACCTCAGACTGCAACCATATACATGATACCTCTGACTCGTAGACCGGAAGTCGCACCGGATCCGGAGCCAGAGCCCGCAGAACTTCCTACAGATGTGCGAACATTGGCGATTTTACTTCTCGATAAGGATGGCTGACCGCTTCCTGGCAGGACTTAACGAAGACCCTGCCTGTAGAGCTCCTCAGCGCGATCTTCCATATATCACGAGATATAGATCCTGCGCGTCTCATCGATGCGCCGAAGAACTCCTCCGAACAAGCTATATGCAGGGGCTCACGCATCAACGCTGAGTTGTCTCCTTCGTGGCGTCTTCGAGGCTGGTTCGCCGTAACGCACGTTTGTGCCCGCTGGAGGACGCTGGCACTCGCTCGGCCGACACTCTGGGCCATAGTCTATCTCAACCTTGGTCCCAGCTGGGTCGATACGTTCATCGCGCGGAGCGACCCGGTTCCGTTCATCTTCTTGACAGAGGCGAGAAAAGGGCAATTCTCTTACTCTGGCGCCCCCGGAGGACTAGACATTATCCAGGCCGTCATCGACAGTTCCCAACGTACCTTCGATAAAGTTCTTTCCGAGCACGCCTCTCGCTTGCTGCAGCTCGATATAAATGATTCACTATTGACCTCAGACATTTTGGGTCTTCGTCCCATCGAAGCTTTGCCAAAGAAGATCTTCCAACGTTTACCTGCCCTCCAAACTCTTGTCCTGCATGGATATGACATGTCCATCGAGTCTCAGCCATGGGAGTCGTTTGATGTCCCTTGCCTTCAGAAGCTCATCCTGAGCGGTATCAAATCCTTTCCTTGGGAGATGCCAAGTCTAGCTGGTCTTAGTTGCCTCGTTGTCAAAGGATCAATTGGGGCCCGCGGGAATAACTTCCAGTGGTCGCGCTTGCGCGATGCCCTGTCTCGTATATCAGAGCTGGAACAACTTCATCTGGAGTTAATGCCCATCTCCATATACGATGAGATCACGAAGGACAAAGTGACCTTGCCCAGGCTTCGACGACTGGGGCTTCGGGATCAGGCACACTGCCTGAAGTTTCTTCTACGTATCATCGATGCGCCTGCTTTGCGTGGCATGGACATCTCGCAATGTGTCGCTTTTGGCGGCACGGATACTCCTCATTTCGATCAAATCCTATCTGCATCCCTCATGTATCTGCCTTCCGAATCCTTGACGGATCTCTCCATCGCAATTGGACATAGACGTACCTCTATGAGGGTCTGTCAGAGCACATTGGACGTTGGGCTCATCTATCTATCTCAGAGCGATGGATACGATCATATTGGTCAGGAGGCCCTTGTTCGCGGCCTTGACGCCACAGAGCCCTACAAACCTCTGCTGTCCCTGGATGACAGTCTACCCGCAAGCAACAGTTACGTGTTGAACCTTTCGGTCACTGGGGCAATAAGAGTGCCATTGCCTCTTTCAGGTGTCAATACGTTGCGCTTCGATGGAATCCTCTCAGCCCAGGAGATTCATGACGCATTCCACACCATGTTGAGTGTCAAGCATATCCGGGTTTATAGTCATGCGAGCCTTCCCGGGATGTTCTCTGCCTTGGCCATTACAACTCCGACTATGCTTTTCCCGGCCCTGGAATCCATCGCGTTTGCGTATGGAGATGCAGCGTCGCGACAATGGATCTCTTCTGGATCGGTTGAAGGGTTCGAGTCTTCTCCTCACCTCGAATTATGCAACCTCGTCCGCGCTCGCGCTACCTCCGGCAGACCATTTCGCTGCCTGTACTTCCCTAGGTCCGAGAGTGTCATATCAGCTTTCGAGGCCTATGCATCAGAAGCAGGGCAGAAGTGCCCGGACGTAGTCGAGCTTATCAAGGAGGATCAGGTGAAGTAAGGGTTTGGCAGGTGAAAAAGAATTTCAAGTACACGTCAAGCGACCCTGAATGGTGTCTTCATAAGTCGCGTACATACCCGTCTTGTATTTTGTAGTAGTATCGGATTTGAACGTAACCTCTATTCGCACTCAAAGCTTAGATATTTGATTCTGAGAACTACAAGCGTTCTGCCATGTATTCACAAAAGTCACCTCCGGAAGGGGAACCAGAAGAAAGACAGCCTGGAGAGAGCTAGTGCTAGGCTATGAGTATGCAGTTGTGAGCAAACTGCGATGACCCACGAGCGGCCCGCCGCGACTGCCAAGCGCGGTTACCTGCCGCCCGGCCTCGTTACCCCGTCCATCTCGAGCGCTCCACCTGTCACTGTTGGCGCCTATTCGACTGCAGCATGTTCATTCTTCGCTAGCGCTCGCTTCCTGCCTCTCACCACGACCTTCTGCCGTTTCCCCTTTGACTTGAATTACGCGCCATGTTCTTCCGCACCGCCGCCGCTCTTTCTGTCCTCACGCTCGCTACCGCGCAGACGTCGCTCGACATCGCCTTGATCGAGGCCCATTTCTCCAACTCTGGCATTGTGCCTTCGCTTTTGGCGACCTTTGACCCGTCGGCAACGATCAACGCCTCGTTCTCTGGTACTACCATCACGCCTGGCCAGGCTCTCTCCAAAGACCGTGCGTGTACACCCATTTTCCACGAAATGGACCAGTCCTGATGAATATTCATAGAGGTCGCCGATGCCCCAACCCTTGCGATCACGCCTGCCAACTCGTCCGTGACGCTCTCGGGAAAGTACACGGTCGTCATGGCCGATGCTGACGTCGTTGGCACGGACGAGTCGGCCGGTCAGACGCGCCACTGGCTCGTCAACTCCGCCACCGTCTCTAACGGTCAGTACATTATAGGAATTTTCGCAAGATCAAACCGCTGAAGGATATGCTTAGGCCAGGTATCGACTGACGGAGCTACTGCCATCACCAACTATGCTGGTCCTGGCCCTGCCGCTGGATCCGGTGCGCATCGCTACGTGATCCTCGTCCTCCCCCAGCCGGACGACTTCTCGCCGCCCTCGAACCTCAGCTCGCCCAACACCCCTCTCGGTGTCTTCCAGCTGACCGACTACATCTCCGTGCGTCAATTTTGCTCAGAGGTTCCATGGATCTCAATACTGATATACTCGAACAGACCTCGAAGCTCGGCCAGCCCGTCGCCGGTACCTACTTCACCGTTGAGGAGGGTACGGCTTCGGTCTCTGCCTCGGCCACCTCAGCCGTCAACACCCAGTCGATCTCGGCCGCACTCGCCGCCGCGTCGTCGACTGGCTCTGCATCCGCGTCAGGCTCTGCATCGGCTGGTGCGTCGAGCTCTACGCCCACGGGCAACGCGGCCAGCGCTGCCCAGCTCGTGAGCGGACCGCTCGCTTTCGTCGCTACCCTCTTCGGCTTGGTCGTGCTCTAAGAGATGCCATGACGGACTACGGGAATGCATTGGAGATCTATGTAACCTATTCAACAGCACTAATAACTATCTTTGACGTCTTGTCAAAGGAAAGATTCAACATGAGTCGAGCGATAGTTGACATATGCACAAGCGATACAAAGATCAGGTCGGCGCAAGAAGCCCTGAAATCACCGCTCCTTGAGAGAATCGAGCACCTCGCGCGTCTGAGTATCATGTCCGCTCTCTGATGTAGCTTTCGCGAGTTCGTCTGAGTAGGTGGATTCGGTATGCGAATCCAATCGCGAGACATACGGAACCGGCCCGCTTCGTTCCTTCAGCATGTGAAGATGAAGTAGTTCGGCTCCCATCCTCGTAGTGTTCACGGTACGCCATGTGTGCGAGCATCCGGCGACCAACCCAAGGCCTCCGCGAGCGGTCAGTGAATGGCAGGTTTCTTGGAAGCGTCGTCCAGTACGACCTTGAACTCTCAACGAGAGTCTGAGATTCTACGCGCACTATCCACTACACCGCACCCAGTGCAGTGCCCTTCGCCTGAAGAAGATCATGGTGGCTGCTGCTGTAGGACGTGTGGGAATCAGCCGACGCGCCGCCAGCGGAGCGGGCGCTTGCGCGCCGGCGTTTACCTTGATCTTGCCCGCGACCACCATGACGACGACAGCACGGCGGCTCACACAGGCTCACACACTTGTTCACCCCTGAGTATGCCACGCGCATCAATGCGCAACTAGTCCATCCAGCCTCGAGCGTAAGTAGTGGTGAAACCACCGTAGGCCACCGGTTTATGGACGGAACTAAGCGCCGCCGCACGGTTTTCTTCCTCGCAGATCAGTACCTCCGCGCCCTTCGATCCTCGACAGTAGGGTTCGAGAGCAACAGCGAAGGCTTGTAGCGCTCGCAGATCGGTCAGTGCAGCGGCCGCGAGGCTCGATGTGGGATGTCGTTGTGTACTTGGGGGACCCCTTCGGCCTCTCAGCCTCTTGCATAGGCCTGGACGCCGCGAAGTTCAAACTTCATCAGTTCTTTCCTTCGGGATCTCACCCGTTTTCCCAAGCTGCAGTACCTGCCACCCCTCTCAATGCAAGGGCTGTATCCCGGTTGATTCGGCGCATCTGTCGGTCGGCATTAAGAGTATTTGTTCTGCGATGATGACAGACTCGGAGTTACTGGACGCATGCCGCGTCCCTGACGATCCAAAGACTCAGACACGATGCGGCCGAACCACCGCGATCCTTCAAATCAAGCGGATACTGGCTTATTCACGCCTCCGCGTCTACCACTAATGACAACTCATCTCGTATACATCGTATACAACTACATAAAAGACGCGTCCGACGACGTTAAGGTATCACCTCACTACCTTACACCGAAGTCTTTTGTGCTGATCTTCATGGCTTCAGGCGAAACCCCGACGCTGTTCACGCCTATCAAGGTTGGCAACGTCCAATTGAAGCACAGAGTCGTTCTTGCTCCGCTTACTCGCTTCCGCGCGGACGAGAACCACGTTCACACGGATCTGGCCGTCGAGTATTACAAGCAACGCTCCAGCACGCCTGGATCTCTTCTCATCTCGGAAGGGACCTTCATCTCACCTCAAGCTGGCGGCTATCCTCATGTACCCGGAATATGGAATGACCAGCAGGTTGCCGCATGGAAGAAGGTACCTTTGTCTTCCGTATCATCGTCTCTGCAAGCGAACCCTGACACGTTTGTGTGCCAGATCACGGATGCAGTGCATGGGAACCAGTGCCACATATTCATGCAGCTTTGGGTGCTAGGAAGAGCGGCCCCTCTGGAGAGTCTTCGACAGGAAGGACCGTACGATGTTGTTGGAGCAAGCGCTATCCCGATCAACGATGAACATGCAACTCCAAGGGAGCTTACTGTGGAAGAGATCGAGGAGTACATGAAGTGGTTCGCACATGCGGCAAAGAACGCCGTGCGTGCTGGCTTTGATGGTAGGCGCCTAAGTTACCCTTTACGGTAGCGGATACTCTAATCTTGATTGCAGGCGTCGAGGTTCATTCAGCGAGCGGGTATCTACCCGATCAGTTCCTGCAGACCAACTCGAACCGGCGGACGGATAAGTACGGAGGAAGCATCGAGAACCGCATCCGCTTCATCGCCGAAGTCATCGACGCGATCGCAACGGCCATCGGTCCTGAGCGTACGGCCTTGAGACTTAGTCCTTGGTCTACCTTCCAGGGCATGCGCATGACAGACCCGAAGCCGACGTTCAGCGCTCTCGTGAAGCACCTCAACGAACACCACCCGCGCTTGGCGTACATCTCCCTAGTCGAGCGCCGCGTCGATGGTCCGGAAGACATCGGAGACAGCCCGGATGAGAACAATGACTTTATCCGGGACAATTGGCCATCGCGTCCTCTCATCTTCGCGGGCGGTTTCACACGCGAGCTAGCATTGGCCGCGGCGGAGCGGGATAAGCATGCACTCATCGCGGTAGGACGATACTTCGTTTCCAACCCCGATCTACCCAAGAGATGGGTGCACGGAGCTGCTTTGACCCCTTATGACAGACAAGGGTTCTATACGCGTGGGATCGTTGCTGAGGGCTACACGGACTACCCGTTCTCTCCAGACCTGTAAAGTTGAGCGTTATATAAAAACATATGTGAATGTAAATCAGGCACTTCTGGGTAAAACATTGAATCACTGTTTGCAATACTGCAGAGTCGATCTGGCAGATACATGGAGGTACCTGGGAGGATGCTGTCCTCCAGTTGGTGCCTGAGTTCCGAGCGAGTCCGCGCTTGGATACTCATGTGACCGCGTAAATCAGGGTTTGGGATATTCTTGGTCCACGCTGAGTTGCCGCAGACCATCATTGGCATCGTCGTCAACCATGTTTACCCTTGCGCCATCGTCAGCCATGAGCTACAGATCCTGCAGCAAACAGTATTATGTATCACGCAACGCGATAACGACTGCCTTTCCCAGTCGCGAGTCAGGGGGATGATCGGATCGCCCGAGCCAGCTTCTCCGGATAGCCGACCGGCGGCATCCCGCTGACCGCGCGCCCGAGCCCTTCACACAGCAGCAGGCTATAAACAGCGGCTCGGCCGACTGGGCGCCGTTTGGCTTGTACTCCCTCTTCTCTCATCTGTAAAGCGCCGGTGGGGCAAACGATATCCTACACTAACCATGGGCTCTGTGGGCGATGCGTCGGAGGTGAAAGAGCCTCCGCGCTACTCAGGTAGAGGCACAGTCCGGGATCCGTACATTGTCGTCTGGGACATGCATGATGCCGAGAATCCTTACGAGTGGCGCACGCTCCGCAAGGCCGTCATCACCGCTGTGGTCAGTATTATACTCTCTCGTCAAGTTGTATCTACAAGCTCAATCACTAGTACAGCTTGCTTTCGGCACCTGGTCAGTCTCTTTTGCATCAAGTGCATACACTGGCGGCATAGAGCCTATGCGCGATGCACTCGGTGCTTCTGAGACAGTCGCACTTCTCGGCGTCTCGCTCTACGTTCTCGGCTTTGGGACAGGGTTTGCATGTTCAGAAGCACACGCGGAGTACCTGAGTACTGACTCTCGGCTTTGATAACTCTGGGAAGACCCTTGGTTTGGGCAAGCATGAGTGAGGCCTTCGGACGGGTGAGACATCTTACATCTTATAGGTGTGTTTATAGTCTGATCTTGAGGGCAGCGAAGGGTCTTCCTGGCTACGGCCTTCGTCCATGTCTTCATGCACATCGGGGGCGCTTTGGGAAAGAACATGACCGCCGTGCTCGTCACCCGTTTCCTGGCAGGAGCGTTTGGCGCCTCACGTGTGTACCTGCCTGGTCCATCTGTATGCTTCTCGCACTGACTGCTCTCTTCGTAGCGTTGACCAATGCAGGAGGATCGATTGCGGACATGTTCACCCCAAAAGAGCGAGGAGTTGCGTCAACGATATACTCGACGGCACCATACCTGGGACCTGGCATGTTTCCATGATCAATTACCACTAGAACACACACTGATTTCGAACGTCAGTCATCGGCCCGATTGTGGGAGGCTACATCAGCGAGACGAATGTAGGCGCAATACCGGGCTGGCGCTTCACGTTCTGGTTGATGTTCATCATCGCCGCATTGAACTGGGTTCTCTTCTACCTCCTTGTTCCCGAAACGGTACGCTTTCGGTGACTTTGGTAGCTGAGGGCGAGTCTTACATTATCTCTAGTATGCACCTACATTGCTACAACGACGAGCTCGCAAGTTGCAGAAAGCGTCGGAAGGAAAAGAGCACTATGTGAGCGTGTATGATAGAACACGGAATCGCTCCTTGAAGCACGTTCTTCAAGTCAACCTCACTCGGCCATTTCGTGCGTCTTTCAGTTCCGTCGTACATTGCCAGGTCTAACAGTGTCTTCGACAAGGATTCCTTGCTACAGAGCCCATTGTCATCTTCACAGCGGTCTTCATGTCGCTCACCTACGCAACACTGTATGCCCAATTCGCCGCATATCCGATCGTGTTCAGTCAGCATCGAGGATTCGGTCCAGGGACGACTGGGCTTGCCTTTCTCGGGATTGGAGTTGGCGTTCTGATCGGAGTAGGAGCTTCACCGATCCAAAATGCAATGTACCGGCGCGCGATGAAGAAGAGCGTGTCAGGGCATGCACCACCCGAGGCGTATGTCGAACCCGCTCATCGTGTGAGCTCGATCATACTAACGCTCACCCAGGAGATTGTATGCATCTATGGTAGGCGGCGTATTCTTTGCAGTCGGACAATTCTGGTTTGCATGGACCGCAGACCCTCCCGTGCACTGGATCGTGCCGATCCTGGGCAGCGTACCAGTCGGAATCGGGCTGGCGCTTATCCTCCAAAGCCTGACGCAGTACATGATGGACGCATATGCACTCTACTTCGCCAGCGCACTAGCTAGCGCGGTCGTCCTTCGCTCGCTGTTGGCCTGTGCATTCCCGCTCATAGCTCCGCCAATGTTCAATCGGCTCGGGGATGCATGGGCTGTCAGCGTGTTCGCATTTTTGGCGGCCGCTTGCGCTCCAGTACCCTTCGTGTTCTTCGTACGTCACGATGACCCCCTTTCCCATTGGTGTATATACTGACGAGAAGATAGATGCACGGCAGGAGATTGCGAGAGAAGAGCAAGTTCGCCTGGAAGGACTTGGAAGATGTCAGATCGGAGTCAACCGTTGTGGCCGACAAGATGTGACCTTATGATGTTTACGATGCCCTCTCTCCCATAGACATAGAACAATTGCCATATGACGAATATTAAGTATCCATCTAATGTATATTGTAATGACTAGCGTGTCCATAGCAGGAGTTCGTCCGGGCTCAAGCATTGATATCAGCCCAACGTAGTCCATACTCGCATCGTGTCTTCGTGCTCTTCGAGCTCGTCAACAAGTTCGCTGATGCTGCTCTCAATCTCATCCCCAAGCTCAACGGCTTCTTTTGGTCTCCATGCAAGCTCGCTCGATATCAAGCTAACACACTCTCGCCCCAAGACCGTTTGCGTCACACGGGAGAGCGCCTCAGGTGCACATACGAGCTGTGAGACTCAGGTCAACGTTGTGCAACGTAAAACGGTCAGATGTACGAACCTCCACTTCGGTCGGCTCATTCTCCCCTGCCTTATTTGAGTCAAAGTCTTCCGCCTCCTTTTCCAACGCAGCCTCGACGAGAGCACCGAGTTGCTCCTCCTCTGCAGGATTAGAATCAATGGTGGCGCGAATGACGCCCTTGCGTTCGAACATGAAGTCGACTTTGCCAGAGCGCGCAGACCCATGGTCTTTCAGTATGCTCATGATGTCGCCAGCGGTCCGATTCTTGTTGTTCGTCAAGGTTTCTCTATGTACCGTGTGGGCGTTGAGCGGGGAATGGCGCCGGATGGAATGAGCGAGTACGCACATTATTATACCGACACTACCATGAGCAATCGCCTCGAATGTCATGGTGATATTGGCTGCGCCTTCTTTACCACCGCCGGCCTACAATTCGATGGTAAGAAGAGAGGTATGGGCAGTACTCCATCTGGGGGACACACCTTGGCCAAAGCATTCTCGATTGTGCTCTTCGGGATAGCATCCTGTTTTGCGCGTTTAAGCACGTTTGCCAGCGCGACATTCAATAAAGGATCTGTCGAACCGCCCGCTACAAGAGTATCAGCCTTATAACTCTTGTTCGGTAGAGAAACCACTGTCTACGCACTGCGTACGGCAACCACAATGTCCTACTTTCGGATGCGCTGTCAGACTGTTGACGCGCGTAGCAGCAAATCATAAACGTACTCGAACTGCCTTTGTATACAGTGATCCCCGTGCCTTGTCTTCTTTCGCTTTCTTGTCCTTGATCTTAGACCACTGTGTGTATGAACCATGATGAATATAAAGCGTCAACTTCGCCAGCGGGGACACATACCTTATTATGGCCAGACAACACGGCAGAAGTTGACGTGAATGTTCGCCGCGGGTAACTTCGTGCCAGATGTGCAACACGAGCAGGCGACCTCAACGAAGCGCTGATGAAGTTCATGGCCGTTCGTGTATGGGAGGACAATGACCGTCGCGGTGAGAGCGACAGCGCGACGTGAACGGCGTAACTGATGGATGCGTGACATCACGCGTTTGACCGTACGATGATCGAACATGGCGGTCTTCCTCCTACGTCCGTCGTCAAAGGACAGATCGTGCATCCATATAGAAGCTTCACTCGCTTTATTTACATTCAAGTCCCTTCACGCCTCTGACAGGGAATGGCGCAGGACGACAAGTGGGCGAGTCCCGACCACCTCTGCGGCAGTCCGCTCGCTCTGTCTTCCTTCGAGATATCCAGCCCAGTTCGCACGCTATCCATCTACAACCTTGTCTGTGCTCGAGTGCATCTCGAGCGCACTCGTACTGTAGTAGAAACCGCAAAGCCAAAGATACTGCACCTTGTCGTGGACCTCCTCGGAACACCGTATCCGGATGACCCTGCCGAATTCGCCGAGTGGGGCAAACAGGCCGATCTGCAGATGATCGGATGGTCTGTACCAATTCTCGAGACGGAGCCCGTAGTCCCTCTGGAGATGTTAGTCGTCGAACTTCAGATGACGACAGCTCATGACGAGCACGACTTCCACTATCGAGCTTGCGTACGCTCATCCGCGCAGTCCCAATGCTGGAAGCTCATTGATACGCGCGCAGGTTGGCCCGCGTAACATCGCACAGCGATCCCAGCCCCCGGTCATCGTTCTCTACTTTCATGTCATCGAGAACCCCAACCACACGCGTTCGAGTAAAGCAACGCAAAGTGTCGAGCGTCTGCTGGCGAGCGTCGACCCGTATAAAGTGGCTTATACGGTTGCATCTGGGGAACCATTTCGGTCCCGTCAACCAGAGCCGGAGACCATCCGAGTCTTCGTGAAGAGGAAGTCTAATTTTCTGGACGACTTCCAAGGCTGGTGCATGAAGCGCTCGCGAGACACGGACGGGAAGATCGTCGAGAAGGATGAAGTAGGCCAGGACGAGTTGCGTGAGATGCAAACCTCTTTGGGGCTCCTGGGCTATGTCTAGCGGTGATATTCAGGCGATAGCAACGCGAAGTCGGCGAATGGAAGCTAGGATAGATATGTGTTATGCGCAAGTGGACTAAGTACTGGGCGGTATCGAGTACTAGGTCCCCGTCAAGCTAGGCTGAACAGTATACCATCTACTTCCTTCTCCATCTTGTAGACACGTTTTGCATCAGAAAGTTTAACAACCACCGGTTCGGAGCCCAAGCCCCCTACGTTTGTCCAGCCTTCAACCCGATGGCCTCCGTGCCACGAAGTCATGGTATAGATCGTGCTCGTCGCTTTTGATGCTTCGGCGATGACCCGACCTAAACTAAGGATCCCACCCTCCTCGACGTACATCTCGGCCGCTGTAGGAAACGTGCCTCCTGCCTGAGGGCATCGCACTACGTGAACATGCAACAGCACCTTCTGAGGCGCTACTCTTCCTATCAGAACTGGCCAAGCAGCCTAACAGTCTATGAGTGGTCGAGTTCAAGACGGTAAGAGAACATGAACGTGCCGCAATGTCCCACAACTTTTGGCTGGTTGCATCGCTCGGGATGAACAGCTCGACAACGAAGAGGTTGATGATATGAGCGCTCTTCTCTGGGAGAGCGTCCGGTGGTAATGTGCCGAGGTTCTCCGCCAGGGTAGGCTCCCAGGCGGGGCAGTACCTCAGATGAAGGGTGCCCACAGGATGACGAATGTCTCTGACAATGTCGTGAATGTGCTCTGTGCAGTCCCACAGCTCCAACCGGTCCGTGATTGAGATGATGTCCAGCTCGCAGTCAAGCGGCAAGATATACAACGAGTTCGGGTCGCCAAACAAGCGTCGAAGGCGCGACCATCGCTTCTTCGACTGCTTCTCCATGTTCTCTGCTCGAATGGCCTGGTATGGAAACGACATCGTGCTCAGACTATTGATAAACATGGTGAGCGCGGAGCCGCTCGATCTGACCCTCATCCACGCCGACAACTTGACAAGATTGGGAAATAAGCCTATCATCGCGGCGATATCCCAAGCGCCCGATTCGGTTGCGCCGGTCCAACAGAAAGACGTCATGTTGGCATATGCTGTACTGCCTAACGCGGTTGTGATGGAGCGAGCGCCTATTGTCAAAGATCGTAAAGTGGCCGCATGCTTGCCGAAAGCGTCGGGTGCATCAATAGCGAGGTATCCCATATCGACTTCCTTTAGCGGCGCGGCCTGTAGTCGGAGAATAACGTAAGGCCATGACCCAGATTCGGTCTTCATCTTCAAGGTCGTGAGCGACGGCAACCATTGAATGGCGCTGAACAATGCAGGCGAATGTTCCACGATGTCCTTCAGACATCTCCCGAATGCGAGGTATGACAGCATTGACGCGTTGAGTAGGATATGCGCCAGCCTTCCACGTAAGCTGAGCACAATCTCAGAGGAAGGAAAGGGTGTGTCCAGGGTGAAAGAACGCAGAAAAGGTTTGCGGTGAGGTAGATCTGCGTGCATGAAGTCGCAGAACGATTCAACGTTAACGGGAGTTTTCAAAACCACAGGATATGCGAGGAGCAGTGTCCGTACGCCTATTGTACGCATGCTCTTGCAGCAGCCAATGTAGGCCAGAAGCGAGTCTTTGTCCAGGTACTCCTCTATCCGGGCGAGTAGCTCCGGAGGCGCTGTTGTGAGAGTAGCCTTCGGCGGGGGCGCAGTAGCCTTTGAATCTCGAGCAGAGCCTCCGGACGCACGCACCGAAGCTGCGAGCATATTGATGTAGGAAAGCTCTCCTTCTGCCTGACTCCAAGGGAGACGCAGGGCGCACATAGTGGTTCGAAGGCAAGATGCCGATGCGCGTGTGTCCGGCTGTCGGCAGAACCACACCGTCCGCATGCATCACGGCGTTTGCCGAGCGCATGGGCCCTCCGAGGGCTAAAGTGTGGCAAGCCTTGTATCCTCGTATGAGTGTCACATTACGCATTGCGTCGTCCTAAAAGACCCCCTTGCTTCGCGACATGTGACGGTACATGACAAGGGAGAGAAAAGGGGGCTACTACATACATGATGACAAGACAAGATAGAGATGTATTCATTGTATAGTAAGTTGTGACACCCTACGAACCCAATATCAACACAGCGGCCTTCTCCGCAACAACAACAGCCGGAGCCTGCGTATGACAAGCCGGCACCCAAGGAAAGATAGACGAATCCGCGACACGCAAGTTCGAGCACCCATGCACTCTCAACCTATCATCGACAACGCCTCCGCCCTCCAGATCGTCCTCCGGCGCCATACGACAAGTCGACGAGTAGTGGTATGCCGTGCGATTATGATTGCGTATCCACTTGTCCAGCGTCACATCGTCCTCGTTCTCGGGTACTTGAAATGGCTTCATAGGGAGCCCGCGAGAGCGCATTCCGTCTGCGAGACGCATCCCAAGGCGGCATACGGTGCGCAGTGCGGCGAGATCCTCGGGCGCGGAGATCCATCGTGGGTCGATCTCCATTGACGCGCGAGGGTCCGTAGATGTAAGGCGCACGGAGCCCTTGCTCTTTGGGCGCAGCAAAACGCAGAGGAAGCTGTAGATGCCGCGCCTATGGTCCCATTCGGCGTTATCGGACACCTTGCCCGTAGGGTATGGCATGGGCATGATCTCGATATCAGGTAGCGACTCGGTCTTCTCCGCGAGTTCCGGGGATGGTAGACCGTTTGCGTCAAGTAGCTTTGAGCAAGCGAAGATAGCGAGTTGAAGCGGTGGTTGGACGAGGTAGCCGACGCCGAAGAGGAGGTAGCTGAGGAAGGCCCATATGAACACCCAAGGCTTTTCAAGGCGGACAAGGCTGTCTTGAGGATGAACCTCATATGTAACATGCGCGGCGAAGTGATCTTGCTACATACGGTTTCAGCCATCTGCAACGACGTGACATGGCACTGAAGCCACTCACAAGATTCTGACCGACAGCAGGGAGGTTCTTCACGACGCGGATTCCCTGCTCTTTGAGATGCTCTGCCGGGCCTATACCACTGTGGAAAGCGTCAGCGTGCAGGCTTGGTACGAGGCATGACAGTACTCGCCTCAGCATGAGTACCCGAGGCGATCCGAACGGACCGGCGCTGAGCACAACCTCCTTCTTGACTCGTACCAGTCGGCTCTCGCCCTTCTTCCCGAGCAGATGAACGCCGGTAACTCTGACCGGTCCGTCTCCATCCCGCTCTGTCTCGAGCTTGGACACAATGGTGTTGGTGCAGACGTGTAAGACGTTCCGACGAGCGAGGGCGAGGTCCTTCGGTGCAAAGGCGTCGTACGCAGAGTTGCGCGTTCCGCGAGGCGAGATTGTGAAGTGGAGCTTGCCACAGCCGAAGGGAGGGTGTTGAGGGGCGTTCAGATCTGGAATGAAGGGTAGCCCGATGGCCTCGCAAGCTTTAACATTCCTGTGAACAAACAGACGTCAATGCCTACCATCAATGAAGCCGGTTCGGGACATACTTCTGGAAGGCGCGCCACTGGAAGTCATCCTCCTGATAGGTATGCCATTCGCCTGAAGTGAATGATGAACTTCTGCACAGATCAATCGGGGCGATATACGCACCTCGTGTACCATGATCTACAAGGTTTGTAGTCGCGGCACCGCTAGCGCGCTCGCCCTTGACGAATAGAGGTTGCAGATCCTCCCATCCCCACCCAACTCGCCCAGCATCTCTCCACGCATTATATTCGGCGGGTAATCCGCGAGTGTAGATCATCGCATTGATGCGAGACGACCCTCCCAGACCGCGGCCGACGAGGCAGCTCTCGTCCAAACCACCCAGACTCGACTGCGCCGTAGATCGAGTCTCGTCTAGGAACTCGCTATCCGAGGAGTGCGACATGGATAGCAGAGGAACCCGAGTGATGAAAGTATCGGACACGGGACCGCGTTCGACTAGGAGCACTCGATAGTTGCCAGACGCGCTCAGTCGATTCGCCAGTACGCATCCTGACGTCCCGCCACCTATTCGCACTCGTGAGTATTCCCGCCACAGGGCGACTAGAGTATAGAACGCACCGACTATGATGTAGTCGTAATCCTCCTCGACATTCCCAACGTCAAATTCGGGATACTTGGAGAACCAACTGCCCATGATGCACCAAAGTCAGACGGGCGGAGACTGGAGAGCAAGCAGCCGTGCTCTTCTGTAGTTTTATATCGTAGCAGTGGTCCGACACGAGCGGGAGAAGAACCGAGCGCCGGATGAGCTTATGCCCTGATCGACAATGGGCATTTTGATGTGGCCCAGATATGTCAGGGACGGTTGTACAAGGCAAGTCTTCGCATCGTGGAGTAGGACACGGTGGTAGGAGACAACTTGTGTACACGACTCAAATCTCCCCGCCTGCCATAGTTGAGGTAGACCGCACGTCCCACGCTCCTCGGCGTCCCTCTCATATGTAGTGGGAGGTTGGATTCAAATCCCAAATGTGCGCGGCGCGCTGATATGCCGAGACCCTCATGATATTGCAACATATTTCTCAGATGATCCGCATTCCTTGCACCGCAGGTAGCTATATACGGTGGGCACGGAAGCCACAAAACGGCGCTTGATATTGTGTGCAAAATGGGCCAGACTGGGCTACACCAGTTTACGCGCCGACGAATTCACCACACGGGAGGGTGGGATTATGAAGATATTACATGCAAGGGAAGAACTATGCGACTAGATTGGCGTACAATTGGACAGCAATGAGCAAGACAGACCGGAAGGGATGCAGTACAACCACGAAGACTCAGAAGCATATGCGGTAGCTGGCGTAACGACCGCTCGTCTCGGATGGCCGAGTAATTTTGACTACTTGTGCTCGCCTGAGACCGTAGTAGCGCGCGATGGGGTCGCCGACTTGGATACGAGGTAGTTGTGTCTCCTTCAAACGGCTATGGACTGAGGTAAGCGGGTACTCTGTGGTGTCGGACGGGAAGACGTACTATCGCTCCAATAAGATCCTCTTCTGCTCGGCAGTCAACACTTCGTGTTTTGGTACAAGCTTGTGATGTGTGATGTTAACAAGCAGGTCCTGCTCCGAGAACTCCTCCAGCCTGAAACGCGGGAGACCATTGATGACCTAAGAAAACCGGGATGAGACAGGTATACCGGATGATCAAAGCATGAAGGCGTACTTTGCGCGCAGACGGGGTCATAGTACCGGGGAAGACGATGATGCCGTTTTGAATCTTCTTATCCTCCAAAGCTGTGACCAGTCTATGCCACGTTTAGCCAGCTGGACTCTGAATACGGACGGCTAACGCACTTTCTCATGGTCTTCACGCCGACACTCTTCTCCTCAGTGAAGTAGACGAAGATTTGGTTCGTAGGGTTATTGTGCATATTTGTGAAGAAGTTGAGTTGTGACCGGCTACAGTAGTCGTAAGTACATGTTTAGGAGACACATTTAGTGTGTGCGTACTCGATGGATCCAGTCTGACTCGCGTATGTATTACGGAAATCGTCGAGAGACATGTTTATTTCGTCGTCAGACACAGCGTAACCCCGGTCCTTGATCATCTCATGCATGGTCCTGTTGACCTTCCAAAGCGCCGGTACTTCGTCTCCCTCGGATGCCATACTTGGAACGTGATGGGATAGTGATGGAGGGCGGGGAGGTGGTGGTGGGAGACAACTAGTGAATTTCCTCGAACTTCCGCGCGACGCGTCAAACGCGTCTTGCTCCTGACCGCGACAAGCACGCGACGCCACCTTATACCATGGATTTACCCGTCATCGGCGCTCATTGCTCGCTGGCAACATGCAATGCGCTAGACCTACTACCCCTCACCTGCGTCTGCTCGCAACGGTTCTGCAAACACCATATCGCGGCTGATGCCCACGAATGCCCGGTTGACCGCAGCGCGGCTTCTACTTCAGCCACTTCGCATCCTGCGCTGAAACGTTGCGCCGTGACTTCTTGCAATAAACCGAGTTTGGAAGCATTCATTGCCGACTCTTCCGATACTGCCAACCGTATACCCGCGTTATGCTCCCGATGCAAGCTCGCCTTCTGCGTCTCGTGGGTGTAGCAATACCGCTCGGACTCTACTTGTCTTGAACTCGACGTTCATAGTCATCGAGAACCCACGTCGCACTATTGCCCAGCCCCATCTGAGGCAGAAGAAGCACAGGCTTCCTTAAAACGCAAGAACGAAGCCGCGCACGCTGTCCTCGCAAAGCGGTTTCCCTCCTCTTCAGCCGTAGCTGGGGTGTCGAAGCCTAAGCCGAAGCCTAAGGTACCCACGGACCCCAAGAAGCGAGCGGCCCTTCGCAAGGTCGAAGTTATGAAGCTACGACAACATGCTACACCAGTCGACATGAAGGCCAGCTCTTCGATTCCTCCAGAGGACCGGCTCTTCTTCAAGGCGCGCACCGCTACTTCAGAAAAGGACCGCTTGTCGTGGATACGCAAGGCAAGACTGTCTCTCTACGTCAGTTGTATCAAGATATCTGACTATCCATTAGTCTACGGGAACTGGTCGGGCACTTGACTTACTGGCGTCACATTTCAAGATGGCAGCGACAGATGCGCAACCCCTTCAGCTTCTCAAGGTGGACGATGCGCCGGACGGAGAACCTCTGGTGCTTAGAAACGATCTTCCATTGTCTGAGCAGCTGGTGGACGGAGATACCGTTCTTATCTCCGTCGTTTCTCATACGCACTCCATCGAGGAATGATGCACACAGTTACAAGCCACGAATACAAGTGTACACTATCGTGCCGCTCAGAATGTTAGTCGTTTGCAAACCACTTTATGGCCTCCATCCTTCCAATCGCTGTATCGTCGATATGAGCGAGGGTCGAGGCGTTTGAGCTGGAGAGCCACTCACGTCTTCTGACAGAAATGGCTACAGTACGCCGTATCGCCGCAACCTTTGCATACACGAAGTCTCCCCGGTGCCTTCTCCGAATGATAACGGCATCCCTCCCGACCACAAAATGCAACGGCAGCCCTTCGCGAGCTTGCCTCGAGCTTCTCGAAGCGCGCTCGCTCCTTGCGCTCATCAAGCCCCACAAATGCGCCCAGTGCCAGCCACACCTGCCAAATCTCCCTGACTTCCGAAGTCATATCCCCAGCATTCTCCACTGAACGAAGATATTCGCACGTGGGCCACCATACGTCCTGCATTGCTTTTGCTAAAGCCGTGCCGTCCCGAGATTGTCCGTTCACATGGTTTGAGTTACGCCGTGAGCCCGAGCGTTGTACATTCCCACGTGGAAGTGATTTCGCAAAGAGTGTGTAGTATTTGCATAGCTTGAGCAGGTTCTCGAAGACTGCCCCACAGATGAGTTCCGCGATCAACATCGTTCTGCAGGAATGAAGAGCGTACATTCGGGCGACGCTGGAGGCGCCATCATGAGGTGAGTGATGCCGTACGCACAGAAGTCGTAAGTCTCTGGCATGAAAGCAGTTTGCAAGGTCTTCGATGAGCCTGGAGCACCACTTCCGGCGCTCTGTTCAAACAGATGGAGGTGGAAACTTGACGTGCTGGGGTGTCTCGTGTTCAACGACACATTAATCTGAACATTGGATTGCACGTACTGAAGTATAAGGGACAGGCAGCACCACACATCGTGATGCAACGCACGATTCTCCGAATCTACTTGGCGATACCAAGCAGAGAAGAGTGAGTCCCAGGCTCCCTCTGCCATCGCTTCTTGACGTAGACTACTTTCCATCAACAGCACAGAGCAGCCTTTGAATACCAATGCGAGTTCGGCATTGAGGAGGGCATTATTATCCAACTGCGCACACATCCTAGCGAGAACTTGCCCAGCGCCATGGACAGAAACGAGCGAATCGTGGAGGAATTTGTTCGTGTCTTCGATGTTGATGCTTATCATATGGTCGAACGTCGCCAGGAAGATCCGCGCGTATACCGAGGTTTCGACATCGACTGGGGACTGGTACCACCAGTCGAGAGCATACAAGGTAAGCTCAGAGGGCAGCCTCTCTTCCCTGGTTCGATATGTGATATGAATATCGAGTTTGAAGACATGAGTGGATCAACCACACCTATCTGTATATGTGTTGGCCACATTCACGAAGGCGGCGCCGAGCTCGTTCCAAGCACGTATATTTTTCATAAAGTCTTTCTGAATAGACGCGTCATCATAAAGACGGTGACCCAGGAGCAGTATCAGATTGTTGATCGAGGTACATAAGAGGGACCGTCTTTTTGGCGCTTGATTGGTATGCTGCTCGACCCTGAGTAGTTCCGAGGGTATGGCAATCAGAATATGAGGGAAAGCCTGGATGTGCGATTCAGCCGATGTCTCAGAAACTACAAGCCTTTCGCATGAGAAATACTCACTGTGTCTTGTACCAATATCTCTTCAATGAATCTGGACATCGCATTGACCAAGCTATGCGACGCCTGGAACGATGGCGACGGGTCGAGGTCTGTCAAAGGCAGCTCCTTCTCGATGGCCTCGCTGAGTTTGATATACAGCGCTAAGAGGATGCTGCTGCTGTGTATCATGAAGTTTCTTTGGGTCGTGAGGAGCGTCTTGTTGACCACCAGCGTAATCTTTTCGACAAGGCTCGGATAGGATTCGGTCTGAAGGCGCGACCCAGTATCGGTGATGATGTTTTCACAACCAGAGCAATTCGCCGGCCATGAGCACTCGTGTTCGAAGTTGTCTTCGCGGTTGAACTTGGGCGCCAGTCCTACGAGAGAGAGAGCAGCCATGCAGACGTAGTAGAGGCAATACACCGTCATGGTGATTATGGATGCCGCAGTAAGCAAGAGTACTACGACAACACCCAAGCACTTGCGTACAGGAAGAGGCAACCTCTCTTCCCACTTCCTGACGCGGTCTGCTCTAGACTGCCAGCTGCTCATTGTGAAGAGGGTCGCCGAGGCAATGCGGAGGAGATGATGGTCGCCAGAAGCATGCCTTTGCTGATGTCTCAACCTCTCGCTGGTGTCCTGCGGCAATTGCCGGCACTAGGCAGTCGCGCAACCATCTTCCAGACACGTCTGCGAGATAGTTCATCGCTACGTACTAGCAGTGCATCTCTGATCACATCCATGCCTTCGTGAGAGCCAGAGTTTCATACTATGAAAGACGTGGAAAAGGCATTAATATGGACGTAGAAATCGAATCGTAAGTAACAAACAAGCAAAGGGCTAAAATCCGCACGGGGGAACACATCAGCATATATCCGCGCCCACAACCCCACCCGTCAGATATATATCCAAGAAGCGAACCAAAGTATCTATGCGACGACAGCGACGACAGCAAGGGTAAGGTAGACAATGACACGACCAGCGTTGTGCACGGGCAACCTTTTATCATGCGACAAGCGCAGCGAGGCGCCGCAAGTGCGAGACGTTGAGGTAGGCGGGGACGTAGGTCTCCAGGCCGGAGACGTCGCGTGGGAGCGGGAGCTCATATGGGCCGACCTCTTCTGCTTCGGGAAGGAGTAGGTGGTCGTTGCGATCGTTGGCGACGACACGCGATGCGACGATGCGCAGAATTTCGGGTGATATGGGGTTCTGCAGGAGGTTGAGTACCTGTGCAAAGACCCTTACACGACTGAGAACGCACCTCGTAGTCTGCGACATAGTAGCTGATGCACATGCGCTGGATCTGCATCGGGCTGAGCATCCAGCAGACGTCGTAGATGATCTCGATATCCGCAGGCGTTGCCTTCTTGAGCTGCAACAACTTCGTGGCCTGCATGAGATGCTCGAGCTGGAGCGTGCCCTCGGGCATGTCGTGGCTCTTGCACCACTCCTCGATACGCGTGATATTGTACTGGATCTGCATGGCTGTACGGCAACATCAGTACTGTTGTCATCACACAAAGTGAAATTACACTTACCGCGCTTCCACGACGAGAAGTTCCTCCGCATGAGCAAGTCATTGAAGCTCGTGACACCAATGAGCTTCAGCAACTCCGTCATGACCTGCTGCACGACGCTCTCCTCCATATAATAGCTCTTCAAGCTCTTCCAGACCTTGTTGAGTAGATTGAGGATATCGTCCATGCTAAACGCCGGCTGCGACGAGCTATTGAACACGCGGTTGAACAAACGTCCTCCACCATCGCTCGCGATGAAGCCGGGTAAGCTCTGGCTCTCGATCAACGCAGGGATGACCATCTTCTGCAAGCGCTTCTTCGTTTCCGTCATCCAGGTGTGGTAGATATTGTACTCCAGGCTGTCGAGATCGTGCTTGACGACAGAGACGAGGCGCTCGTAGTCTTCCCAGTCGAACGGACGGACGGCGTTCTCCTCGCCTGGACCGATGCCCTGGAGCATGTCGGACTCGGCGACGCAGATGAAGGAGAGCATCTCGTGAACGTTTGAGAGCCAGAAGATGCCCGGGATGATTGAGTCTTCGCCCTGGAAGGTCTACGAAGTGCACATCAGCACAATGCAACACCACCACACAAATGCAAACACATACCATGACATGCGCCTGAACGGTCTGCATGACATTCGCCAAGAACCTCTCGCTCTCCGGAATGAGCCCGTACTTCCACATCTCGTTCGTGATAAGACTGATGAGGTTGGCCGGGAACAAGATCTCCTTGACAGCGCTCGGGTTCGTCAAGCTGGGCGCAGGGATCTTCAAGCCCTTAATAAGACCCTCGAGCACATCCTCGTCCAGGTGCTTGATATCCTGCAGAAGCCTGATCTTCTCCTCCGCAGGATCGTCATAGATGTCCGTAAGCCCGCTCTGCGCACGGAACCGTGGCAAGCCCTCCTCGCCATTGTACGCCACACTGACTGCACGAGGGTTCTGCGTACGCTTAACGAGCATCATAAGCTCGTCCGCGCTTTGCCTGTGGTCCGGCGGCGCAATCGCGTAAACGCCCGCACTGCTATGCCGCCTCTGATGTCCAAGCCCAGCGCGCGATCCACCATTCGCCGCTCCATTCCCGTTCACAAGACCGTTCCCATGCGGCGGCTCCGAGTCCAACGTCCGCAATCCGGGCGCAAACGTCGGCGAGACGGGCTCACGCGCGCTCTTTCCTCCCGTGAGCGCGTTGAGAGCGTACGAGCGGTTGAGCTGCTCGCGCAAGGACGAGACCTCGTTCTTGAGCGTGAGAATGACCGAGCTGTCCTCGGTCGTACGCGGCGGCGCATCGTGGATGGCCTTAGCCTGTGCCTCAAGCTCAGCAGCCTGCCTCGCGATATCCGCCTCAAGCGCCTTAATCGACTCGTCGCGTTCGCTGATGGCAGAGAGCGCCTCCTCAAGCCTGCGCTCGATATCGTCCTTCTCGCGCAACAGCACGTCGCGGGACGAGATCTCCGCTTGCGCCGCGACAAGGTCGGCTTGATGCTGCTTTGCGCGGTTCTCGGCGTTCTCGTGGCGGCCTTGCCACATCTGCAGTTGCTGCTCCGCGATGACGAGTTTGGCTTCGACTTCCTTGCGCTCTTGAGTGCGCGTTTGGAGTGTCTGGGTGAGCTCGACAACTTTGTTCTCCAGGCGGTACGAGATCTCCTTGAACTTGGAGACTGAGCGGGCTTCTTGGCGGAGCGACTTGAGTTGCTTGCGGGCGAGGCGACGGCGCATGCAGGACTGGAGGTAGATGACGTGCTTGACGTCCTTGCGGAAGTGGCGGCGAGTCATGCTGGTTGGAAGTCAGTAATGCGCCGTGCAGAACGACATAAAGGCATGCATACACTCCGCGGAATAGTGATTGCAGAAGAACGGTTGCATTCCTGTGCTTGAATTCGAGGAAGTTGCGGCGTGCCTGCGCACCACGGATGCCTGCAACTCAGTTAGCACGGTATGTTCAGCATACACGCAATGGAAGAGTACTCACGACTCTGAATGAGAATAACGCCCTGCCGAATGTCCAAGAAGCGCTTGCGATGAATGTACCTCCTCGCCGCCCTCTGCAACCTCGTAACAGCCGTCGTCCTCCTAATCTGCTCGACCAGCTTCCTTGCCGCAATACCCCTCCACCAAGTTTGAATCTTGATCGCAGCGACGCGCATGCGGCGGTAATGCTTCATAGCCATATACCTCCTCATATTCTTCTGCACGATCGTGACCATCGAGTTCAGGCGCTCGCCCCGAAGACTCTCCAACGCCGCCAGCATACCCGGCCGGAAAAAGATCTTCGTCTTGCCGGATTGGTACTTCGTCGCGTCGTCGAGCGTAGTGTCGAGGATCAGCTTGCACAGCTCGCGCAACTTCAAGTCGCGAATCATCGGGCCCCAGTGCTGAGAGCTGACGAGCATATAGTACCGTTCGGCGAACTCCTCGTACGTCCAACGCGTAGGGTACCCAGCACACGAGATGCGGATAGTCTCGAGCACACCACACGCGCGCAGTTGGCTGAGAACCTGCTGCGGTCTGAATAGCCATGCCTCCTTCTGCTCGTTCGGCTTGATACAGCGAATGTAGTGCGAGTTCGTGACGCTCAGGGTGTCCATCAAGTTCTGTAATGACGCCTTGAAGATGCTCGCTTGCGTCGGCTTGCGCAGGTTGGCGCCGGTGCGCTTGGGCCCACTGCCACTCCCGCCGCCTCCACCACCCAGCGACATACGACCAGGGTCGGGGATAAGGGACTGCCGGCGTGAGCCGTTGCTCGCGTTATCGGAAACAGCAGGAGAGCCCGGCGCTGCGCCTGCCGACGGACCAGATGCAACTGCAAGGGCCGAGTCGAGGACCTCGCGCAAGAAGGGGTTCTTGGACGCTGCAAGCAGCGCCATTTGCTCGTCCGGTACAGTATCACGGTTCTTCTCGAGGAAGCCTTCAACCTCGTACGTGACATCGAGGGCGTAGTGTGCGATCGTGAACGCGGACTGGCCGAAGCGCGGCTTCTTGAACACCTTCTTGTTCTCGGGCTTGTCGAGCTGGTTGTAAAGCTTTTGCAGGAAGGACGAGTCCGCGCCGGATGGGAGGCGTGCTTCTTCGTCAAGGAGGGCAAGGACACCGAGTTTGCCTTCGATGACGTCAATACACGGCTGGTTGTCGGAGAACTCGATGAATGTCCAGTTGATCTCCTCGCGAACGTACTCGTCTTGCTCGAGCTTGAAGACGTGCGCGTTGAACTGCCGGGGGGTCAATCATTCGCCCCAACACAGATTCAGTAGATACACATACAGTCTGTTGAAGCTTCTCGTTGGCGTAGTTGATGCTGAATTGCTCGAACGAGTTCTGTCCGTATTTGGTCAACCACGTGCCACAGCAGGTTAAGCGCCCAGACGAACCTTTTGGAAATGCTCGAAACCGTAAATATCCAGCACACCAATGAACATCTCCGCCCTCCGCTCCGCCTCTCCGTTCTCGCCCGCCAAACTCTCATTGACAATAGCGACGAGCCACTCGAATAAGCACACGTAGACGAACTTGGCTACGGAGTCACGGACGACAGTCGCAGCAGCCGCATTGAGCGAGGTAACGATCTTCTCCGAACGCGTCGTGATCTGCTTCTTGACGGTCCACTTCTTGAACTCGGCCTTGTCGACACCGAGGAAGCGCGTAGAGAGCAGCAGCTCAGAGTCGTTGTCGTCGATAGTCGACTCGTTCCGCATGCCCGTGATCTGAACGTTGCCCAAATGCAATAACGCCGCGAGCAAACGGAACACGGCCCACTGCTTCTCAATCCCGATACCAATCGTCGACAGCGCCGTTTGCGTGATGCGGAACTCCTCAGCATCGTCTACGCCGTTGATGGTAGCTGCCGCCGGACCGCCCTGCTTCAAGTAATGGAACTTCTGCGTGTCCGTGTCGAGGCCCAGGTCCTTGCGTTCCTTGAGCGGTGCACCGGCGCAAAGCTGGTAGAAGATGTGGTAGTTCCTCTCCGTCTGCGGCTGAAAGACGATACGCGAGCGCTCGAGGAGGTACGTTCTGATACGCGCGCCAACGATCTCCTGCTTGCCATCGAACAAGATCTACGAAGGCGCCAATCGTCAACATATCTGCGCAGTCAAATCTAGATTGCGGGGTAGATTGATGACTGACCTGGATGTACTTTCCGAAACGCGACGAGTTGTCGTTACGCGTCGTCTTTGCGTTACCGAAAGCCTCGAGCACGGGGTTAGTAGCGAGGATCTGGCGCTCGACTTCGGAGGACTCGTCCAGCGAGGCCTTTGTCTTCCCGCCCTTGCCCTTTTTGCCAGCCGCGTCTGGTGGTATAACAGAAGCGAGATATCGCATAATAAATTTAGCCTGGATTGCACAGTCAGTATCCGGACGCCAGTAAGACGCGTGTGTCTCAGACGCACAGACTCGGTCTTCCCGGCACCACTGCGCGGCAGTCAGTATGGGTGTTGACGCACAGTCGCGTGGTCAAGGGCACGCACCTCTCGCCGGACACGATGATCGTCTGGCCGGTGCCATCTTTGCGCATGGCCGTGTACGCGTCTTCGGCGATGGCGAACAAGTGCGGCTCGACCTCTTCTCTCCGCGTGCCACTGTAGGCCTGGATGATTTCCGGGCCGTAGATGTTGACGCGTTGGAAGGGGTTCATGGCGATGAGGACGATGCCCGAGTACGTATAGATACTATGTTGTGCATATCGGTTGCGGATAGTATGCAATACTGTTGCACAGTGTAAATATTTTGGGGGTTTACGGACACCGAGAACGCGCACCAGAGGGTTCGTTAAGATGAGAGAGCGTTGCCAGGTCGTCCGCTGTCTCGAGCAGCGGCGGGTTTCGTAATGGAGGCAAGTCGTCGTGGCCGTCCCGTATATCTTTCGTGGTAGTATCGACAGTGATTTCCTAGAAAAACATACGTCAGTGCGCGGCAAGTACAGCGAAGTGGACGGTTACGGACCTTGCCGCGCTCGTCAACTAAGACGAGCTTGGCCTTGTCGTCGTTCTTGACGATGTTGGTGACCTCCGCAGAGATCCATCCCTGCTCCTTGTCCGTCAGCCAGACGCGGGTCCCCTTGGTGTAGATATCCGCCATCGCCCAGAGCTGACGGTCGTGAAGAGAGCTCGAACCCGGCCTGCACGCGTCCCATCAATCCTGTTGTGAACAGCACAAAGTTCCCACGTTCCCCAATCAATTCGCCGGGCTTCTTTCGTTCTCGACCACCAGCATCCCGATTCCCAACGGGCCTCCCTCACTACGCACTCGCATTTGAGACTGGTCCTATGTCCTGACGCAGAACGTGGCAGGCACTGCTGTGCATAGATTGTTGGATACGCCCATCCGGGGATCATTGATCATCGCTCTAGCGGGTAAGCCGCAGGCGCGATGTCGCCCGCTCCCAGATCATATAGGCTGTTTTCTGCTACTCAAATACTTACAACTGCTCGTATGCTATACGCGATCAGTAACATATGCATTTATGTGTAAGTCGGCGCCAAATCCCGTCGGCGGTGAGAGTTAACCCGGCCGTTGCGGAACAGTCTCGAGACGCTTGCGAGATGCTGTGCGCACTATATGCACTGTAAAATATTCGTAGAATACATTCGCACTATCCAAGTTTGAGTACTGTATCCCCTTCTTCATATACTAGTACCCCGTTGTCGTTTGTATATATCTCGATAGGCACAGTACAGTATGTGAGCAGGCATACGACCGACTCGAATTTACGTCATGCCCGACTTGCCGAAACAGATGAGAGGAATGCAGACCTTTGTCTCCTTGCTCTCTCCGACCATTGCTACAGCCTGGGTCAGGCAACGCAAACTCCCGACGCTCTCGTCGAGCCTCCTCGACCCAGGGCTAGCATATACCCGTACAAATCACCCAAAAAAGTACCATAAACAAAGCCACAATGCTATGCCCACCGTCCTTCACCACCTGCGTCCAGTGGCTCTGGGCGCACGGCTCCTATCTCGCCAGACGGCGCGTCCTCGCCCGAATTCTCTCGACATTTATCTGCGCCCTACTCATCGTAATCCGGCCGTTTTCGCATTTAGGCGGCTCGTCCGCCTTCTTGGTACTCGTGAGTCTCAGGGTCGCCTTGATGGCCCGTTACGGCCACTTTCCGGCAACGCGTTGACCACTTTCTCGCCACACCCACACAGACCCTCAAGGAACTCGTCTTTTCCGTAAACGAGACGCTTCCGCAACAGCTCGAGGCCACGTTTCTCAACCTCGCCGGCGCCTTTATTGGGATCGGCATTTCGACGCTCGCACGATACCTCTCCGCCCTACGACCTGACGACTCTGCTTCTGCCCGTGCTATCCCTGCTATCTTCCTCGTGCTATTGGCCTTCTTCGGTGCGTTGTATTCGTGTCTGCACATCGCGCGTACGCTAACACCCATCGCTACAGCCGGCCTCGCCAAAAGTGCTCTGCCACGCTTGCTCGCTTCAGCCCGCATATCATGCTTCCTCGCCGTCTTCATCCTATCCACCAATCCCGGCCTCTCATCCGTACGTCTCACGCTCTCCGACCACACCTCTCCACGAGGCGCTGACATCCTTCCCTTCCCAGCGCACGCTCGATCTGCCCAAAGAATTCGTCTGGATCGCGCTCACGCCCGCCGTCGTCTGCCTATTCAGTAGCTTTGTATTCCTCCCCTGGTTCCGCGCCCCCTTCGCCGATGACGTCGCGGGCGCGTTCCAGCTTCTCCATTCCGCATTGGAACACCGTATGGCAGAGGCATCAATCGACTTCAGGGTCGTCGACCCGAATGAAGAAAAGAAGACACCCACAAAAGTCGACCTCCCGCAAATGGCCGCCATACGTCGAACGAGCCCCTCTTCCCAAGCCCTCCTGCAAAAGTCCATACAACTGAATGCATCATACGCGCAAGCGAACTTTGAGCTCAGAATAGGGAGACTGAACGTCAAGAGGCTGAAACCGCTCATAGCGAGCGTGGAATATCTGCGCCGCGAGCTCACATGGGGAAAATCGACGTACAAGCACCGCCACCATTCCGAAACGATCGCGACCCTGCAGCCGGCGGCATTGCAGCTGAGCAGGGTCGTGCTCGAGGCGCTTGATGTCGTCCAGAACTCTATCAAGGCGACGTATAAGTATCGGCTGTTCGGTCATCCGACGTTCGAGGATGAGGTTAGGAGCGTGCATGCGCTTAGAACGAGGTTGTTGGAGGCGAGGGATTATGCGAGGGAGCAGTTGAAGGCGACTTCGAGCGTATCGCGGCATGGGCTGTCGCAGGAGCGCTCGGATTACTGTCTTTTCCTGATCTCGCTGCTTCAGGTGAGCATAACCCCAGGTGCAGTATATGACAGCGGCTTACCCTCGTACAGATGGCCCATGAATGCCGACAAGCCCTCGAAATCGTCCGTGACCTCCTCACAACCTACAACAAGACCCCAACCCGTCTCTGGACACCCCATCTCTCCCGCGGCTGGCTCGGCGTAAGCCCACACCAAGTCGTACCCGAAGAACGGCCCGACATCCCCGACGACCCCATCCCTCTCGCTCCAGTACGCCGCCTGAGCGTCACAGAAGCCCAAGCTGGAATTCTCGAGCACCGCGCCTCCTCCGCCAGTACCGCCGACGGCCTGTTCGATCCTCGCGCCACGTTCCGCGCACGATACGCCCACCGACTGCGGAGCGGGTATCGTAGCTGGTGGCCTCCGCACAAACTATGGCAGTCTGACCTCGTGCTGAACCTTCGCCTTCGCATCGCGCCCTTCATACGCAGCGTCTTACACTCCAAACACCTGCAACACGCGTTCAAGAACGCGTTGGGCGTCGGCTTGCTCAGTATTCCCGCCTTCTATCCCATCAGCAGTCCGGCGAGGATGGCGTGGGAGGAGATTAGAGGGCAGTGGATGGTCATCACGTATGTCTGGGTGCTGGAGACGAATACGGGTGCAACATGGAGGGTTGGGTATCTTCGTCTATCCGGAACCATCATCGGCGCTACTTATGCTTTCATCGTACGTTCTTGCCATTCCAAGGAGGACCTGAGCTGACCTGAGTCAATAGACATGGCTCATCTGTCGCACTAATCCGTTCGGTCTTGTTGCTCTCATCACTGTGAGTCCTCGCTCGTGCGCACACAACTTGATTGGTGCTGACCCGGAGGTTGAACAGTTCGCGGATGTACCCATTAGCTATATCGTCACTCGCACTTCTTTCGCTTCCCTCGGTGTTGTCTCGTGCGTTATGTCTTATGTTGGAAGCACACGTACGCTGATGATTGCCATTCAGGTCTATCACGCTACCACCCATCGCTTTCGCGCAATTCATGACTCCAGATCTGACTACCCCTGTTATAAGTGAGCAGCTCTTTCTCATCAGTCCGTGGTGTGTTCGAGGTTTGACCTCGCATCGCAGTACTTGCCTCATACCGAGCTGCTATGATCGCCGCCGGCATCGTCGCCGCTCTCGCCGTCAACATGTTCTTATGGCCGCGTCACTGCCGTGTCCTCTTCCTTGAGAGCACCAGCCAGACCCTCGGTCTCCTGAGCCAGTTATACCTCATGCTAGGACGGTAAGTAGCCGACAGCGTCATCCGACACGGTCATCGCTGATTCGACGGCGTTACAGTGACCTCTTCCTACGTAGCTTGTCCTATCACCCGCGTGACCACCGCAAGCTTGTCAAGCTCGAACTACACATCCGCAACTCCCTCTCCCGTCTGTCAGCCCTGATCGTTACCATGGACGACGAGCTCAGTCTCATGCCCGTACGTCTCCCGCCCCTCCATCCCATCACACCCTGCTAACGCCATCCTCAGAAACCGATGAGCAAATACCGCCAAACAGTCGAGAACCTCCAAGCCGTACTCGACATCATGACCGGCATCCGCAAAATCCGCGAAAACATCCCAATCCGCGAAACCGTCGCCCCAGTCCTGGCCGAACGCCGCGAATTCGTCTCGACGATCTGTCTCTTCCTCTACGCCATCGAGCACGCCTTCCGCGCGCGCCAGCCCCTCCCCCAATTCCTCCCATCGTGCCGCGCGGCTCTTCTGAAACTGCTCACGCATATCGAGGCGGCGATATGTCAGGGCCAGTCGCCGGGGAGTCCGACGAGCGCGAATCCGAGCTCGGATCTGAGTTTGGTTTATACGCTCGCGGAGAGCGAGGTGTTGAAGGATCTTGTGGATGCTGTCGAGGGTCTGCTGGGGACGTGTAGGGTGCTGTTCGGCACTGCTACGTGGTTGAAGGACGATCGGTATAAGTTCGCGTTGGCGGGCGGGTATGAGGATCTTAGCGAGACGCCTAGCGCTGCTACCAGCATGCTCCATGTGGATCATAGCCATCATGGGTGGTACAGCAACTGAAAAGTACTCTTCTCTTCCGCACTATTGACTGTTTTTGTCTCTTGATACCTACTGTACACGTATACCTATGCTGACATCTACTCGCCATGTTCTCACTACTACTTACTTCGTGTTTTGTTACTGTTGCTGTCATCTTACTGTACATCCACATGTTGTCGATGTACGCTTGGCAATCGTTATATATAGCTATTGTATATAATACGTCGTGGATATTCTAATCGCAGGATTTCGAGGACGCGTAGGAATGGGAAGCACTTCTCGATCCTGCGCGAAGCCTGCGCGACGACGATGGATCAGGGTTAGGTTTCGGAGATCGAAGACCGCAACGATCTTCTCTCGATCTTCGACGTCGACTACCACGACAAGCTCTCTCGTCTCTGTCTTACCCTGCTAAGAGCCCTCTAAAAAGGCAACACATAGCGTTCCCTCTACTCGATTGATTATACTCCTCAGACGTCGAATACAATAGCCAGGTCTGCCAGAGTAAATGTGGACTTGTCCACGGTAGGATTGTGGGTTGTATATAGTATACGCGAAGATCACTAGTCGGCCACCGTGACGGATACATGAGGGAACTACCGAACCGTGAGCGCGGTAAGTAACGAAAGGAGATCGCGACCGCGCGCGACCACGATGGCGGCGTAGACTGTACGAGATGATAGAGATGAAGGCGACGCATGCTGGCCATAAGTTACGGGCTGAGTACGGCCGGCGCACGTTCCATAGCTTCAGCCAAAAAGTTCTCGAAATACCCGAGGTTGTCCCGCGACCTCTGACGCTCAGCTTCCACCTCTTGACGGCTCGTTTGTCCCATGACGGTGGTGGTACGTTGCTCGTTGGCCAAATCGGTCTGAAGCGAATCGCGAGCGAGGCGCTCGCTAAGGTTCGCTTTGCGTGTGAGAGCAAGCTCCGTGCTAACCTTGCCTAGTTCCTCGTCTTTCGCAGCGCTCGATGCTTGCGCCTCCCGCTCAATCTCCGCGAGCTTCTCGGTCTTCTCCACGAGCTCTTCGCCGAGCCTGGCGGCTTTCTCGTCAAACCGTTTGGTTGTCTTCTGACGGCGCTTCCGGCTCTTAGTAAGCTGACCTCTGAGCTTAGCGATCCCGCTTGCACGCTGCGCGATGAACTCTGCGAGTCGGTCAAGCGCGGCCGCTGCGTGCGCGTCCTTCTCCGTCAGACGCAACTCGCAGCACATGATCAGCAATGATGGTACAGACCTGGGCCGGGGGTCTTTGGTAGGGGCATGGCGTGCTCTTCGAGGAATCGCCGTATGCGAGAGTCAACGTCGGCTAGCTCTGTTGCCAGCGGAGAACGAGAGCGCGGGAGGACACAGCCTCCTTTGGGAAGTAATGTTACACATCGCTCCTTTTAAGCCAGTAAAGCACTCACCGTCGCCGAGCTCTTGCTTGATAACTGCCTGATTACGGGGCGCGAGAACATTGCGAGGAACTTGGTTGGGCTTCGCTTGCGATCGCGGGACTGTCTCTGAAAGTACGCGCAATAAGCGTACACGACAATCCATGAGAGCTAGTCACGACTAACCCGGTGGCAGGAGAGTAAGGACAACGAAGTCCTTCTTGCGATTCTGCGGGGGACCTGTCACGGCCGTCTTCATACTCGATTGCGGGAGAGGAATGACGAAGCGATTATCACCATTCTTCGATGGGCCTGCCACGGCCGTCTTGCCGCTCGGGTTGGCCATGTCTATG